GAGGAGCGACCCGGGACTGATGTGTGTTGCCGTTCATTGGATGGAAGCGGCCGAGCACGGAGGCGACGAGTTGGCGTCTAGTTTCTTGCGACAGAACGAGTTCATGGGTCTTGGTTGAAATCTTTTTTATTATACCCCCATAGCTGTTTTTTTTTCTTTTTTTCTTTTGCTACTTTTTTGTTGTCTTTTGTTTATTGCTTTTGGCGCTTTGGCGTCTATTTTGTTGGAGGAAACATGATGTCGATGGATATGAATATGATATGATATGGCCTTTGGTTTAGAGACGCAAGGTCATCTGCGTGGCTTGGTGGCTCTTGGGTTATCAACTTTTTTGCATAGGAGCATATGCGTTGGATGACATGGATGATATGATCTGATCTTGTCCTTTTTGGCAAATTCTTGAGAGAATGTGGAGGATATACCAAGGTGTGCATCATGAGTATATACATTGGTGTCGAGATGGGATGTTTTAGTGATGAATACGAACAATCATGGTCTTCAACTGATTCATATGCCTCATCTTGGCATTCATACGGGTACATGCATACGGGAAAATGTTTATTGCAGGTCTGGGTACGTAACGACTCTACATGCAAGGCCAAATTGCCGTCACCAAGTAAATCGCCAGGACATCCCGTCATCCATAGACCGACAGACAACACGTCTTTCAGTGCATTACCGCTTTTGCCATGGCCAAACTCACCACCTGGTACGCCGTCATGAAAACAACAAACTCCAAGATACAGATAGACCCAGGTCGCTAGGGAGTCCCACGGGATAATACTCACCCATCAACACCCACAACCTGTTGTCATCAAAAACGCCCGAAACTCCATCGAAGCGCCCAAAAGCCCTCGAACCTTGCGAGGATCAAAACTTGCCATCTAGAAAGACATCGTCCTCTAGATCTTGACGCGAAGGAGATAGCGCAGCTTGACTTGGGCGATGTCGTAGCAGATGTACTCGTTGTAGTACAGAGAGGCGTTCTTAACATTAGTCGGGCCTGGCTTGACCTTGGTATCGGGCTGTGATTCATCGTTAGAAACAAGGCGTGTAGAAAAGACTCGAGCAAACTTACCATCTTGATGCCCTTGAGGCTCTCATGAACAATACCAGCGTCCACCCACTTGCTTGGACCAGTGTTGCCCTGTCCCCATGTGCTGTGCATGCCCTTGGCCTTGGCATGGTCACCGGCGTCATAGTCGGCTTGTGTCAGCTTCTGAAGGGGATCACCCAGCTCAGCCTCACACAGGAGCAGAAGAGCGTGGCCGTTGGAGATGTACGAGCAGCAGTAGCCAGCTGACTTGGATGACATATCGGCCAGGTAAATGCCCTTGCCAAACATGTAACCAGATACAGGGGCTTCGGGAGGCGCAATTCGCAGACCCTGACTAAGGATACCACCAAAGTTGGTGCATCGCGAGCCGTGCCAGAGGAGACGGCGGTCAGACTTCATCGTGGCATACTCTGAGTTATCAAAGCGTTGAGTCTCGCCCTGGCGCTCAATACGGAAAATGTCCTGGACTTCGTAGCTCATGTGATGAGTGGCGCCACGAGATTCGTTGAGATAGTTTTCGAGGTGGACGAACTCATTGCTCTTGTGGTCCAAGGGCGTCATCTCCTCAAGGCCAAGACCCTGGAATTGACGGTCAAGAGGATGGACAGTATCCATTGTCTTGCGATCAATCTTCATGATGTCGGCGGCATCCTTCATGTCAGACAAGCTCTCCAGAAGTTCTATTTCTTTCTTGAGCATCGCGTTGTCTCGGATGATGGGCGGTCGGTTACGGCCAAAGGCGTGTGGGATCACAGTGTAGAAGGTGTTGGAGAGATGCTCAGTCGCCTGTGGCATGCTCATCCCCCACTTGCTGGCAGCAAGAGTAGGATCATCCAGGAGAGCCGCAAGATCCTTGAGCTGCTGGAAACCACGAGTAATGGTTGCCTTGCTCAGCTTGCCCAGAGGAAGTTTCTTGGCGTCGTAGTTGAGCGATGTCATGGTCGCCTGGAAGTATTGCTGGTTGAAAATGAGCTCCATGAGCTCCTTGACGGGCTTTTCCAACGTGCACTCAGGGGCGGGAGTTTCATCTTCGTCACCCTCCTTCTTGACTGTCTTGGCATCCTCCTCGTCTTCATCGTCGTCAGAGTCGGGGTCGTAGCTGCGCTCAATAAAGGCGTATTTGCCAGGCTTGGGGTTATCGCCTCTATTCTCCCACGAGAGACCCGACTTGTCCTTGAACTTCTTCTCAAACTGCTTGATGGCATCGGCGAGAGCGCCACTTCCTAGAACGGCTTTCTGACCGCCTTCACCGACGCGGCCCCATCGAGTCCAAGTCTTAAAGGTTGAACCCTTGGGATCCTTCAAGATCTGTCACAGTGTTAGGCGAAGCTGGGCACACTGAGATGGAAAACTGACCTGAATGCGATAAAACTTGTTGTTGTTGTTGGACGAGTTGGACTGGTTCAACGAGGCGTCGTAGATCATGCCTGAGTCAGGGTCGACATAGACCTCGTACGTGGGAAGAGTGCAGAACTCATCAAGAGGGATCTTGACGTCCTTCTTCTTGATGAACTGACCCTCGGCGACAACCTTGTCTTCCTTGGTCTTGTCATCCATCTTGACATCATCCTCCTCCTCTTCCTCCTCAGACTCATCCTTGACTACAGCTTTCGCCTTGGAGGCCTTGGTGGTCTTTGCCTTGGTAGCCTTAGTAGCCTTAGCGGCAGTAGCCTTGGTAGCTTTGGTCGTCTTGGAATCAGCAGTGGCACTTCTGGATCGCTTGGCTCGAGGCTGCTCCTCCTCCTCCTCTTCTTCCTCTTCCTCATCATCAGTCTTGGAGGCTCTCTTGCGAGACTTGGTCCCGTTGGCGGCAGCCTTGGGGGCAGTCTTGGTGCCGTTAGTCTTTGGGGCAGTGGACCAGGTGTAGTCGTCCGCATTTAGCTTGGTGCCTTTTTCATCGGTATCGACGATCCAAGAGGGGTTGACACAAGGAAGATCTTTGGCCTTGGCAGCCGTGATCTTGGTGGTTCCGGCATTGAAGTCATACTCTGTGCAAACAACATGGGTTGTGGCCTTGGTGACGCTTCTGGTGACAGTTCCGCCATGCTTACGGATGACGGTTTCCAGAGAGGAGTGGTTGTGGTCAATGTCATCAAACTTGCCGCTCAATGCAATTGCGCAGCCGTCCAAAGGCGGATCAGCTGGAGGCTTTGCAGCGGCTCGTCGCCTGGGAGGCATTTTGGCGAAAGTTGATTGAGAAAGGGTTTTGGGAAAGGGGTGACGTGATGCGAAAGAGTGAGATGGTCAGGTCGAGCTGTTCTTGAGCTCAGACGACGAGGCAGGCCTTTATGACGGGCTGTGTTAGTCTCGCTGTGGGGGCGAAATTAGGGGCTGAGAGCTGCGGCGTCATACCAACTGTCAACAATAACACACCGAATCAAGCAATCGCCGAGTAGGGGAGAAAATCCTTGGCTAATTGCGCGAGATGCGGCTGACGGGGGGGAAACGATTGGTGTTGAGTTGATGCGAAAAGTAGGATGTGAGAGGAGAAGATGCAGAGGAGAATTCAGAGGTGGATGAGAATGAGGGCGGGAGGTGCCTTCCCATTTTAAAGTCAATGGCCCTCAAGTGAAGCAGCTCAGCTCGTACCCCAGCTCAAGCTCAGAGGGAAGGTACGATCCAGGCTGAAACCCCCCACTTGGAGCGAGGCGCATTTGGCTGAAGAAAATTCGAGGACATCCATGGATGTTGAGACTTGTTTGAAGCGAAGTTGGGTTCAAAATCCAAGGATTGATTTATGCATATTTTAATCAACCGTATGATGTTTCTTTAACAAATCTCAATTGCTTTCTTGAGGACTTTCAACGGCGCTTTTCTCCAGAAAACTGTCACCTCTTCAGTTGAAGTGCTCGACTTATTCTGTCACTGACCCTCTTCCAATTAACCTCAGCTCGGCTCCTTCCTCCAGAGCATGACGCGCTTCTAGGCACCAGCACGCGCCACAAGGGTTGAGACCCCACACGAGAATGTCACGACATCACGTGGGTTCAATTAAACCCTTCAGGTGGGAATTGTTGCCTGTTTTTTGAGTCATGGATCGAATACGATAGATATCTCTGGGTCCTGAAGCCTGGAGAGTCAAGGATGAATGGCGATATAGCTCTAAACTCGCCGAGCGAGGTGACATTGAAGGCATACGAAGTAGAGACACTCTTATGGTAATTCGTGTCCAAGCTCAACTTTGGCAGTGGTTAGTCCAGTCAATGTTAGTTGCCTGTCCAGGTTGTACAGAGAACATTGAGCACTCACGAGCAATGAATCAACGCGAAAAATAAATTTTCCATACAAATAGACAGTCAAAGATCCAATATCATTTTTCTCACTGTCGCAAGATAACACCCGATTGATTCCCTTTCGACTGGCCTCACTGCAAACGTCGTCATAGCCCCTGCTCCACCAATCCAGTTGGGTTAGCGAGGGGCTGTCTCACTGGGCTGAGGCCCCTTGGCTCAGCGGGACAGCACGCCTGGGTGCAGGTGCGGCGCTCCTTCCACGCACCTTCCGTCTCAACATCACGCTCTGTGCCACAATTCCTTTGTCCTTCATCTCCCCCATCTCTTTTCACCAACAAACAACACTCCGTCTGGAGTATACAGCTTTGTTATCCACACATTCTACAGAGAGGGTGATTGCCCGATTTGGTAAGACACCGCTCATCTATCCTGCGCTTACTGGATAGTGGCTAACTGATGAGGAGCGGGTGGATCGATTGCCTCGCTTGCTGCCTGTTGAGCTGGGTACGGGCATTCACGAGCGTCTTTGGCCGACCACTATATCTACTGCGTCCAGCTTGTTTAAGACTGTGACAGTCCCAGGACGACAATTAAAAGGCCTTCGCACTTCTTCAACCTTCTACTCTATCCCCACCATCGTTATCTCGGCCGCAACCTAGACATCAGCAGCATCCAAGACACATCTCGCCATGGCTGACCCAGACACCGTCATGATAGACGGAAGCGCCTCAACTACACTGGACCCTGCAACTGCTGGCTCTCCTATCCAGAAAATTCCCCTTGAAGTCCTTCTACGCATCACCCACTTTCTCACCACCCCAGAGCTTGGCAAGCTCCGCCTGATGTGCCGCTCCATTGAGCAGGCTCTCTACACGTCCTTTACCAATGAGTTCTTCACGCGCAAGCAATTCATGATCTCGGAACAAAGTCTCCAGGCCTTAATCGATATCTCCAAGAGCCGCCTCAGTCGCCATCTCCGCAAGGTGCACATTGGTTTGGACCGTTTCCCTCAAGTCCCTCACATCCGCGGCAACGACCCCCAGAGTCTGCGTCTGGCAGAGTATTATACCGGGCAGTTCACACTCCTTAGCAATGGGTATCACCGCGAGATGCTTGTCGAGGCATTCCGCAACTTGAAGCACCTTGAGGATGTTGTCTTCCGCGACTTTAACTCTACTCGCCGAACCCGTGATGGTCCCTATAGGCAGTGGACCAGCTATGGCTCGACAACAGCATTCAACGAAACCGGAACTCGCCCTAACCAGACCACATGGGGCCCTGAGATCACCGTTGCGTACGGCAGCACTGTCTTCAGTTCCGTTCTCTTTGCCCTTGGCCAGGCTGGGGCTCGACCAAAAGGCATCGAGTACATGTCTCGTTCCAGAAACCACCTGCGCGACCTTGCATTCAACATGCCTTCATACATGGAAGCAGCCGTGTTCCCGGTTCTGAACAATTTGGAGAAGCTTCATCTGGATGTTTACTTGACTGGCGATGACGGCTTCTCGGCCTACCCTTCAGCCACCTTTTCGGATGCAAACATGCGCCGGTTTTTGCTCCAGGTCACGAATGTCAAGCACCTGCGCATCAACGAAACTCAGGGCAGCGACACTGGACCAGGAGCTCTTCTCGGATGGCTGGGTCAGACTTCAAACCCTTCAACGTCTGGGGCTTCGGCGAACCCTGCAACATCCGCACCAAGCGTGCCAACCGGCGTCCCACCAACACCGCCACCTTCTTTCCCCTTGCTCGAAGAGCTCAACTTGGGCATGATGAGTGTGTCGCCAAGTCGAGTGTTGGAAGCCCTTGCAAAGTTCGCTCCAACCCTCCAGCGGTTGGAGATGCATAAAGTGATACTTACTCGGCGCCTCCCGAAAGACTCGACAGGTCCTCCCCCGAAGATCAGCTTCTGGACCAAGTTCCTCGAAAAACTCAAGGACGTGCCAAACCTTGACCTTCATCACATCAAAATCAGCTGCCCCCAACAGCAATGGCTTTCACGACCCGCCAAGTCTCCCGTCAACTTCCAGGCCGACAACAAGAACGCCATGGAGTACACCGGCCCCGACTGGAAGCACTTTGTGGGCGAGATGATTCCCAAGGTGGTTGTGTACTACACTCCGGACGAGGGGGATCCAGACAGCGATAGTGACGATGGTATTTGGGACCAATACGCACTTGATTTGTAGCATAGGGCCTTGCCCGTTACTGACATGATTTGTCTGTAGGCTCCCACGACGAAGACGATGAGGATGATGAGGAAGACGAGGATGAGGAAGAGACTTGAGAGGAGAGTTACCTTTTCACCTCGCGGGCGTTTTCGGCTTGGCGATGTTTCTGTGGATGATGACTGGTGGGAAGGCATTCCCCGATCTACTGTTCGTGAAGGTCTGCATGGAGATCATTTGTTGTCACGGAAGAAACAAGGCATTGTAATGATATGATGGGATGGATGGGATCTTGGGACGATATGAAGCGTACATGTTTGGTATGGTAGATATCACAGAAGATGTCAGTGGATCATTGTTAGCCGGAGGAGGCTGTCTGATCACTGGAATAAACCAACGACTACCCCATACTCGCCTCTCCAGTGCTATGTGCATCACGTATATTCGGTTCTTGCAGGTTTAGAGATTCTCTTGTATGAACTGAGGACGTCAAGGTTTAATCCCGTATTTGGGCCTGCAATGGACAAGAACAGCGAGAGACGACTTCGATAGGTGGCAATCAAGGCCTTGGATTCACGAGATAAAGGATTCACCATGAACTGGATAAAGGGTGAGTCGACAAAGTCCTTTTTAACGCAAATGTATATCCCTTCTTGATACTGTTGCTGTAGTGATTAGTTGGGTATGCAATTCTATGCCCCTATTCTACGAGGTACCCTCGCCCCCAAATACGGCGATGGCTCCTTTGACACAACATGTTGAAGACGGACTGAAACCATGGCGCTGGTATAGAGAAGGCTCATCTGACAGGTTGATTTTGATCTTGCTTTGATTTCATTTTCCACTACCCTCCTCTTTCAGATCATCTCAAACACCGGCGGTGAATGCACACTACATAGAAATACTATATATCATCCTCATTTCGCGTTATTTGGGTATCGCTCCAAGATATGGTCTCCCAAAAAGCCTCGTCATTTGCCATTTCCTGCTGCCGCAAAGGCCCAGACAGGAAAGGCTGGCGTGATTCCTCCTCTTCAAGACTAGTCACATCCGGGCTGTGACTATTCCTCACTTCTCCTGTACTCATTTACATACTCGGACCCTTTCGATCTTGGCGTGGATCAGAGCTGCATGTTGAGTTTGTGTTTTTGTGTCACTTGGTGACTTTCCGCATCGGTTCGTCGGTCAATGGTGAATTACCAGACGATGCCTGGGTTGCCTCCCATTCGATTAGAGCATGATGATTTAATCAGCTCGGCCCGTGATGGGATGAGTGTTGAATAGGCATTCTCGAGGCAGGGTAGGCCCTCATTCCAGGTTGAGTGTTCGGCCTGGCGGGCAGATTTGATTTGTCCGACACGTCCTGCCTCAAAGCGCCGACTTCCGGATCCGAATCAAGATTCATCTGCTCTTGCTCCATCATCCGTGTCGTGCAATCGGACTATCGGTTCGGGTCATCGGGGGTTGCGGCGAGCTGGAGGGCTTGTCGCTTCGTTACTTTGTAACCTTGGCTCTGAAGAATCAGGGGTCTCGCTTCAGCAAGCGATCCAGACCCCTTCTCAACTAGCCGGATCCTTTTCAATCATGCCCCGACACCTCCATTCAGAGAATCAATGCCGAGCCAGTCGTTACTGGGCATCCACAGGTTCTGGTCCATCCCCAAACCATACCCTAGACCGTTATCGACTCCTAGGCCATCCGTACCTCCGTCGTATGCGTTGTTGAGCTCCGAAATGCCAAACTCTTGACGAGGAACGATTTCAGGGGCGGTGACGCTGGTCTTGGCGGGAACTTGAACCTCGACGGTCGGCTGAGGTAGGTCCGGCGAAACCTGACTCTCAGGTACCCATGGATCGGCAACGAGGGATGGTGGGAACGTCGAATCGGTCATGGCGGACATGGAAACCGGGGTAATCGGGGCAAAGTGAGACGCATCACCCATGTTGTGATCATCGGGGATCATGTGTTGGCGCAGGGCCTGCCGAGGATACACACTGTCCATTGGCAGTCGACCATGAGGATCTGGAGTTCCCGAGGGTACACGGATGGCGATTCCATGGGATATCAGCTTTTCCAAATCCACCTTGATTCCTTCCGCTGTTTTCCCCACACAGCACTCTTTGATAGTCTGCAGACAAACCTTGGCCCGTTCCATCACAGCGTCCAAGGTGATGTCAAACTTTGGGCCGTTGGTATGATAAGCGTAGGTCAAGACGCGGGCACACTGATAAGCGCAGATAGCCATATCAAGGTCCGTCACAGGTTTTGCGTTGAGTTTTTGCATGGATGAAAAGATGTTAGCCATGGCAAGGGCATGTTCAACGCACTGTCGTTGGCAATGATCGATAAAGGCGTCATCAAGGGTGGCGAGCACAGCTCGGGGCAGGGCTTCTCGAAGACCACCAAGCGCCAGACGGTATAGATCGCAGTGGCATTGTCGCCACCAGACGTGGATCATGATAAAGACACATATTCGGGGAGAGTAGGCGCGAAGTCTCAGTGAGCTCTCGGAGAACTGGAAAGATGTCGGCAGGTGTGCGGCGAAATCACCCAGATCCTTTTGAAGACCCCAAATCCCAGCCTGGAGATCATCCGGCTTGATGGTTCGGGTCAACATGACTCGCCTAGAGAATTCCATGATTCGACGCCGCATGTGCTGTATCCGAATGTGAAGGGCCAAACTTCCAATGTCCTCGGCCTGAGGGTTACGGGGTTTGTCAGGCTCGTGGACTAGTCTCTCGGTGGGCTGGGGTAGGTCAAATTCAAAGTTGCGTTCGTTGCAGGGCAATCCTACGTGGATTTTGTCAGCGCTCCAGAGCGAGTAGTCCCGGTATCCTCCCGAGATGCCCGAATCGACGCAGTAGAGTGCCCACATGAGTCTTCGGCGGGACTCCTGAGCGAGGAAGCAGAGGGTTGGTGACTCGTGGTTTAGACGGAGGGCGGCAGCATATCGAGATGCTATGCTGAGAAGCATGAAAGCACTCGGAGATTTCTTGGAGAGGATGCGGTGCTTGATGATAAGCACAAGCGCCTGGACTTTGATAGTGGAAGGTCGCGTGTAGTCGGCAAAGATGAGAGCTTCGGCATCGTCCATGCATTTCTCGCCATACTCCCGCATGCCAGGTCCCATGTCTGTAAGGTACGACGTGATCCCGACCAAGGCTAGAAGAAGAGCCTTTTCGACCTTGCCCGAGTGGTATCGTTCCATGAGGGATGCTCGATGGAGGAAAGAGTACATGGGAATATGATGGACGTGACGGAAGAACTGGTCAAAAGTCCGACCTATCAAAGCATCAAAGGATTCATCAGGGAAGGGACTACAATCGGTTGTTAGCCTGCAGCAAGAGCAATCATCTACGTAGCATACTTACAGATCATGGGAATAGCCTTGGGGGGTTGCGGTGCTGGCAGGATCGGTCAATCCTGGGTCACTATCATTGTGACCATCGTCTCGATCGCCTTCCAGACTCTGTGGGCTTCGGTCCTCACTCCTCATGGCGATGCGCGCACGCTTGCTTGGGCGATAAACACACTCGATGCCTTGGGAGCGACAGCGGTCGCATGATGGCATATGACCGGAACATCGGGCCTTGCGGCTGTGACAGCTGAGGCAGGCCTGTCGGACACGTCGGCGCGGCAAGCTGCCGGACAAGACGCCTGCGTCGCCGTCATCATAGGAGCAGGGGAAGCCGAGGCGTTCGCAGTTGGAGCAGATGTCGCGCGCGCCATTGCAGCGGACCTTGCGGGCGCGGCATGTGGTGCATGTCAGAGACGACTTCTTGGGCTTGCGGTCGGGAGAATTGGCGTGGGAGGCGGGCTGGGAGGCGGCTATCGGTGGTTGAGAGACAGCCGACGCAGCCGGAACAGCGGCCGAGACGGGAACTGGAGACTCGAGGCTGTGGATGAGGTTATTCGGGTGGTCGCCTGCGGAGGAGGCGAGATCCATGGCGGCAGCAGTCGCAGCGGCGGTTTACGGCTCATGGAGGGACCCAAGGGCTAGGAGCCGGCAGCTGGGATGGGCAGACGGGACAAGATCAATCCACCGAAACCGACGTCAACCTCGACGGGGGCCATGGAGGTGAGAAAAGCGCTGCCTTCCAAACAGGAATTGTTTTTACTGGAGTTTTTTTTAGAGGTGACGATGATGAGTGAGTGGGAGTCAAAGAGCGGGAGGTGGTGGAGGCAGGTGCTGGGTCTTGGGTGTTGGTGGGAAAACCGGGACCGGAATGGGCAGGAGCAGTGGTAGTGGGCTCTTGTCAACTGCAGGGCCATCAGTGGGTGTCGATACAGTCAGTGCCAGCGGATGGGGACCTGATGGATGGAGGGACAGCAGGGTCCGGGACGGGAGTTGGAGCCCCTAGTGGGTAAGGGCGATTAATTGGACTGGAGGGCAGGCGCAGCACACATCAGGCAAAAACTGGCCACAGCAAACAAAGGGTAAAGTGGTCGGACCGCATAAAATCCTCGTCTTGGAGCTCATCAAGACCGCCTCTCGCCGGATGTCTTAGATGAGGTGCTGGCGCGGCTGCTAGCTTTCTAGTTCTGGACTCCAGGGCTTGTGGTTCTGGCTTTTGGGGAGGCGCCTCCATAGATCCACTACCGCCAGCCCTGAGCACACCCCTCTAGTTGCTCACATGAGATGCCTTTACAAGCTGCAAGTTTGGTGGGGCACACATCAATAAGAAGCTGACCGCGACTCGTATCTGGCCTGGGCTCTAATTCTCGAGTATGGGTTCAACTGCTGTCCATCAGTCAACACAAGACAGAGATTGCTTCTCACTCATAATAATAATGCCTCTCGACCCATACGTAAACACGCTCAACCGACTAGCCTGGAAAATGCATGGAACGACGTTTAGTGTGGGCCGCGCTCCAGCCCAAAATCTTGGCAAAAGATCCGGTGCCACACCTCATAGGCTGAGCTATGACACAGAGGTTTGTCGCCGCCAAGCTTGCAAGGGGAAAATCTTCATCGGTCACTTGGGTTCCTTCGGCTTGACCGCAGTCCCCAGGCGGGCCTTCTGGACTCTTTATCTGGTCACCGAAGATAGGGGAACATCGGGGAACAGAGCAAGAGGTGGCCGAGTCAGTTGAGTCGTTGAAAAAGAGATCGAATGACTGGACAACATGATATTGGATCGTGCCTGTTCGCCTCAGTGGAGGTTGAGCTGTGCCTGATGCCACGTTCAACTGCAACAACGGGACAGATGCGGTGCAACAACAATCATGCCCTCTGCCAAACCGATCCATCTCCCCTCGTGCTCACCTTCTCAAGAGGTCAGCACAAAGAGGAAAAATCTCCCCGGCAGTTTGTTCCCCGCAAATCCGTGCCGCGCCTGGGGTGCTCATCTCTCCATGCCCGAAAAGCGTTACCATGTTCCCACAACGAGCAACTCTATCGTCACAGTGTTTCTGCCATCATCCAGACGGGAGCAGAAAACCTGGGGATGCCAATGAGAGCGGGCTCGCACCGAGGAGCGACGCCCGTCGAGTGCTTCAGGCTCCGCTTCAAGGCCCCTTATCCCGGCGCATGGGCTTGGGGCTTGTCTCCGCCATGGACCAGGTCATAACCGGGATTAAAATCAAATAATTTCCAGGTTTAGCGGGCGAGGGCCGATGCCTGAACTGGAAGATGATGGGAGACGCCGGCGCGTGGCTTGGAGGTTGAGTGTCCTCAGGTCAGGTACGTACCGAGCATGATTGCTCCTTCCTTGGACTTGCGCAGCTGCTCCTCCCAAAACCGAGCCGGCTGGTTGGGGTACCGACGACCCGAAGTGAGCTTTGCAAAACTTGGTGGGAAGTTGCGACCAACCGAAGCAAAGGGCGGACCATTAGCCCCGCTTGTGTCCACCCTTAACCCTCCCTCCTACCAATTAGTGCAACCTCTAGGCCACACCTGCGTCATTAACCGACTGCCGCTCCGACCACCGCCATATCATCGTTTGATGCCCCCGTAAAATTCGGACTTGCCCTTTCGGTGAGATTATGTGGTCGAGCCGAACGTTCCAGCGTCGACGAATTTCAACACCCAGGACACGATATTGAAGCGAAAAGTTCGGAATGAAATCATTGAATCTCAGCGATGCATTTGATATCAGGTGCAGCATCTTTCAAACACCTTTCGGTTCTCGGCCCAACGGAGCCGACTTCCGGCCCCCTCGCTCTCCCTCGTTTGTAACCCCAGCCAGCTGGCGTAAATCATGATGATACCCGGCGTGCTGTGTGGTCATCTATTACCTCATAACCCATCTATCCCCTGGCTCTATAGCTCTGTTCAATTGTGAGAGCGAGATGAGTACGAAAAACACGCTTTGCGATTGTTGTTTCAAGACAGCCTTGTCGGGCTGTGAGTTTGAATTCGCTGTGACGAATGATGAACTTGTAGGTCTTCATGACACTACCCAAGCTTGCTGACCATCACAGAATCACCACGAAGCCGTCTTTAAACGCGTCAACTCGATTTGCGCAACATGTCTTCCTTTCAACCTCGGTTACTTCCTCGTCTAGTTCAGCTCTATCAACGCCTCGCCACTCCACTTTGCATGCCTGCCCATGCCTTTAAGCACCGATCATGACACCACCTAGCCATGCCTGAACGCTGTCAGACACGGCTTCGCCAAAAGAACTCAGCTTCGGCTACAACCGCTCTCACATATTGCCCCTAGCTGCTCCTCATCCCGAGCCCCCGAATCCCTCCAAATCCAGATCATGAGAAGGTGGAAATCCGAGCCCAATCCTAACTTGTCAGTTGTCAACGACAACTCCAGTTTTCCCCGCAGCCGGCGCCCTAGCTCGCGAGCTATCCGGACCAAGCTTCTTCCTAGTTCAGGCATCTGTTTGTTGGCTGGACAAGAGGTTGTCATCATCCACAGTCCTACTCTAGCGCCGATTCATCCTTGATAGTTAGACACCTCCTAGATAAGCGTAGGAGGAGCCCAGAACAGAGAATACGGATTGCCCGTGAGGTCTAGCCATGTGACCCTGGAATTGCCGCACTCGGGGACCAAGACGCGGTTCCCCGGGCAGACGGCGACTGTTGTGTACATTGAGAAAGCCAGTCAACCTTCCCAGTCCCCGAGGGCCGAGTCAATATCCTAAGTTTTTCTGTCTTGGCGAGAATTTGATCTTGCACAGAGCTGTGATTCATGGCCTGGCACATTGACAGTTAAATTCATGCTTCCCCCATCAACCCTGCCCAATTCTAGATCATCATATCAAAGCACATTCTTCCCGGTCAGGGGATACAAGAAAAATTACAGATATATCACAATCAGTGTCCATATGTGAATCAATCGCTTCTCGCGCCAGAGTAGTTAGTATCGGAATTGTGCAGTGGAGCATAGGGTCAGGGACATTCCTCAACTCAAGCAGTCAATATGATAAGTCGCTTCATAGATACGTAGAGTGAGGAAGACGACGCCATTCTTCTGTATCATCTAGACGAGTCTTCGAAGAAGATGGAGGAAAGTATCGTGTTTCCTCTTAATATGGATCATATACCCTTAGGAAGCCAGGGTACGAATTTAGACTACAGTCAATAATCATACCATAGTAGCACAGTTACACACCAAGGCATTTTCTCATAAAGGGGGAAATGTCGGCAAGATGGAATAAAAGCTACTCGTAGAGAAACTCTGACTATCGGCAATCCATTCAAGGTAGCACCATAGGATTTCAGTTTCGCTCCTTAAGCTTATCAACCTGTTACTGAGAATCAGGTGCTGGAGACCATTCCTCCATAATGTGGCATCTCTAAACTGTCTTCATTGAAGCAATGACGTTCATATACATGAATGATGAACCCGCAGAACTTAGATCACCGTCATGACTCATGACATCAAATCTCGCGTCCGTATGATTCTGGCTTGATGAGTTTTTAACACGAACTCAGGTTCGATTATATATCCGTATGGAAATACTACTTTTCACCTAGTTCGTACGTTTCGATAGTTGTGATCTCTGCCGAACAAGGTGTGGTGGCCAGTGATGAGCCAGATGAATATGAGTGATGTTGATGGAACGGGAAGAGGACACCAAATGGTGGGAGAGTCCCTGTTGATGGCATTTTCCAATATTCTCTCGATAAATGTAACAAGGCTCAGACTCAAGCATTCTTTCCAGGTTTGGTCGTGAAACCCGCTGAGGATGATCTGTAGCTGAGAGGGGGATTCTTGAGATGTTCAAGAGATCGTGCCGTGAATGTCAGTAATAAGGAGTCTTACTATGATAACTATAGTGTCAATCAGCCAAGTGACGCATTATCGGGATACCCCTTTTCCAACGGCGAGGCGGCATCGTGGACTTGGATAAAGGTATTCAGATCCTCGTTGATAGCTGAACTAGCCGTGAGGGGAAACAACTCAAGATAGTCTGTAAAATTGGCTTAAATTGTTTCGCTGACGCTTGCCATACTGTCAATGATAGGGAGATCACCTGAAGGTGGATAGGGTCAAGGTCTTAAGGGCACCCCTAGTACTCGCTGATGTCTATCTCAGACTCTCATGTTATGCAAAAAAGCATTATCCCAGATGATGGCAACCTCTATGCTGGGTACTAAAAAGGTCGAACTATGCGTCGGTTGAAAAGTCAGGGATGATTGTTGCGCAGGCTCGAACTTGACTCTAGCACTCGCCCTCTAATCGGCGTCGATAGGAAGAGAGACGTCAGCATCTTGGGCAATAATCGCGAATATTTTATCGTGAGCGTTAAAGGAGACCGATAGTAGATTTAAGATGCTTATGTTGCCCAGAGAGATTAAATGTTCATTTTCATCCGATCGCGGATGAATCGGACAACAAGATGTATAAGGATCAGTTCCTCTCTGCGGCGAGTGTAGGGTTGACGCATGAAACGCCGTCATTGACAATCCACGTGTTATCACGCGTCAACTGATGACTGCGACCTTGTAAGCTTTCCAATCTTCCTGGCCTGTAGTCCGTGGCCTTTGTTTCACCCAACTCTATCGTGGCAATCGCATCAAGGGTTCGCGAGATAAGACTACCAAGACCCTGACAGCTCGTGGCTGTTGGTCATTGACTCAGACATTGGCAAGCCACGTTCCCGGGTAGTCTCGACAACACGTGTCGTGTTTCTGGAGGGTGATGGGAAACGCCAAGCGTAACAATAACCAAACTTTTGGACTCATGCTGCAGCTAGATGGAAGAGGTTGCGGCGTTATGCAGCATTGGGTTTTATATAGCACAAATATTGTGTTTTAAACCGTGTCCTTTGCTGTCATGATCAACTCTCTGTTGGGGGACAACTCACCAGATTAACAATGGGGCAAGTCTTTACTACGCTGGGCTCAAAAATGAACTCAATAACCAGTGTTGATGAATGGTTGAATATAGATCTAAGAAAGAGATAGGTGGAAGGAAGTTTGGCCTCTTTTATATTTGTAGCGAGATGGCATCATTCAATTACGCTATGACGAGACTGACACACTAAAATGATACCATCAACAAGTCAAAAGATGCCACCAAAAGTGCCAGTCTATGCCTAGAATGCCAAGCATGTAACTATTGATGAGGCAATTCTCCGATAGGAATAGAGCTAGGGGCATCACTTGACGAATGGTGGCATAGATTGTCCAAGGCTTTGCCGGGATAGATGCTGGGAATGGCGACATGAACAAAAAGAAACCATCGGGATCCACTGTGCTTGGCCCAATCTCGTGTATATATACTGCCAGAATCACCTCTATACGAGCCATTTCATCTTCTCTAAAGTGTCACGGTAACATTAACCCCCTTGAGATCCTCAACCCTAGAGCTTGAACCAGCCCAAAAGTTGTAGAGACCCTCACGAACCACGAGCTTAGCATTGACATAGTATCCAAGGTCCTTGTTGAGAATTGAAAATTCGACGTCCTTGCTCTCGCCAGCTTGCAAATCCACCTTGTCGAACCTCACGAGCCGTCTCACGGGGAACTCGAGACCCACGGAGGTGTTGGGCCTGTGATACACCTGGACGACCTCCTTTCCGGCTACCTTGCCTGTGTTCTTCACGGTAACGCGGATGTGGACCTCTCCGTTCTTGTACTCGGCCGTAGGAGTCGAAATATCGAAGGTTGTGTAGCTGAGGCCAAAGCCAAACGGCATAGGAGAGGCCTTTTGCAACACAGGCCACTGGTACGCCGAGTGGAAACCCAGTCGATCTTGACTACCGCCTGCGTCATCCGAGGGGAGGTAGTCGTAAAAGGCGGGCACAGCACCATCGAGCTGCGGCATGCTGACGGTGAGCTTTCCGCTTGGGTTGACCTTGCCGGTGATGACCTCGACAAGGGCGGAGTTTGAGAACTCGCCGCCGAGGAGAGAGTGGATAATCGCGTTGGAGCGGAGTGTCGAGTTGTTCAAGACAAAGGGCTGGCCGCCGGTGAGGATGAGGACGGTAGGCACCTTTGCGTCAAGCACGGCGTCGAGGAGTTGTTGCTGAAGACCAGGAAGACCAAGGTCAGCATGAGCAAAGAACTCGCCATCAGTTCGCTTCTTGAAGAGAGGGTCCTCCATTGGCGCCGAGAGAGATCCGAGCATAAGGACAGCAAAGCCAGCTTCCTTGGCTGCGGTAACAGCATCGGCAATTCCACTATCATCAGCAGTATCGAGCAGGTCCACGGCGGGAACAAACTTGACATTCTTCTCGCCGAGGGCCGACTTCAAACTAGCGTGAAGAGATTCACCCCATTTGGGGTTCGATGCGTTGATGGCGGCATAAGAACCGAAGTTGAGGAGTTCACCAAAGGGACCAAGCAGAGCTACCTTCTTGGGAGTCTGCGGGAGGATGCCGTCGTTCTTGAGAAGAACGATGCCCTCTCTGCATGCTTCACGGGCGAGTTCCAAGTGGGCCGGCTGTCGAAGAGTCTTGTTTGCGATTTCAACATCTGGGATGTCGTTATCAAAGAGCCCGGTTGCGAACTTGATGGTGAGGAGGTTGAGGGCAGCTTCGTCGATGAGCTTGGCGACCTGCTTGTCCTTGGTGCTGTTGACGAGATTGGGGAACACGGCCGGATTACCGGGGCTCAACTCCATCTGCAGACCGGCCTTCAAAGCCTGAAGCCCAGCATCTGCATATGAGGTGGCAACCCGAGACTGCGTGTACATGTTGGAGATGGAGCCAGCGTCAGACATGACAACTCCTTCAAAGCCAAGCTTACCGCGGAGGATATCCTGAATCATGTACTCATTCATAGACATGGGGATGAGATCGACAGAAGCGTACGAAACCATCAGTGCAGCAGGGTCTGCTTCCAAGGCGCGGATATAAGGACGTAGCTGGTCGTTAAAGAGATGGTTGATGCCGCCATATTGACTGGCGGTGTTTACACCACCGCGTGACTCGCCGTAGACAAAGTGCTTGATAGTGCAGGCCACCTTGATGTTTCCATCCTTGTCCTTGTCTTGCATGATCTGGACATAGGCATGGCCAAACTCACCAGTCAAGTACGAGTCTTCTCCATAGCTGTAGATGGTTAGCCACAACCTCAAACACGTGAGAACAGTACTTACAGTTCGCCAATACGGCCATATCGGGGTTCCCAGGCAATATCCAGAGGAGGAGACAAGACCCAGTTGACTCCGATAGACAACTGCTCTTCGCGGATAGCGGCCGTGATGTTCTTGAACAGGGGAAAGTTGAAGGTCGAGGACATGGCCAAGTTGCTAGGGAAGACGGTGCCACCAGGGATGAAGAGACCGTTGACTGAATCCGTAACAGTAATGAATGGGATATGCAGACGGCTGTTCTTGATCTCCCTCTCACGGACTTCATTGACAAGAGGGAGAGCATCCAAGATCCAGTTAAACATGGGACCAAAGCCTACACAAGCAATGTCAATAATCCATCATATCCGCAGTCAAAACCGGAGAACTTACCAATAGTACCATGTTGAAGAGGATACCTCTTCTCAAAATTCTCCTCATCAACCTCTGGGCCAAGCCTCAACAACCGTCGAATACTCCCCATCTGCGCAATCTTTTCCTCCCAAGTCATTTTCTTGAGAAGGGCCTTGGCCCGATCTCTAGGAGAGTTCTTGGACTCGGCAAGGCCTAAGCCCGCCAGCGCCGCGAGGACGTACTGAAACTTCATGATTGAAGATGACCAGATGGATGTTCAGCTTTGCTCCACACTGGATTGCGACTTCAAGCCATGATGGGGTTTTAAATCTCTCTTATAAAAGTTTTCAGAAATTAGGATACTATACGTAAGTTCGGCTACATTGAACCATCGCCCTGGACTATGATGGCATGACAAGGTTTTGTTTCGCGCTGGTCATAGTGTCGGTTGTCGCTAAGCGGTGACATAGCTCAAACTCCGCATGCCGAGTTGTCTGCCGGGTGAGTCTTGGCACCGAGACTACGAGGGGATTCGCATGTCGGGGCTTCGGTCGGTGGGTTGTGCGATTGGTCGTAACCGGGGAGGCTAGTCGGGCTGTCAATCCTTGAACTCTGGGGGATGCGGAGAAGCTTGTCTTAAGCGAGTTGGGATGATCTTTTTGGTTGTGAGGAGTATTCTTGGCGAATGCTGGGGAAGTTGGGGATGTTGGCATGAGAGATTGGAGAGATGAGTGTCTCATGGGGTGTCATGATACCGTACAAGTAACGAGGTAACAAGATGTGGCTGATAATCAAGTCTATTCATGAATCAAACTGTTCATCTAACTCATCTACTCTTCGCTTACACGTCTATGATCTAGGATGCACCGGCTCATCTCCAATTTCCACCATCTTCTTCTCCAGCAAGGCCGTCATATGCTTAACTACGTCCTTGTACTCATTCTCATGATACACGTTGAACAGTTCCAGAGGGTCCTTTTCACAGTCGAATAGCTCCCACTCCTTATACTCCTCATCTCCCGGTCGGGCACCTTTGATACCCAGGGCTTCATTGTACCAGTAAATCAGCTTATATCGCTGATCACGGATACCGTAGTGTGCGTAGGCGTTGTGGATGATGTCGTTGTGCATCCAGTATCGGTGGTACGCAGCTTGGGGCCAGTCCGTGGGTGTCTTTCCTTGTAGTAGAGCTCTGAAAGACTTGCCTTGCATGTAAGAGGGGATAGGCAGGTTGGCAAAGTCGAGCCATGTAGTAGCAAAGTCAACATTGCAGATAATGTCGTTGCAAACTGATCCGGCGGTGATTTCTTGGGGATAACGGATCAGGAAAGGCATCTGGAATGACTCTTCATACATGAAGCGCTTGTCAAACCAGCCATGCTCACCAAGGAAGAAACCCTGGTCAGAAGTGTAAATGACAATGGTGTTCTTTGCAAGCTCCGGCTCGTCCTTGTCCATGTAGTCCAGCAATTGGCCAACACTATCATCGATAGACTGGATAGTGCGAAGGTACCGTTGCATGTAACGCTGGAACTTGAACTCTGCAAGCTCTCCAGAGCTCTGAAAGCGAAAGACGGTTCCATCTTCCTTGTCAATCAGCTTGAGAGCTTTGAGGTCTTCTTCGCTAGTTGGTGCGGGAATCTTCCTCTCGCTCGCCCCCTTTTCTTGTTGAACTCGTTCTCCCACGCGTCTTCCGCCGTCAGGCTGTACGAGTCCAAGATCTTGGTATGTGAGATCCTCGGCCACTCTCATCTTGGCGATCTTTGCCGCGCGAGCACGGTTTTTGTAGTCATCGGTAAAAGTGTCGGGAAGTCGGACGGGGTCCTTGTATAGATCCTTGTGTTTATCATCACACTCCCACGATCGATGAGGCGCCTTGTGATGGCACATCAAAAAGAACGGCTTCTTCTTATCTCGCGACTTTATGAAATCGAGAGACTTGTCGGTGATAATGTCGGTCACGTAGCCGGGGTTGACGTGAACGCCGTCGGATTCGATGAACTCGGGGTCCCAGTACTCGCCCTGGCCTGGGAGGACGGACCAGTAGTCGAAGCCGGTAGGTTGATTGTCGACTTCTTCTCCCATGTGCCACTTTCCAACCATGCCGGTCTGGTAACCGCCCGTTCGAAGGTGCTTGGCGACATTGGGAAGATGCTTGTTGATCTGCTAAGCGTTAGAATGTCAATGGCTTCAATTGCACCAAAGAAACTCACGTGGTCATCCAGTGTCATAACGCCGTTGACGTGGTTATAAGTACCACAAAGAATAGCAGCTCGACTAGGAGTACAGATACTGTTGGTCACATAACAGTGATTGAACAGCATGCCCTCCTTGGCAAGACGGTCGATGTTGGGCGTGTTGTTGATTCCAGCACCATAACAGCTGATGGACTTGGACGCATGGTCATCAGCCATGATGAAAATGACATTTGGACGGCCACTGCCGCTGCTTGCTGAGTCTGTCGTCATTGTTTGCTCTCGATTCTTTGACAACGACAAAAATCAGGAGAGAAATTGGGTTAATGGAAAGCACGCAAGATGAGAAAAAAGTGACACAATGGAAAGAGAAATATTTCTCAAGGCATAGCTCGCGTGAGATCCTCCTCCTCTCATGACACTCACACATCATCCCCCGACGCCCGAGTTTCAGGGTCCTGGTCCGGAGCGGAGCCTCGGAGCCGTCGGGTCCCCACTTGCCGGCATCGCGGTGCTCGGCTCGGGACAGTCGCTATTGGTTGACGTACGGTGTGCCATCATGACCTTTGAGATTGGATCTGGATGTTGGCCGAGACCTTGATCCATGATGAGCGGAATATGGGGTGCGTTTTGGCGAACAAACTCTGTTATCCACGTGGGTGGATGAGCTGGGGTTAGCCGGGGGAAACCGCTGGGGAATTGGCTTGAAGTTCCGTTTAACGTACGAGCTTAGGACTGAGCTGAGTTGGTCTAATAATCTGTGAATGAGTGGGTTAAGGAGCTCTTACACTGGGAGAAGGTTGGTGCTGGTATATGGATGTTCCAGCTTTTGAGATACCCCGGCATGGGGGGATAGGGAGATAACGAGAGGAGAGTAGAATCACGCCTTGGTATCATTAAATCTCGTCATCGCTAGTACATATACTGTTCATCAAAATCGGCCAAGTACCCATTCAAGTCCTGAGTCCCGGCCGTATTACACGCCCACGCGTTCAAATCCAGTCCAACACCACCATAAGGTAGACCAAACAGGAGATTAGGATCCGTAATTGGATCTGCCAACGGATAGCCCGTCTCCCTAGTATTCCAATCTGTAGATGGCTCTGCGACTGGTTGCTCGTCTTCTGTGGATGCTGTGAAGCTCAGAGCTGGTTCCGAGGGAGGCTCGGGGGCTGCGTCGCGGCTGTCGTCGACAAAGTCAGACTGTCGGAGGAGACTGTGGATGGCGAGGCGTTGGCGGATGTAGGCGTCTCTCGATAGCTTGGGTGGTGGTCGTGGTGCTGGATCTGATGTTGTTAGGGCTTGATGATCTGAAGACTCTAGCCATGACTTGTGTTGTTGGATGACTCGCTCAAGTTCTTGTCGCTGTCGCCAAGTCAGCTTCTGATATCCGTAGAATAGGAAAAGGGATGCTTACCATGGGCTTGAGCTGTGCCGAAAAGTCAAAATACCGTGTAATAACATCCAAACACAGCTGCGCTTTGTTGATGGCCATCTGCATCGGAAGCCCAGTATTGTCCTTGCCAGTATACGTCCCAAACAATATGAGACGAGCACCGTGATATGCACAGACGGCAGCATCAAACTCTAGCATGTCCCTTTCATCCTTGTGCTGTACAAAGTCGGACAAGACCTTGACGATCTGCTCGGCGTGGGCCAAGCACTTGTCCTTCATCAGCGCCCTTTCGGAGGCAGACATTCCCTCGACGGCTGCGTGTGGTGTTGCTTCAGGATATCCGGTGAGGAAGATGCGGTAGAGGTCGCAGTGACATTGGTGCCAGCTCATGTGCTAGGCATGTTAGATGACGCTACTAAGCGGGTCGTAAGACTTACCATGATGGCATATTGGGGCGGTCGATGTAGTTCTTCAGGATTTGTAGGAGGGTATTGATCGCCAGGTGCAAGCTTTGTTCGAAGACGAAGGAGGTCGTTCTGGAACCTCTCCATAGATGAAAACAGCTCCGACAAATTGACCTCCTTGAGAAAGACTCGACGATTGAGTCTCATGATAGCCCGACGGATGAATGCAAGTCGAACAAAGGCCGCCCGAGAGCCCAACACTTCTGGCTCAAGACCTTTCCCTGGTTGTAAATAACCCGTGCTGACATGACGCTCTTGATGAAAGTCGACATCTTCGCAGGGGAGCTGGAGATGGATCGTGTCCGGGTCAAAGAGTTCAAACTCCTTTAGCCCAACGCAGAAGCTGTCTTCAAGTAGATACAGCGACCAAAATGTCCTCCTCCTCACCTCTTGAGCCACAGGCCCTAACCTCGAGTGCTCATAGTTGAGTCGTAGAGCCACTGCCCATCTACCAGCGAGACCAGCCATGATGAAAGCTCTCGGAAACTGTCCAACACCTGCACGATAGCGGATGAGTAGAAGCGACGCTTGAAGCTGAAAGATGGACGGCTGTTCGAGACGGTCGAGCATAAGTCGTTCGGCTTCTTGAGCCCAGGCATCGCGCTCTTGGTTGTGCTTGTCGAAATACATGGCCGTGATGGCACATAGGGCCAACTTGAGGGCTCGGTCGATGGTCTTGTCGCGACATCTCTGAATGACGGTGGCCTTGTGGAGGAAGCTGTACGAGGCAAGGGGATACAGACGATCAAAGTACTGAGCGACTAGACCCGTGACTAACTCGTCTGAAGGTGAAGAATCTGTAGGCTGATTGACTGGAGGAACATCTTCAGCAGGCCCTGGACTTTCGTGTTGAGAACCCGAAGTGATAGACTGTTGACGATCAGGCGAGACGGCACGCTGAGAGCTTGAACCCGCCTCATCCCTTGAAGAAGACGCACCCTCCACCGGACCCCTGGAAGGACCAGGCTTGGAGTTTGAATAAGTGCACTGCTTGTTCCTCCTCTGGCAATTCGAACATCTAGGAGTATCCCCCGAGCATCGGACCTTCATAGCCCGACACTCAAGGCAAGCCCTCGTACCGCGACACTTTGGCGGCAGCCGAGGCGCATACTGCCCGTGAGACCCATCCTGCTCAAAGGAGCACTGGAAACTCAGACGCTCGCAGGTGCGACACCGCGGCACGGTTCCATCGCATCGGACCTCCGGGGAGTCAGCACCGGCCGAGACCCGGGGTGTGTGGTGGGTGTGTGTAAACTCACCTTGCGGACCCGGCATTGGACGCAGGCAGCTTTCATGGTGACCCCATAAGATAAGAAAGATATGTTGCTTTTACTTCGGGCCTCGGGGCTTGACGAGGTTTTGAACGATCCGGGGAAAGTTGAAGGATCCAGTCGGCATTCGGGGCCAGGGGATTTGACTGTCGGATATATGCGAGAGGATGAAGGAGAAGAGAAAGAACCCTGTTTCTGTTTGGTGAGAGGATACCTCAATCTGGGGTAGTGTCTGCCGCTACGGCTGTCACGCGGGCCAACGACTCATGTAACGGTGTGTCAAAGACAAGGCCAAGTAATACAGACTCTTTCACTCTCCTTTTCTTCCTTCTCAAGAACAAATGTTGAAGGAGGTAAAAATTGCATCTCTCTCTTCACAACTACCAAAAGGACGCAAAACCACCATTCTCTTCTCAACCCCCCAAGCACGCCATAACTCTCGACAGCTTCGTCCAATGAACCTGGATGCTACTCCCCGTTAGCCCTGCTCTCTTCCGCTGACGACACCAGGGCCTACGATGGCGTGCGGGGTCTCCGCAAATCATGCATCTCGGCGCCCAATCAGCTCCGGGCCCGACCGAGATCCCCCGGCCGACCCGCTTTTCCGTCGGCCAAGTCCCCGAACCCTCCGGGCTATTGCCAGCAACTCCCCGAAGCCCCTTGGCGGCTTGGTTTTTGGAGTAGGTGCAGCTGCAGCTGTAAAGAAAATAATTGTGGAAAAATGCAAGAATGGTCAAGCTGCGATGAGAAAAACTGGTATGTAGTATTGGCACACCAGGAATATATCGGGACTCTATTGGACACCCGGACGACTCATGCTAGTTGCGGTCTAGCCAAACTCCACGGATCGATGCTTCTCCTATCAAGCTTCCGCTAGTCACATCAATGGCCCCTCTAACAGGAATCCTCCCTGACCGAGCTCCGACCTTGGATCCCTTTACTCACACCACCCTGTCGGGTCCCTATGGCTCATCACTACGAAAAAACAATATCTTATAAAGCATCAGATGGGCGTCGCATTCTAAAATCCACATCCAGCTTCAATTATTTCGAGCATTGAATCTCCTGCAATGTCGCGCCTCGGCACTTTTCGTGCCTCGTACCTCGTGGCTCTATGCTGCGTAGGATCTTTTCTCTTTGCCTATGACACTGGTATCGTCGGGGGCGTCTTGTCCCTTGAAAGTTTCCAGCGCGATATGGGCATGACACCCGAGAGCAAGTCGACAGTCAGTTCCAACTCGGCCAGTCTCTTGCAAGCTGGAGGTGAGTCTATCTTGATATTCCCCAACTTACCCCCTATGCTAACACAGCCCAGCCTTTTTCGCGTGCTTCTTCGTCTGGCCCTTTACTGCACGATACGGTCGACGATGGTCCATTGTTCTAGCCTCGTGCGTCTTCAACATTGGCGCGATCCTTCAGCTCTTCTACCCAAACAACTCGGTCGCGACTTGGTACGCCGGACGCGTCATCTCGGGCCTCGGCGTGGGCATCGCGACAGTCATCATCCCCATGTTCAGCGCCGAGATGGCACCCAAGGCTATCCGTGGCCAGCTGGGCAGCATGTTTCAGTTTTTCTTCACGCTTGGAGTGTTTACTAGCTACTGGATCGACTATGCCGTTGCCGAGCACATGCCTTCTACTACAGCGCAGTGGAGAGTTCCTGTTGGACTGCAGCTTGTTCCTGGTGGTATTCTCGGCATGGGCATGCTGCTTACAAAGGAGAGTTGTCGTTGGTTGGCCAAGGTTGGGAGGCACGAGGACGCCTTGGAGTCGTTGGTGTGGGTTCGTGGTGGTGAATTGACCCCTGAAGTTCAGTCAGAGTAAGTGGTTAGGACTTTGGTTTTTGCATCATCTAACGGACTCTATACAGGATGGATGAGATTCTGGCTGCTATTGCCGAGGAAGAGCGCATCACCGAAGGTCTTACATGGAAGGAATATCTTCTCCCTGCCAACCGCTGGCGCATGTTTATCGTCATCACTCTGCAGATTGGTATGGATCCCGTCCATTACTTGAAACAGCATCCGCTAATGTCAGTTCTCAGGTGTCCAACTTACCGGCAACACATCCCTCGCCTACTGTAAGTCGATTCAAATATCCAACAAGTTACAATATTCTAACAAGTCCAGTCTCCCCTCAAATCTTCAACGCCGTCGGAGCTGGTTCAAACGCCTTCCTCTTCAGCGGTTTCTTCGGCCTCGTCAAGGTCGTAGCCTGCTTGTTCTTCCTGCTCTTCCTCGTTGAGCGTATTGGCCGAAGAGGCTCTCTTATCCTTGGTGCCTTTATGATGGGTGTTTACATGTTGATCGTTGCGGTCATCACTGCTACTCATCCACCGGTTGCAGGAGGTGGCATGACATCTGCTTCTGTTGCTTCTTTGACCATGATTTACCTCGAAGCCAGTGAGTTTTTACTTGATTATCCAAAGGGTGGTTGGATACTAACTGGGTTGATAGTGACGTATAACATCTCTTGGGGTCCAGTTCCTTGGGTGAGTAAACTATGATTTCAACTTCTAGCATAACTAACATTTCCCAGCTCTACATGTCCGAGATCTTCCCCACACGCATCCGAGAAGGAGGCATCGCAGTGGGAACAGCAACGCAGTGGCTTTGGAACTTTGCTTTCAGCCAAATCACTCCCCATGCTGTTGAGAACCTCGGCTGGAAGACGTTCCTGATGTTTTGCATCTTCAACTTTGCTCTCGTCGTCTACGCTTGGTTCATCATCAAGGAGACCAAGGGCCGATCTCTGGAGGAGATGGAGCTTAGTAAGTTTGACATTTTTACTAAATAACTCTGGCTGACTTGTATTTTCAGTCTTTAACCCCAACCACCTTCGGATCGATCTCGAAAGGTCCTCCAAGGATACCTCTGGAAGCCCCAAGGCCAGCCTGCAGATCGAGAACAATAGCGTTGAGGGGACCAAGAACTAAGTTCTGATGGAATTGAGCCTTCTATGTTATCAGTGGGAACCATAATACCAGCCTAACCTTCTTGGCCAACATTTGAATTCTTCTTGGCAGTTCCTTGGAATAGTCAGATACAACAGTCTGTGGATCTACCAGTTTAGCGGTTACCAATAATCCGAGATAGTATGTTAATACTCAAACAGGGTCAAGTCTTCATCCCTCTGGCTCCTTGTCCATCTAGAAATTTGAGTATGAGCCACAATATCAGGGAAAAGCATATCTCCACGCCATATCCGGTTTCATCATAAGCATTTATTCTAGAAGGTAATTCTTCCACATCTTTCTTATGTCTTTAATATTCCCTTCTTCACTCATTATGCTCGGGAAGACGCGGGTCGACAAAGACCAGGCCCAAGTGTACTAGAACGAGGATGGCATACAAATACACGATTCTTAACACCTTGGCCAAACACATGCTTCTCAGATGGTAATCTCGCACCAAGAGAATTTCAGTCTTTCCATGTTGGACCTTTATACCCCCGATAGCCCGACGCTGTCCCTGTCTCGCCTCGAGCATCATCCCCGACGATCCGAGCCGGTGTTTTGCTATACAAAAGTTATGATCGATTCGGATGAGATATAACCCTCAAACCTTCAATTTCTCTCTTCTTAGGGGTCAGCAAAAGTGCATATCAAGAACACTGTATTATTCACTTCTCTGCACAACCAACTCCAGCCGACAGATCTCTATATTTATATGTTGATCTCGTGCCTCTAGTATCTGTTCTGATCTATCTAATAGCTTGTATAATCATCACTCGACCCCCATGGCCCAATCTGCAGCTGCTACTGCATGAATCTGGGCTGTATCAAACACGGGCAACTCGCTTCCAGCCTCATCCACCAAAAGTCCGATCTCGGTACATCCAAGAATAAGACACTCAGCACCAGCCTTTTTCAGCTCTCTAATAATCTCATGGTACTTTTCCCGCGAGTCGTTGTTGATAATACCACTACAGAGCTCACTGTAGATGATGGAATGCACCGTCTCTTTGCCCTCCTCATTCGGCACAATAACGCTCAAGCCAAACTTTTCTTCAAGACGAGACTTGTAAAAGTCTTTTTCCATGGTGAATCGAGTTCCGAGAAGTCCGACAGACTTAAAGCCCGCCTTGAGAATACGGTCGGCGGTGGGATCAACGATATGGATGAGAGGGAGTTGTGATGCCTTCTCGATGCCGTGGGACACAAAATGCATAGTGTTTGTGCAGAGTACGATGCCGTCTGCACCCGCGAGTTTCAGTCTAGCGGCAGCATCATCAAGTAGAGCGCCAGCCTCATCCCATTTCCCAGCATGTTGAAGCTTCTCAATCTCGGCAAAGTCGAATGAGAAGACGATGCATCTCGCCGAGTGGAGACCGCCCTGAACCTCTCGTACGCGGCGATTGATCTCTTGGTAGTAGGTAGTCGTAGACTCCCAGCTCATACCTCCGAGGAGGCCTAAAGTCTTCATGGTGAAGCGTTGTTTTGGTGATTTTAAGAGGTTGTGGTTGACGTGGATGAAGGAGTCAGGTCGGCGATGCCCCGCTTTCGATGTCTGCCTCAGCACTAGTAATCATGATCATGCGAGCTTTTATCTGCGCAGACGGAATCAGTCAATAAGCTTGTCAATGTGTGGTATAAATGAGCTACTATTAAAGGTCTTCTAGTAGCTTTGATGTATGCGAAATACCCTTGCTAATACCCAGGTGAACGTTGCCAGGGACGCTTAATCTGCAAACGAGGGTCCAGGCAAGAGATGACTGGAGACAAACTCCAGCCTGCACTGGAAATATACATGAAGGCGACATCCCTAGCCTGGCCTCTTTAGGAGGTATCCCTTTAAACTTTATGCTTAATTACGCCTTCAGCCATAAACAAGCTTAATCGAGGCAGTCATTTGCAGGTGATTTGGTGAGAATGGCTTGAAGGAACCATGTCATCGAGAACTTCAGACTGGCAACGACTTGTCCGTATTCGAAATGAATCCAATTGATCCCTATTTACCCAAATCCCAAGTGTAAATGTCATTAATATTATCCAAGCGCCCCAGAATATGCAAATCCCAAACCCAACCCATCTCATGAAATCATGTCTCGTTCACCTATATCCCATCTCATGCTCAATAGCAAGCCGTCTTCCATGCCCCGTCTGCACATATCCATAACTCCACCGTCCACCGAGACCTTGAATCTTGTTCTTGCGGTCCTTGGCATTCATACCCGCTACACCCTCTACTCCCGCGACCCACGGTGCTTCGGCCACGTAGTACATGGCACCGACGAGACTGCGTGGATCAACGGGCAGATCAGGCCATTTGACAAACAAACTTCCAAATAGACCAATAACCATGAATACCAAAAGTCCAGCGCTGAGTCGTGAGCACACTTGGTGGGCCAGCCTCGTCTGGGTGAGGTTATACGGCACGTTGGCGAAAAGAATCGGGAGGAACTGTGACATGAGGGACGCAACGGCCGTGAGGAAGAGAAGAAGATCACCCGCTCGGAGGGCAACAAAAACACCCGAGAAGGCGTTTGTCGGAGGCGTCATGAGGACGGACCGTGTGGGGGATTGACTCTTGTCTGCCATTCTTCGGAAAGGCGTGATTGCCGCAACACCTGCAAGAATCAGCAATGGTCAGGGTTTCTATAAGAGAGTAACTTACTGGTAAAGAGCATGTCCCATAGCCAGATGATGGAAACACCGATGGCAGAGCAAATGAAACGGACACCAAACTCATTGCTCGCCATGGCGTTCTTGAGGCCCTTGGGTAGGTGACCAAACGTGTCGACGAAGTGATAGTAACAGATATAGGCAAGCAGACAGAGCAGAAACACACCAAACAGGAAGCGGTACCAGAACGTCAGAGCCATAAACGTCTGAGGAGCTCGGTGAGACTGCGCACGCGGTCCACCCTCATCAAAGGGCGTGGTGCCGTAGGCTTCTGCGCCGTGGTTATGCCCATGGTGGAGGACGACACCGTACTCGTCTCTGCCTTCATAGTTTCGAAACGTTCCAAGCTTGAACCTCTTGTCCACCACGGCATCTTTCAGAGCTCGATAGTCGTGGAGCGGTAGAGCGCGGAGGTCTGGGTTCCTCGCCATGAGAGCGGCTGCGTTGGCCGAACACAATGGATTCGCTGCTACACCCGTGCTCCAGCGACGACTAATGACGATAATAGTAGCAATAAGAAGGGCTCCGATTGCGATGAGTAGCGCAAGCAAGCCGTATGCTGATCTTTCCGATATACCGAGTTCCACGGCACACCCGCCAATGGCTCCTTTACGACAACGGCCGTGAATCTTGAGACCGATGGCTTCACTGGCCAGCGGAGCAAACAGACTCGATCCCCAAGCTGCGAGTGCCGTGATGAACGGTAGAGGTTGACTGTTTGCGAGCAACTTGAAGGGAATGGTGATGGCGTCGATACCATCGAAGCGGAGCGTTAGAGCGTCTTTGCCGAGAGCACCCTCGGGTCGTGAGAGAGCCGCAAAAGGCTGGAACTGAGTAGCGGCTAGGTGAATCGCACGGAGCGTCATGGCGAGCAACACGGCGATGATGGGCGGGAGGAACGCTCCGATAAAGTATCCCGCACCCGTAAGCGTGTACTCTGTAACCTCCATGACAATCTTGAAGTCTCCAGTAGGTGTCGAAACATCAGTGACAACGACCCGAGTAGGACCAACGCTCGTAACCCTCGTAGTAGGCAGCGGCGTAGACATGATAGTAACAACCTGTCCATCCGCTTGCGTCTGAAGAATCGTCTCTACCGGAGGTGTCTCGGTGATGGTCATGACAGTAGCAGGTCTTTCACTAGTCTTGACCTGAGTAACAGCCTTCTCAATAGGTTTCCCATCATCATCGACATAAAATACAGAAGTAAGCCTCGTAGTACCCGTCTCAACGTACGTGACAGGAGGACCGAAGCTAGTCTGCGTGGTGGCCATCGTAGTGACATAGGTGCTCGGCAAGTAGGTGATCTGCGTCGTCTCCCGCGCAGGCTGGATCTCGGTGGTGTACTCGGGGGCGAATCCTTGAGGTTGGTCTTCTTCCGGTTCGACCGCGTATGTGCTGGTGTAGCCTGCGACTGTAAACACCATTGTTGAGGCTACTGACTCTACTTTGGTGACGACGGCATCGGTGGTGTAGGTTTCCATTGCCGAGGACGAGGCGATTGTTGTGGTGTATTTCTTTTCGACGAGGGCAGTAACCAGTTTAGGCTCGTCATCGTCTGTTTCAGTAGCAGTGGGTGATGTCTTGCTGTCATCGTTGTCGTCGGTTTCCGTTGCTGATGGCGATGTTTTGTCTTGATCGTCGTCTGTGGTTGTGGTAGATGGCTTATTCTTGGCCTTGTTGTCGGTGGGGGTCGTTGAAGAAATAATATCATCGTCTGTCGGTGTTGCTGATGAATCACTCTCGTCATCCTCAGTTGGTGACGGGGAAGATTTGTTCTTATCCTCTGTAGGACTAGGCGAAGAGACGTTGCTGTCATCTTCTGTCGGGGACGGGGAAGATTTGGCATCGTCCTGTGTAGGAGAAGGCTCCGTCTTGTCCTCGGTAGGTGCCTCTTCAGTAGGCCCCTCCACTGTCAGCTGAGTTGGCTTGACCTCGCCCTCAGTCACAACATCTGCAGGCCCCTGACTTGGCTCTGCCGCCGGCTCATTCGCAGCTTGTGTTGGCTCAGTCTCAACCGACACGACAGCTGGCTCGCTCGCAGTATCCTGTCTCTCCACAATACCAAGCTCCCTCTTAAGAAGCTCAACATCTCGTGTCTCAAACCTCAATACAGTTCTCTTCATAAGTCCAAAGCTTCCCTGCAAGCTAAACGATCGCGACTCGAGCTTGTACGTCGAATCCGAGTTCTTGAGTTCGTGGAGCGCGTAGCCCATGGCACCCAAGATAGCCGCGATGGCGAGGATGATGAGGCCAATAAACTGCCATCTCAGGGCAATAGGTCGATAGTCAGACTTGGGCAGCTCCGAGATGGGATCCTCCGACTTCAATGGTGGCGGCGAGTCATTTCGGTCTTCTTCGATGGGCCACGCATTCTGAGGGACGGCCTTGTACTCTCGAGGAGCTGTCGGTGACCAGGCATGCTGTACTGGATGTGGCTGATGCAGGTTATCATGGTCGAGAGGCGTCTCGAGAGGCGTCTCGAGCGGCGAGGGCAGATCCCTCTGTTCATTCTGTGCAACCGGCTCGTACTCACGAGGACTGGGCTGCGACCAGGTATTCTCGGGATACGGCGGTTGATGCATATTGACGTGACCGTGAAGAATCCGATATAACCTCACAAGACAACAAATGCAACGATCACAAGACGGGAGGCTGGTCTCTTTATTGAGAGACCGGCCCCCAACTCTACAGACTATTTTTCCCGCCTGCAACCCTCCAAGGCATCCTTCCCATGCAAGCCCCCGTGAGACAGCCTAGACCCCCAGACCATTCAGCTGTGGCGTCCAATATCCGTTCTCCTCGGCATGCAGGACAGCCGGGGACTTGGTTTAGCGAGCCGTCCTAGGCTTTTATTGGACAAGACCCGAGGGAGGAATGGTGTAAGGCTGAGGCTGAATCTTTTGCCAAGCCCGTTAGCGCAAGCCAAGTTGTCGGGGCTGAGCTTTGGCTCAACAGTTAAAAGCTTCGCTTGAGGTCTAGGCTCTGGTAGTGCCCAACGGCTCAGCTGCCTCTGTTTCTCTCCCTCTGTCTCTGTTTCTGCAAACATCGAAAAGACAAGTTGACTTTTCAAGACCGTGAAAAGAGATTTAGCCTGGGATGTCGGGAAATAGTAAGCGGCAACCATGATAGTGCTTACTCCCCTCGGCCGAATTTGGGGGCCTCGCAACAGAAAAGAGGCTCAAGAGCGTGAAATGTAACCCCCTGTAACTCAATTTTTAGCATCTTGAGCAAGGGTTAAGGATGCGAAAAACAGGGATGTGTCTCCTGCAACTGCAGCCTGATCAAATCAACTGCCAGTGACATGCAGATGGTGGCTATGTTAAAAACAAGGCCCTGCTACTGCATCTCTGCCGCCTGGAGTCTTCCAGCAGGGCTTAGCTTGAAGTGAGCTCCCCCCAACCTCTGAGTTTGTGCCGTGTCCGTTGGTCGAGCCCGTCTGCAGGGATACTTTACAAGCCACCATCAGCGGGCTCCATCCCCGACACAGCACTGTCTCAAGGTAAACAGGCTGTAAAGCATTCCTATCAAATGTGTCACAGGTAAATAATGCCACTCTTTCTACAGTAATCCGAGTATACGGCCCGTCTCTATCTTTGGATTCTGACAAACCACCTACAAACCCCTCTAAGCAAGACGGGAATATCCGACCAAAACAACTCTTTTCCGAACGTGTCAGACTCTGACAGGAAATACGGCACATGCGCAGTTTGCATGTTTTTATTGTGTTTGACGTGCCGTGTTTTTCTTTGCATTGAGTTCCAGGCTATCGATCGCTGGTCCCAAGAGGCGCTCTTGGCATTATTTCCACATAATCTCGCAGGGCAGAATCACCCAAAACTCTGAAATTGTCAACGGTAAAAGTTGTTATTCATTGTCTGATTTATCATGAAATCGGAGTAGCTGAAGAAGGTGGCAGAGGTCATTCAGCCAGCCACGGGAGAGGCTGTTTGCACCAGCGTGACTGCATGTTGCAGAGCCAAAAGAGGCTCTTTCAAGTGCTTCCTCACCGTCCTAGGCTCAACAAAGTCCTTCCCATCCAAATGCCCTGTTATTGTATCCTGACGCCAAGTAATAGGATAAGAATATGCGTCAATAACCAGGTTGATATGTCAAATATCTGCTCCCAAAGGCGTCAGAATAATCCGACTCTACAAGGCTTCGCCTCCAATGTCAGCAGTGCATTGGTGTCGACCGTTCACGCGCCAGACTCAAAACGTGCTGGTGATGCTGTGGGCTGTGCAATCCTCTGCTATGAATAGAGTGTGGCTTCCAGGTTGACAGGTCAACAAAAGGCACTCTCTGTCCGGATATGGCCAACTATGATCCCTATTCAGATTCGCAATTCTACCCTGGTTTTTTCCCTTGGTTGTTTAATGTGCAGCTGAAATGCCTTCCGCCCTGACCAAGGGTACAGTCCCGATCGATTATTAGCCCTGAGACATGGCAGCAAGTCTCCTTTATGGTTATAAATCTTAATCACTTCGGGTGTCACATTCATTCCAAACACCCGGTTTTGTTTAACAGTTTAATATTACTCAATTCATCGAGGCTGTTCTATCCCTCGCCTCGTAGTAAAACCCAACGCTATGATTGCCTTTCCAAAACACCATCCATTTATCCAAGAAACTCCATAAAATCACCAGCCGAGAATGTTAAAGATGCTCGTGCGAGGGTCAGGAACAGAACCGTCAAAGGTCTTTGCCCGGGCCGCTTCGCTCTGGGTGCTGTTGTATTGGCTAAAGTACCGGTCGAATGTGCGGGATTGTGTCCTGAGCTGGGAGGAAACGTAGGTGCCGACAACTGAGACGCTTCCGACAACGAGAAGAAGAGGGAGGGCCCTGAGAATTGTTAGAGATGGTGGATTATGAGGTAAAGTGGTGTGACTCACTTAGGGCCAGCAGTAGGCTTGATCATGGGAGCAGCAACCATTTTGAAGGTCTTGAGTGTTGTAATTGGTGCAAGTGGTGTAAGTGGTGTAAGTGACCGGTAGTCGAAGACAAGGATTGTGGTAGTTGTCAAGATCTCAAATGGATGCTTGTGATTGAGTGATGATGATGATGATGATGAATCAGGAGACTCAAGACGAGAGAAACCAGATATTATATACCGTTGTAAAAGAAGCTTTTTACCCATGGTACGGTCATGAATCTTGGTCGCATGTCGATAGTTCGACTCTGAAGCTCGGTGGTGCCACTGTGATGCTCCAGCCCTGGCCATGAACCTTTTCGGGCAATACCGGGGAAGCTTGTCCCTCGTATAAACACCAGACACTCAGGGAAAGAGATGAAGTAATTGGTCAATTCGGTCGTCTTGATCTTGCATCTTGATTAAATCTACAAGATCAGATGAATCTTAGATCATGGTAACCATCCCTGGTGTAATATGTAACCTGAGTGTCGGGTGCGTTTAGGTACTTCAACAGCATGTACCTCGCTACAGGCCGTGAAGAGTACCCAACTTCTGTTACACCATCCAGATACAAACAATAAAATACATGTAAATCAATGATTGCTTGCATCTTTCAACATTCCCATCTTCTTACCCTCTTCTTCTTCCGAATGCTCCCGGACTCGACTGACGGTGATGGTATAACCTACAATCCAAATTCGTCGTGGCCAAAAAACCATCTGATGATCGGACCCGGCGTCTACCGATCCACCCACTGTTGCCAAAATTCGCCGGAAAATCAGCAGATGGCCCGGCTTGAGGCTCGGCCATTCCAAAACGTTGAAAATCTGACATTTTTCTTACTCCGAATGACACGTTTACATGCCAGATCATGTTGGTCATCTAACCGCCGCTCTCCGCGGTCGCGCGTCCCCGAACGAATGGTATGGTTATGGTGCTAGACTGATGACAGGCCACGTTGATTGTCCATAGGCCAGTTAACCGCAGTACCTTCTCAGCCATTTCATCCTTCAGGGGTCTTTTTTCCTCTTAATTCAGAGCAAACCCTTCCATAAGTATACCCACAGGCTCCGTCCCTAAGCGCCGTGGGACCGTCTGCAATCGTAGGTCCGCGCCGGGAATCGCCGGTCCACTCTCGACCGATGTCCCCACAATACGCCGTGTCCTTCTCCGGCTCGACGGGACCAGGCGCTTTACAACGAATTAATATCCAAGGACTCTATCAACTTCAGGGCAACACATTTGAGATAGAGCTTCCTTCTTTGTGCTGGAAAGCTCATTTTTGCTTCACACTTCTACCCTCATCAGAGAAAACTAACACAGTCTACTTCAAAATCCGGCAACTCACATGTTGCCAAGAACATGTCATGATGCCACACTCAACTTTATTCTGCTGATCTTTTTATAGCTGTTTACCAACATGAACCCTGATTTCGACACTATATATTCTCCCTAGGCTTTCGCTTACGGAAGCGGTAGCAGTTCTCAGACCCTCTACAACCATCACATGCTTGAAGCCTTCCCGGAGACGTATCACCGCATATGCCTCTGAGCAACCTTTCCTCTGAAGGCTGAGCAACCGTTAAACATATCCCTCTGAAGCATAAAATATCACCACATTCATCTTATACCGCCAAACTTCTAAGGAAACCCGAGCCGAATTTGGGTTGTAGCGCATATGTCACGAGCTACAGCACCCCAAGCTGCACCCACCAAAACAAGCTCCCGCAGCCAAGGATCCCTTGTCTGTGTCTAATAACCAACCAGTGAGGCTCAAACTTGATCTCTGCTCAGGACAGAAATCATTCGTCGTCAAACGCGGGGAAGGGGCAACATCACCCGCTCCCGTTCCATCAGAGGTCACCACACGTCATGCCATCATCATCTGAGAAGTCATCAGGTTCCCCTCTTAAATACCGAAAGCTCCCCTTGTAGCTCCAGGAGCTTTCTCTACCCTTTTTTACTTGAATGATCAATTAAATTCTAAAACTATTCAATCATGACTTTGGTGAGAATGCTCAGACCCGGTCTCCGACCTTTCGCGGCCCCACTCCTCCGGCCTGCTCAGTTCCGCTTCGCTGGAACGATCCACCCTGAGGGATCCCTCGGCGGTCCGGGAGGCCAAAAAGCCCCACCGCCAAACCCGGGCGGCCCTGAAGCGTTGAAGCGCAATTGGTAAAGAATCTGTCTCTGAGCTTCATTAACAAGTATTGACAGTCTAGGGTCCCCATCGCGGGAGCTGTCGGTGTTGTTCTTGGGGGTCTCTACCTTCTATCCCCCGCAAAACCCAAGGTCGAGAGGACCTTTGAGGGAGACATGAGGGCCGCCAACTCGACAGAGATCGGTTCCATTCCCCAGCCGTCAGGAGGACCGTCCCTTGCCACGAAGTACAAGGACAAGGAGGTTGAGTCGTTGACGGAGCTCAGCGGAAGAAAGGGCGGTGGAGGAATGGGCGGGTTCAGAGCTGAATGAGTCCGCATAGATTACAAATTCTTTCGTTATGGCTGGCCCATGGACCGAAATTGTTAACCGGGCCGGGTTCCTGAAGAAATAATATACAAATAAATATGAATTAATTATGGACAAGTCTAGATATCTTCCAACGCCATGAGTCTGCTCAATCTTGCTTCTTCCCAGCATCTGCCTCTCCGCTCTTCTTCTGCAATAGATAATCCCCTCCAGTCAAGGCCTTGTACACACCTCTCAGCCCTTGAAACGGCCAATTCGTCCTTACAGTAGACTGCATCACCTTGTCTGGCCCCTCGATGTCCACCTTGACCTTGTCGTACACAGTTGGTAGGTAAGTAGCCCCGTACTTTGCCCTCAGCGCTTCGTATGAAGCTCGGTCGTAATGCGTCCAGAATTCATCCTCGGTGTAGTAGGCGTGCGCGTATAGCCACTTTTTGCCACCGCATGCTTGCACCTTTTGTTCCAGTGACCGGTTATGCCGGATCGCATCCCGTCGGTTCCCTTGAAGTGGGCCCCAGATTCCATAGTTGAGCAGGTCCGGCGCTCCGGGTTTGGCGAAATCCGAGTGTAAGCCGTGTCCCGAGTCCGGGTCGTCGCGCTTAACGTGTAAGGGACATAGCCAGAGGGGATAGATGCCGAATTCTTTGTCGAGCCATGTTTGGAACTCTTGGACGCTTCGATATGGTACGCCAACGTCTTGAACCATGTAATAGTCAAAGAGGTTGCTCTTGTGGCCAGCCGAGTACATGACTCGAGCTCGTAGCAGTGAATCCAGGACATAGCGCGTGAGACGGTTGAAAGGGGTGAGAAAGTACTTGAAGGCATACTTGGCCACCCAGAAGCCTCCACGATCGTACCGGAAGAGATAATCCTTTATCGGGATGTAATCTGCAACAACCGTAACCATACCAAGTCGGAGGCCATCTCGGACCGTCTCAACGTGAAGATAAAACCACGGGTCTTTCCGGCGGAAAAAACGCATCGGCTTTGCGCTCACGGGGAGGTCATCAACAAGCCGTCCAACACACACCACAGTCGTGTCCTTGGAGTAGACAATGCCATCGACATAGTCATTCTCAAGCTTTTTACACTCCTCTTTGATGATCTTGACCGTCTCCGCCGGGCCTCTCGCAAGTCGGTACTTGAGCTCGACGTACTTTTTGGCCTCCTTGAGCTGCACCTCGAGCAGCGTGACGACACCAAGGGTTCCAAAGGCCGACGCAGCTCCCCAGAAAAGATCCTGTCTCTCTGTTTTTGACGCATGAGTAATTGTCCCGTCGGCAAGGACAATTTCGATGGAATTGACAGTGGCGTCAAACGCGCCGTAGCGAAACGAGCTGCTCTCTCCAGAAGTACCAGAAAATCCTCCCCCAACGGTGATACCCGGAAACTCCATAACAACGAGCGGTACCAGGCCATGCTTCAGAGTCGCGTCGACGAGAGCATCCATTGGAACATTGGGCTCAACGAGAACCGTCTTGGAATCCGTCCTCACCTCGAGGACATGGTTGAGACTGCTCGTGTCAACAGTATTGTCGACGCGGCGATTCGACTGACGCGTGCTGTTTGTCGATCCATGATATAATCGAAAAGGCTCCTGCCTCTTGTGAAAGTACTTAACCCGTTCAGCAACACCCTTTACGACGGCATCATGAGCGTCCATTGCAAAGCCGAGGTGTTGACATGAGATGGGGTTGCTTGTGAAGGATTTGGTTGAAGTTGAGGGAAGCCTCAATTCCTGTGAAAAAGAGTTTTAAACGATTTGACCGACCCGTTGATGAATTATCCGACTCATCCGAGAGACGTTGCGTCTAATTTGAATCATTGATGAGCTCATGTTATTCGGTGAAAAAGCGGCCAAGAGGATACGCCACGTCAAATACGTAAGCTTTGACCATTTTTCGTTTGACCCCATCACCAACTACCCTACACTTTTGCCGATCAACATTTAATTTGTTAAATTAATTGGTTCTTGGCCTTTTCATGCGTGATCTTTGGAATTTGCACTGCCTGGTACGCCTGGTTAGAGGTGACCAAGGGTGTCGCGGCGAGAGCTGACAAGGCTGTTGGGATGGTTACATGGTGCGAGAATTGCTTCGGGCTAGTTCATCACCGCCTCACTCGGATGCCTCCTTGAACAAACACCAATGGCGACGAAGCAGTGGGAATAGATCGGCTTTGGCTGGCGAGCTCACCTGACGTTCGTATAAGTCGTATTAAAGCATAAACATGGCACATTCACATTTCATGCCAAGTCCCGTCCCAGCTTCTATTAGGGTACTATAGAGACTCCAAAACAATTTGTTTCCCTCTCAGCAGAGATCCAATTATCGCCAACAAAGACAGCCCACTTGCATAGGGCTGCCTGACCAAAGTCTTCACCGTCAGCACGATGCCTAGCTTAGGCCACAATGGCTTCGTATCGAGTCCCTGATAGGCTAGCATCTCCAAATCCGTAAACATCGTGCACCGCCATCTGCCAAGTTATATACAGGACCAATGTCGAGCTGAGAATTATCCTGTGCCGCCCGCAGCATCATCATGGGTGGACGGGATACTTGGTGTGCACTCTGCGGCGCTGTAACACGAGAACTCTGGTGGCAAGATGAAGATGATGGAGAGGAGGACTGCTACGATCATTCTGTCATTACCCAAGACGACACCCTGTGGTTGGGAGAATGCACTCTAGTAGCCCCATGGAGCCCAGAAGATGAGGACTCAGAAAACGAAGAGCAAGACACTCCCCCTCCTTAGATGCTCCTACTAATGCGCTTCACAGCTTTCACCTCATCCCAGCCAGCTACTGGGACCATGGAGCCTTCGAGTTTGACACCGAAGAGGGGGGAGGCATGATATCAGGGTGAGTACACCATGCACTCCTCACAAAGATGCCCATCTAACAACCACCCAAGATACGATGATGGTGGCGATTTGGCAGTCGGGTACCCCATGCACGACGCATGCTTCGAGCAGCTCCGCAGAGTCCTCGCCCCTAAGCCCATCGACCCGAGAGTCCTCTACCGGCTGTTCGACCGATATTCCAACCCACCTGGTGGACCTCTGGACATATCCTATGGAGGGGCTGAAGAGTATCATGAGCAGTATTGGCCTTCCGCCCGGGGAGACGAGTACATTGTCTCCTCTCCGTGCTCGAGTCCTGAGCTTCAAGCATGGTATCAGTCCCTAATCAGACCGGTTCCAGAAAACCATGACAGAGCTCCAGTCATCCGAGAGTCTACAAAACCAGGAAACGACCCTTTTGAGAAGCTTCAGCCCGAAATCTTGTTACACATCATGAGCTACATGGTCATGCCGCATGCCTGGCCATGGAGGATAGCCTCGAGAGCTGTGGCTCGTCTCGAACTGAGAGACACCTTTTGGAAGTTGAGATTCCAACAGGATTTGCCCTGGTTGTACGAATTTCCTCGGATAGACAAAACCCTCGCCGACCATATCGACTGGGAGAACCTGTACAAGAGGATCTGGAGGGCCGTTCTCACACATGGTCCTGAGAAACACCTAGCACTCGCAAATCGGTATCGCATGTGGAACATTATCGAATGGGTTGCCGATGTCTATCTTGACTATAAGGATGACGAGGACCAAGGACAAACAAAAGAGCCTGCATCCCTTGTGGACGCCGTATCAACGACCATGGCACCACTGACTTGTATTGAGTTGGAGCACTCGATCCACGAGGAAACACTACTTCTACGCAATTTCTACAAATTGCCTACCACTCGACCCAATATTGAAGTCGGCTGGACTCCGCTTGGCGAACTAAAGAGTATTGCAGTTGAATACGTGCCCTGGCTAGCCTCCAGATCCGTCAAGAAGAACAGAGTCGCCATACCCATCGACTGCTGGCTCAAAGGGCTCGTGGTCACAACTGAAAAGAACCCAGTCGATTACCCAAAGATCATCGGCCTCAAGTTTCTGTTTCCAGATGGTGGAAACGTTCAGCTTGGTGAATCTGAGGGAGATGAGCACGAGGAACTTGCTCTCCCTGATCACTTTATTGTCGGGTTCAAAGCGGTAGAGACGCTTACTGGGACTATCTCGAGACTTGGATTGGTTCAGCAACCGGTGTACAAGGTTCCTAACCGTAGTCGTCTGTTGCGAGAATAAGCTGTGGTGCAACATTTCACTAGGACTACCTCTGTGTTCGTATCTCCAGTTCAACTATGCTTATTTGGCTGTGTTGGAGCCCTGCAATTACAGAGTGCCTACTGGATCGCTTAGTTAGAGGGGGTGTTGAAGGTTTAGAAGAAACTGCTGATGAGTCTCTATGCTCTGAAGATGCTTTAAAGATGCTCTAAAATGCTCTGAAGATGCTCGGTAGGGACTCCTTATATAGCCCACCAGTCATCAACAGCCACCGAGGCCCCTTACTTCTCGAACCGGGCATCATTGGCACTGTTGTTTCCATAGCCCCTTGCTGGGCAAGGCTTGAACCATTCCTACTATAGACCTTGACACCGCTGAGAGCTTTTTTTAACGGACTGCTTCCAGATTGAAAGGACATGATCATGCTTGTTGCTTGCTTCTGCTATGCAGGTCCATGAGCCCTTTGATGCAATGAGAGCGCAAGCACTTCACCCGACAAGAAGGTGCAAAGACCTATGTCGATACCAAAATGTTTATTGAATCATTCTATCAGAGAAAATGCGGCCATGATACAGCCAATGCTTGACAATGCAATTACTGACGTTAGCTAACAAGATGAGCACAATCAACACCCTCATGCCTTTAGCAAACCCCGTTCCAAAGCAGCTTTCCGTTCCCATGACAAATAACAAAGACCTTTTCCCATTCAACCCTCATCATTGTTTCCTCTGTCCCATCAAGGCAGGTTGACCAAGTTCCCATACCACACCAAAAGTCAAAACAATGTTCCAGCTCGTCAGCAAACTCCTTCAGTGAAACGCATTCTCATCTCTCTTCTGAGGCACCTCATGTCGATTCATCTGGCTCTCCTCCCGACGTCGCGGCGAATCCCCAGGAGCAATGTTGGTCTGATCAAGAGCATGACCAACCCAAGTAAATCGCAGCCAAGACATGGGCTCACGCGCCGCAAACGCAACACTCTGCTCATCATCCTTGTAGAAAAGAGCAAGAAAGATCTGAATCGTGAAAACGGCTGCGTTTCCTGCGCAGTGGGACAGGTTTCCGAATCGATTGTCTTCGAACCGGAGACCGAGGCTTTCCATGACGTACTCGAATCGCATCTTGGGCCAGTTGAAGCGCAGCTCGAGCTGCATGTCTCTCTGAACATCCCAGATTTTGATGTTTGGCTCCGTGAGCCATCCCAGCCCCAGTCGACTGAGGGTATTTTCAACGGGACTCGAGTCAAAAGTGAGAAAGATGATCTCACGAAGTCGATTGTGTCGAATCTCATCCCTTCGACGGTTCATCTTTCGAAGTCCCATGAACAGTCGGTAGAGTCTGTACCCGAGCTCACCCTCCTTGACAATCTTGGACTTGCCAAAGGCAAACATGTACGGCTCGACGTGAAGCCAGTCAGACTTGCAGAGATGGCCCCAGTGGCCTTTGTACTCCTCGACGATGTAGTGAAGAGGCGTCATGAGTTTGAACCAAGAGTGTCCACGATCACCGGGCATGGTCCAGCGTCCCTTCTTGTACAGGACATTTCTCATGTCTAGGTATGCAACGCCAGCTTCGGTGAGGGGGTTGTAGCGGTATCGAGTTCCGTCGGCGTAGCGACCAATCTTTGTCTTGCAGAGGTGTTCAAAGTCGAGGGCAACCAGCACGTAATCAGTTGTCGGTCTCTTGTTGAATCGGAAAGAGTTTCGGGGGTCGATGACTGGCAGGACATTGTCTAGACCTTCGGGAGCTTGGGCTCGGAGGTGTCCGCAGCGAAAGGGGGGGATGTGTGATTGGCTTTCCCCTGAAAAGAGACCTTCCTGGTCGGACCAGGTAGATTCCGATGAGGTGGACATGTTTCGACTTGATGATTCAAGCCTCAATTAGTATTGGATACTGTGTTGGATTGTTTGTGAAAGCTTGTTGATAGCAGAGAAGTTGTTGATGGCTGCAGGTTGTTTCCCAGCAACCGACTGTGTAGCTAGCGTGCTTGCAAGTCGATGATGAAAACAAAACCAAGAGTTGAATCAAGTTTCCTCGATGATTCAAAGAGAATAAAAGACCAAGTCGAATGATGTAAAGGAGTATCAAGCCAGCTCAAGTCAAATCGAGGAGAAGCCTGCGACGCAAAAGGAAACTCTTCAAGATCAAAAAGAAAAGAAGTCAAAGTGCAGGTTCAGATCAACTCATTTATAGTTACACTCCGCAAGTGATTAAGAATAGCCAAAAGGGTCCGTGGGCCGCATCAAGGGGCGGTTTCGTCTCAACGTTTGCCCTCCATTGAACCGTGCTTCACAGTTTGTGAATAGCTTGCAGTACTAGATGAACAATGAAAGACTGGACGGTGTTTGAATCACTGTGTTGGCTAGGCTAGAGGCGAGTGGTTCGTATTGTGAATGTTTGTTTGGCAGTCTGAGGAGCCTTTGAGACTGAAAGTGGCCGTGATTCACTGACGTTGATTCAGACAATACTAACAATAACCTGTAAGCACCGCTTTGGGTAAACTCTCTCAACTCATCTCATCTTCACCACATCATCACAGCCTTGGCTTAGCCGTCAGATACGTTCCCCCTAACTTCAGCATGTCAACCGCCTCCTTGACCATCTCATCGACAATCTCCCCAGCCGGCTGCACGCTCGTGATGGCTCCAGCAACCTGTCCCATGAGATAAGGCAAGTCCACATCCACTCCTTCATCAAGATCGTGCTCGAGAGGCACCACTCCCTTATCGCATAGCTTTCGTATCTCTTCGGGCTTGTCGTGCCACTTTTGGATATACTCATTCGTCTTCATCCTCAAAGGCCTCCCAGATATCACAAGCGTCCTCTGCGTCTCATCAAAACCACAAGAAACAACCTCGTTCTTGTGCTCCTCACTGCATCCCGCCTCAACAGAGGCCACAAACCTCGTACCAACCCAAACACCCGCTGCTCCCTGCATCAGCGAGCTCGCAAGGCTACGTCCAGACGAAATGCCACCAGCCGCGAGGACCAGCGCAGGAAGACCCTTCATAAGAGGAGGGTGATACTTGGCTGCCACGTCTGCAACAGCAGGGATGAGGACCGAGTTGGCAACGTCACCTGTGTGGCCGCCTCCTTCGCCGCCTTGCGCGCAGACCATGTCGACACCAAGCTCAAGCGCTTTCACCTAACAAGCTGCGTTAGTGAACAGCAATCAAGTGCTTTGACCAAACTCACTGCGTGCTTTGGATGTCCAACCATATTCATCACCAAAATCCCCTTGTCATGAAGCCTCTCGATAACCTCCTTGGGCGGCACACCAACCGCACTAACAAACAACTTGGCACCGCTCTCAATAGTAATATCAATCAGCTCATCCAGCTTTCCACCCGTGTAATCATGGTTCGTCTTTCGCGCGTTCCCTCCAATCTGGGGAAGCGCGAGGTCGACGCCAAACGGCAGGTCGGGTCGTGAAAAGTTGGCCTTCATCTCGGCGATGATCTCGCGGAGCTGGTCGGGTGTGTACATGAAGCCGCCAATGACACCTAGTCCGCCGGCGTTGGAGACAGCAGCGGCAAGACGGCCTCCTGATGTCCTGGCCATACCGGCGAGGACAATGGGATGCTGGATTCCCAGCAGGGAGGTGAGAGGTGTTGTAATAGGACCTGGTGTCGTCATGGTGAAGGTTGTGTAAGTGCCAAGTTCTCAATCACTAGGTCAATCCAGGAGATAAAAAGGTTCAAGTAATAACAATGAAGCAACATCTTATTTACTGTCTCAGCCTCTTCCCAGCCTCCGGGGTACAAGTAATACCCGGTTTGCGGGGGATCCGGCTTTACCTTGATCAACCGGGGTTGTATGCGGGGAGATCGGCTCAAGCCCGAGGCATTTCCGCATTGGGGAGCACTTCATTCACATGGTGATAGATCCAAGACGAGGATCATTGCCCAGAATCAACTCAAAGCTGTTATGAAAGGCCGTGCAAGTCATGTGAGAAACGTCAAATGCTCAATGTTGCTACATCTGCAATTGTCTTTCCCTTTCTCTGCCAATGACAGACCCAGCCATAACTGCCAAGTTCCCATCCTTCTCAAGTTGGTATCATACATACTTCAAATCGTCGTGGTAAGAATCGCTGTGCGTCGTTACCACGTTTCATTAGTCTTACAGCCATTGAGACTCGTCGTCAGTAAACAGCGCTCGCCTCGCTCGTATCAAAATCTCCCTTGACTCCGCGCTGCTTCAAGCTGCATGCATCCCCCATACCTTTCCATCACAAACTGATAATCTTCTCATTGAAAGTGTGGTAAACGCGCTGGCACAAACGCCGGGTTCTCTGGCGGTTTTGCGCCGGCCGCAGCCTTCGGGCTCCTTGCTCGATCTTCCGCTCCACGTGTCTTGGGCACATGAAGTTCATTGCTGACCTCCTCCATAGCCTCTTCGGAAACATTCTTGCCAGTCTCGCCTTCATAGACCTCATCCTCTGCCACCTCGGGCTTGGGTTCAGGCACTGATTGTATACCAGGACTTGTCCCTGCAAGACCCATCTCAGCCGCAAGTTGTGCAGCAGCCTCTTTCTTCCTTGCCACTTCTTCGTCTTCCTCCTCTTGCAGTATCTGCTCTTCTCGCTCCAGATCATGCAGTGACGGAACATCATCAATATCAGAGCCGGCAAGAAACGACGTGGATCGGCGACCCATCCGTAACGAATCTCTCGACGCAACAGACACCAACGTCGTCCTTGAGACAGTTCTTGAACCAGCCAGTCCAATCGCTGGCCGCTTTCCCTTTCCAATCGTTCTCAGGCTTCGGCCACTTCCACCACTTCGTCCACTACTCCTGTCGTCCTTCCTCACCATGTCGTATGTCACCTCATCATCAAGTGGAATTGCATCCTCTTCACCTTCACCATCACTCGGGAATAGATCCCCTCTTGATCGATAAGAATCCGATGTATCTCCCGACCCAGTCGTCCCGCTTCGTTTTCTAGTCGTAGGCAGATTTCCATGGTCGTGGTCTTCATCGGAGCCAAGCAGAGGCTCTGCCTCGCCTTCGCCGTGTCTCTGTGGGTGGTCTTGCAGATCTGCCGCACTAGGTTTGTATCGCAGAGTACCGCCCATCTTCCAGGGCAGTTTGCTTAGGAACCCAATCGGTTGGGTACTGGGTATCACGGTCGGATCGTCGTTCTCGCTAGGTTTCCGTCGTCCGCCTCGTGTACCGTAACTCATGCCTCGCTTCCTCCGGGGTTGCTCCAAGGTCTCTCCAGTATTTCTTCGTTGGCTGCCGGTCCCTGCCAACAGCCTCTCCCAGTCTTCATTTCCCCAAGTCCCAAACAAGCTCCCATTCTGTTCATCCTCGTACCAATCGTCGTAAAAGTCGAAGCTGTATTCTGCCCTCCCCCGAGTGCGCTCTCGTTCTCTGCGCCTACGTAAGCGCTCCTCTGGGTCGCCAAGGCAGACGGCCGTGCATTGTTCAAACGAACTTGCGAGCGACGAGAAGCAGGGATTGATGTAGTGATGCTGAAAAGACCAGATGCCGGCTGCAGCATTCTCGGTTACCGCTTCGGCATCGTGGGTGATTTGGTTCCAGCGTTGGCGCAGGCGCGGATCCTCGAGGAATGCCATTGTCTAAATGATGAATATGACGTCGCAAACATCAGAAGCGCTAGGAGAGCAGTGTCCCTGATCGGGGGGTCGAGATTCTAGAAAGTAAATGGAACGACCAGAAAGAGGATTTAAGAGGGAGACATGGTCGCAAGAGCCGATTCTGGCGCAATCTGTAGCAAAATACGCTGTAACGTGAGGTTGAAGCAGGATGGATGCGACAAGACAAGGGATCGAGGTTGACGGCTGCAGGACGGCTTACAGTGCGAGACGAGACAGCGGCTTGTTGGTGGCACGTGCAGCAAGGTGAGACGACTAACAGCTTGTTGGGTGGTTGGGTTTGATTGAGCGGTACCCAGATCTGGGCGTCTGCGTGGCTGGGGCTGAGGTACCGCTGATCAGATCCACTGGGGCTGGTCTTGATCTTTATCTTGGGCTTCAAGTCATTGATCTTTGTTTTGGCTTTTGTTGGAATGTATTTGAAAGTCAGTCTCTTTAAAGGGTAACTGTGGTACGAAACAAAGTAAAGATTGCCGCCGAGACATCTTGTGACCCATGCAACTGTCGTGGTGGAACCATAAACACAACCGTTGAAACCATCTCAAGCCCAGTATTTACTCTCTCGGGATGCGCATGTTTGCCTGAACTCTTTCCAAGAGCTCCTCTTGTGTGGCACTCTCGGCTGGGCATAAATTTCTCTGTTATCGTCAGCAATCGAGGTGTTGTGTGAAGCCAGATTCGACTCACAGCAGCAAGCCATCTGCGCAGCTCATCTCGCGTCCATGTAGTCGGGTCACCTGTGGGATCTGGGGTAGGAAATATGCCTTGTCCGTTGTTTCCCATGATGACATATGCTGCTCCCATACAGACGGCGGCGCCAAAGGCTGAAGAATGTGAGTGTTGTCGTCACTTGGATACCCTGTAGATGTAAGGGTACTTACCGAGCACCATATTCTACGTGACGTTAGTATAGTGAAAGCGGTAATAAAATGAAGAGGGAAAGCCAGATATGCAAGTTGATTCAGTGCCGTACCTGGGATCTCATCATTTTATCAAGACGAGTAGGCATCTTGAGTATTTTATCGGAGATTAATCGTGGTGTGTATTGGTGGTGAGGAGAAGCTAAAAGCTGCCTGGATCGAGAGGTCCTTGACACGGAGAGACAGCACCGAGGTATCAAAGGTATGATAGGAAAAGAGGGTAGAGAAGTCTAGATATTAGAGATCCCTTAAAATGCCTGTTTTGATAGGCAACCCAGGCAATGAAAGGTGGCCATTCGTGACACCTCCTACCATGAAAGCTGGCAGCCTGCGCCACACCCTCGACGATGACGCCTCCCATGTCCCATCTTGGACGCCACATTGGCTGGAGCTTGCTGGGTCGGCCCTCTGCTTTCCCGAAAACCGCAAGGTGGTCCGTGCGTATCGCCCATCGCTCCCCCCCGCGAAAATCAACGCACAAAAATGAATTCCTCCAAAATCTAATCGAAATCTCCCATCCGAGCCTTTGACAATCTTCTTGTTCAAGAACGTCGCATCGAACCACCGCCAAAATGCCTCAGGAGGTCGCTGATATCAAGAAGGTACGGGAGAAGAAACACAGGGGCTTTTTGCCCGCGATTGAATTGTTGAAATGCTGACTGAATTTCTCCCAGTTCATCGAGATCTGCCGTCGGAACGACGCTTCGTGTACGTCTTGACGATACACTCCACGAGAGTCCAACGAAACGAGAGAGTCGATTCCTAACATTGAATAGCCGCGCGGATCAAGAAGAGCAAGAAGACCAACAACGTCAAGTTCAAGGTCCGATGCCAGAAGCACCTCTACACCCTGGTGCTTAAGGACAACGACAAGGCCGAGAAGCTTAAGCAGAGCCTTCCCCCCAGTATGCGCCCTTCACTCTCACAATTCGAGAGCAATACTAATGCACATTTGCAGCCCTCCAACTCACCGACGTCTCCAAGAAGACCAAGAAGTCCGCTTAAGAAGATGGTTTGAAAAGGGTTGCGCTTTGGGTGTGGGAGGATTCACATGCACGAATGGGCGTCTCGGGATACCTTGCATTTCATGTGCTCTGAAAGGAGGATACTCGGATAGAGTCCAAAAAGTAAAAAGATCGATTCGAGTCACGACTTCGACCTGGTGCTTTCGCTGTGATGGTTTGGATCTGCTAATTACAGGAGCCCTTGGACCTCGTAACGGTGGACTTGAACGTTGGGAACCTGGACTAGAGGGGATAGCACATCCTCTTTCACGTTTTGGGAGAAGACGACTAAATCTTCCTTTTCGCCCTCTTCAACTTTCCATCCTCCCCAGACCCTCTGGTTAGGGTTTGTGTTGCCAATCTGAAGCTCCACGCCGCGGTACAGCTCTTGGAGCTTCTCCTTCTGGTCAGAGCCGACCGAGATTCTCCAGATGCTGAAGGATCCTTGGACAAGGAGGTCGCCTCGAACTTCATCTTCACTGCCTGCAGCTTTCATATGGAAGAGCACAACTCCGTCAGGTCCTTCAGCGATGAACTCAAGGAGACCTCCCATGGCAGACTTGTTCACATCGCTCTGTATCCATTCTCCATGACCCTCAGGAGAGTCCCATGGTGCGGTGATGACAAGGTATGGCGGGTCGGACTTTTGAAGGTAAAAGTTGCTTGGGTTGGTGTATGGCTTTCCTTTGAGGAGATGAGGTTGATGCTCTCGGATCCATTGAGCCTGGTTGTCCTGGCCTGCCTTGATGAGCTTGAGGAACTTGTCCTCGTCGTAGCCGCTCTTTAGCTGGAGGATAGCAAATTCGTTGATAGGCATGATGGTTGGTTTGTTGTGAATGAGTTGATACAAGAGAGTTGACGTGATTCAAGGGCAAGCGGTTGTCAATGGATGCGGCAATTAGGCATCCCCACTGACGTTGACACAGGGGTATTGGATCTTGTCCCCATCACCAGCCAACACAGGATGATTAGGTTGCCGTGGCATTCGTAATCTTAAGGCTTGTCGTTGATGATCCTTGACTAAGAGCATCACCAGCGTGGCTCATGGTGTGGCGGACGACTTCGTACAGACCGTGGCTGAGACTCGGCCGAGTTGTACAGTGCTCCGTGTCATCCATGATACCCAAGACCACAACTCATTCATCGCCTGGATTACCGCCTTCCAAGTACTTGAAGAACGTCAGCGTGTTTCCATCTGGATCCTTGATGGCGAATTGTCGAAACCCCCAGGGTTGATCCTGTATCTCGTCTGCAAACTCGACATCATCCCGGGCTTTGAGAGAGTCGTGGAGTTGGTCGAGCTGCGTGGTACCCAAGGCGATGTACGCTGAACCAGGGTTGGCAGAACGTCCACTGGGCTTGAAGAAGTAGATGTTGGCCGCAGCCTTTTCACCAGCAAAGATGGAGCAAAAGGTAAAGAGACTTGGGTCACCATCCTCCGGCTTGGTACTGGCAAGCGTGAAGCCAAGGCTGCCAACATAAAACTCGAGAGTCCTCGCTATGTCATCAGACTCAAATGTTAGAATGATTTTCCAAGCCGAAGCGACAGGTGCGGGCGTTCCAGACATCTTCGATGGTTCACTTTACGGATACAGATACAGATACGCAAATTTTTTTATTTTTTTTTTTTTTTTTTTTAAAAAAAAAAAAAAAAAAAAAAAACTATCTACCCCATGCGCATGGCGCGCTCCAGCTCCTCAGCCAGGTTACCCGAGATGGCCCGGGCGACAGCCTCTTGTATCTGCCGCAGCAACTGCTGCAGCTGCTGCTGCCGCTGAGGCTGCTGCTGCTGGTGGGCGCGCTTGGCCCGATAGTCTCGGGCCTTATGCCTATACTTCCCGCACTAAGAACTATCCTATTAGCTATGGCATTATATTATATCATAAGGGAAGATAAACCTAGCGGTAATAGCTAGCAAAGCTAGCCTTCTTAATATATCTATTATAGCTATAATAGCTGCCCTTATAGCTATTACCCCTATAGCTACCCCTACTATAAAAGATATTAATATAAGGTATAGATATCTATATAATGCATTATTAGTATATTATCTTAAACTCAGATACTAATATTTAGCTATAATATTATAATAGCTTTATATAATATAGTAATAAGAGTAAGGAAAGGTATTAATACTTATAATTATAAAAGAGAAGTAGAGTATAAAAGAAAAATAAAGTGCGAAAGAAAAGCAAAGTATAAAAAGAAAAGTAGAGTACTTAGCATATTAGCGGCGCGCGAAAGAGAAATAGAGTATAAAAGAGAAATAGAGTACTTAGCGTATTAGCGGCGCGTAAAAGAGAAATAAAGTGCAAAAGAGAAATAGAGTACTTAGCGTATTAGCGGCGCGCGAAAGAGAAGTAGAGTGCGAAAGAGAAGTAAAGTACTTGGCGTATTGGCGGCGCGTGAAAGAGAAGTAGAGTATAAAAGAGAAGTAGAATACAAAAGAGAAGCAGAGTGCGAAGGAGAGGTAAAGTACTTAGCGTATTAGCGGCGCATAAAAGAGAAGCAGAGTGCTTAGCGTATTAGCGGCGCGCGAAAGAGAAGCAAAGTGCTTAGCGTACCGGCGGCGCGTGAAAAAGAAGCAGAGTGCGAAATAGAAGTAGAGTATAAAAAAGAAATAGAGTACGAAAAAGAAGTAGAGTACAAAAGAGAATTAAAGTACAAAAGAGAAGTAGAGTAAATAGAGAGGAAGAGGGAAGCTATATTAGTTATAATTAGTAGACTAGATGCCTAAGGTGGCTTTTATATAACTATAGTAGTTAGCTATTAAGGAAAGAGCCTCCTTACCTTACCTAAGTACCTACCTACCTATATATATTAAAATAAGGCTATATTCTTATAATTAGAAGCCCTTATAGTATAATAATTAATATATTCTAGGGCTAATACTATTAATATACTAATACTTTGCTTTTCTTTTATATTCTATTTTTCTTTTATATATTACTAATATACTAAGCTAAAAAGGTCTTAAGTTTAAACCTCGGCGAGGGTAATATTTTTCTTTTTATTTTATTTATTTCTTAGGGATATTTATTACTTAGCTATATTATAGATATACTTTAATATTTAATATATAGAGTAGAGGTATAGCTTAAAAGACCCTTAATTAACTTAGGTGCTTAGTTTATATAAAGTAGCTATATTTACTAGTCGGAATATTTTCGCTAGATATTATAGTAAGCTTGCCTTAGAATATCCTGCCTATTTAATAGCTAACTAATACGTATATACTACTTATAGCTTAGGAAGCAGCCTTAGGCAATAATATCTAAATTTTAATAAAATAAGGTATTTAATAGGACTACCTCGATAGATTAGTATATATCGCCCGCCTAATAGCTTTTCTAGTATTTACCTATTAACCTAGTTAAAATAACTCGCTTAATATGTTTATTATTTAAGAAGTATTACTAATTTACCTACCTATATATATAAAGGAGCCGGCGCTTTCCTATATAATATCCCGGCCTCCTCTACTGCGTTAATTATTATCCGACCCCCAGTCTCGGCCTTAATATAGCTCGCTCATCCAATGGCTAACTAACATTTATGCGCCGCTTATAGCATATTAGCGAGCTCCCATTGCCCGTCGCCCGATGCCTACCCTTATAGCAATATCGACAAATAGGATACGCGGCGATATATTAAAATGCTAGATAAGATCAAGGGATATTAGTTTACGCTTACCTAGTCCTATTATAATAATAACGCTAATCTTATTACTATAATATTATCTTAGATTTTTGGGAAGTAACCTTAGATAGTAATATCTAGATTATAGTGAAATAAGACTCCCTCGATAGTATAGCGCTATTATATAGAAGCAGAGGCCCTATCTTTAATTCGCTTAATTATAAGTGCTATTTTATGAGTATTATACCTTATAGCTAATAGTTTAGGATATTAAATCTAATAAGATAATAATATAAGTCTAGGGGGCATATAATTAAGGGTTACCCCTAGAAGCTTTAGTAATAGCTCTAGGAGATAGAGTAGCGCTTAGAGTAATAGTAATAGTAGATTAAGTAATAATAAGAAGTAATAAATTTAATATTAATAAGCCCTATTATTAATTATTACTCCCTCCTATTTACTCCTTTTTCTCCCTCTCCCTATAATACCACTAGCTCCTACTTAGGCATTCCTTGCCCCTAGGGTTAAGGATATTAATATTAAGAAAGAGGAATTATAAGAAGATTAAATTAATATTTTATTATTTATATATCTATTATATTATTACTAGTTATGGCTTTAATTATATTACTTAGCTATTATAAGACTTCTCTTATTACCCCTTATATCCTTAGGTATTACTATCGCCATAGATAATATTATTATAATTACCCCCCTAGTAGTAATTCCTTCTAATAAGCCCGAGTGGAAGATAGACCTTATGCTCTATCTAATATATAGAACCTATACCTCGATAATAATAATAACTATAAGAGAATAGCTAGTAAGGAGGATAGCTAAGGTATAGAGGAATTAGATATAGAGATATAGCTTATTTATATCTATCTATAGAGGTAATACTTTTATTATAATTTATATTATTTTAATTTATTATTTATTAACTTATTATTACTAGCATATTTATTTTATTAAATAGATAATATTATTAGTAATTTAATATTACGGTAAGGAGACTAGCTATCTTAGGGACTATAAAGAGGCTCTTATAGAGAGAGAGGCAATAAAAAGGACTATAGTATAACATAAGTTATTTCTATATCCCGTCTTATAACCTCTAATTTATAGGATTTATATTAAAGAGCAAAGCCTAATTATTATATTAATTAGCTTTATTAATAAAAAGCTATCCTTCCTTATATTATATATTAATATGCTGAGTTGGGGGAAAGGCGTGCTAGGCCGTTTTGGGCCATTGGGCAATTTCCTGTACGTAGAAAAAGGGCCAAGGCTGCGGCCCTGACCATCATCATCATCATCTTCTTCAAGGATCGGATCAAGAACGGGGAGCTTAAGGGCTCTTTTCTTGAGAAGATCTTCATTATTATCAATTGATCATTTGCCCTTATTATTTCATATGGTATTCAATTCACGAGAAAGTACGTGAAAACTCTTTTTCGAAAGTCATCAGAAGAAAGTCACACCAAAAGTTTTGGCTGTGGTTGGTGTGTTCTGTTTCTCCAACAAAATGCCTTTATATAATTAAAGCTTTATTCCCCCTTCTTAATATTAGCGACCTTAGTAGCCTTTTCTTTAACCTTAGGGATAGAGATAGAGAGTACCCGAGCGAGAGCTAAGGTAGCCAAAGAGAGAAAAGCCAAGAAGAGCAAATAGGATAATAATAGGATTAGATATAAAGGTAAGGAGAAAATAAGGCTATAGGGAAAAGAAGGGATAATTAAAAAGAGTAATAAGAGTTAAAGTAAATAAAGGAGATAAGGCGCCTTTAAATACTTTGAGCTTATAGCGATAGCTAAGTTAATAGTAAGGTTAATATGCTATTATAGATTAATAGCACTAGGATAATTTTACCTCTAATATTAGTATTAGCGTATTATATATAGAGCTACTACTAGGCATCGGAGTAAATAGGGCGTTCTTTAGGGCTTATTTATTCTTTGCCCATAATAGTAATAGTTAAGACTTAGGCGCTATCTTAGCTATTCCCTATATAGGTTCTCTCTAGCTTAGGGTAATCAGGATAATTTAGGTTATTAGGGAGATACTAAGTAAGCGAGGAGGTAAAGAGATATTAATTCTTAAGGTATATTAAGTAAATAATATTATTACTCAGCGATAAGGGAGGCGATTATTATAGGATAGCATATTGCATTATAAGAGCTTTAGCGGCGAGGGCCCGGGGCGAGCGCACAGGTAAGGGCAGCCTATATCTACTAATATTAATGCCTATGCTAATAGGTAGGATAGAAAGAAGGCTTAGAGAGTTTCATTAAGATATAGGAGAACTAGACTTAAAGAAATAATATACTTATAACTACCTATTAATAGAGGCAATACTTTCTTATAATTATTAGTTATTTCTATTATTATTAGTTTATTATAATTAATATTACTATTTTATTAGATAAGTAATATTACCAGTAGTTTAATACTACTTTAATTCCTAGCTATTATTATTAGAAATTATTATTCTCCTAGAAATAATATTAGCGTATTAAATAACTTTCCCCTTTTCTAATATTACCTAAACTAGACCTATTCTCCCTATTGCTATTTATAATATTCTTCTTATAGGCTTATATAAAAGGCTTAGTAATAAGTCTAGTAAAATTCCCCATAAATAACACTAAGCACGCTATTATTATATATAAACATACTCTTATAGCAAGGGGGAAGGCCTTATCTAGGGCTATTAAGGGAAATAATAGACTAAGCCCCGGAACTTTACTCCTTTACCTATTATAACCCATAGCTAAGCTAGAACTCAGTATCCTAGGCTAATACCTAGATATCTGCCTTCTAATTATCCTAATTTATATTATAGCCTCTTATTAATTATACTACCTATATAGGTTAATATTAATATAAGAGAGATAATATAGTATAATTATACTATATCTAAACGCGCCTTTTAAATACTAATTACTATAGCTATTTTCTAGTTTTATATCTATTTTTAGCTATAACAAAGTATTTAATCTATAGACGAGGTCTATTAAGAAGGGAATAATTCTATGATAGAGGTATAAGTCAGGAAAGAGCTAATATTACTTTCGCAATAAAAGCTAGGAAAAAGCTAGCATTGCTTCTATAATAAAGCGAAAGGAAGAAAGAGGGATACCTACTTAAAGACTACTCTTATAATAGGAGGCTTATCTAGATTCTTTTTTTTATTAAAAACTAGAGAATAGTTATAGATAGTGTAAAAGACTGAAGGATAGAGAAGATAAAGTCTTCAAAGACTATAGGGTAGATGACTTGGATAGGAGGTGAATAGGCAGAGGAATCAGTCTTAATATATAGTTGAGAGACTAAATAAGAAGACATATAGGGTAGGCAAAGTAAGAAGGAAGATCAATAAGGCTAATAAGAAGAAACCAGCTTCTTATTGGTATTTATATTGGTTGAATTGGTTAAGGATCTTAAGAACTAATTCTAAGAGAGGGCTTATAGCTTATATAGAGAATTGCTCGGAATCTATTAGCCCGATTCGGATGAAAGTTATACCGTCGGATAGCCCTAATTCCGGGCTTTATAACCCTATTAGTTTTACTAGCAACGGATAACTAGAAGCCGAGTTATGGCATAATAGAGGTTAAAACCTATAGGGTTTTAAACTAGGATATTCAAAACCAGATAGGAAATACCCTATAGAGGGACACGGATTTAACGGCATTATCGGGCTTTTAATAAAGTCCTAAGTCCGAGATCACGTGACCTTCCTAAAAGGGAAATAAGCCCAAAAAGGGCAATATTGATACTCTCTTATATCTTACTTATCTAAGTAGATATGGCTTAGGTAAGCAATCTATAAGAAAGCGCATAAGCTAAAGTATAGGGTAATAAAATCCTAGGCTTATATCTTATAAGCTTATTTTTCTAGAATTTTATTTATAAAAGACCTTTTTATTATAAGGACTTTTACAGGGAGATAAAGCGGGAATAGGGGACTAAAAACACGGGCGCTATTATCGATAATACTATCAACGACAAAGCCGCCATCATCGCCCTAATCATGACCTTCATTTAGCTCTACCCACGCCAACTAGCCAACTACACCAGGTATCTAAAGCCAGTCTTAGATATTTATATCTAGGGTTAAGAATAACTCTGCGGTAATTATAATACTAGCCGGTATTATTTTAGCATCTTATATACCCCCCCTAAAGAGCCGAAGATAATTTAGTCTTATACTAACCCTTATTATTATAATAGGTATATTTAGGGGGTTTAGGGTAGGCCCTTTTTTATTAAAAATACTATTATAAAGGCCTAGTAGTATCTTATCTACGACTAATACTTCTTGCTATTTAGGGAGGAACTTATTAAATTAACTAAGAAACTATTGCCGGGATAATAATATTAAATAGACCCTATCAAGCATTACCGATCTAATACAACGCGATATATTAAATATTGCTTATATATAATATTCTCATCTTAGCATAAAGTTAATAATAGTTAGAAGTGCGGTATATACTATAGAGCTTATTACGCGAATAACTTATATAAAACTCCTCTACTATAAGCTATATATACCTTAATATATAATAAGGATTTAGATAATATATTCTGCTCTATTTACTATGGCAAAAACTGGGTCTAGAAGGCGGGAAATATCGAGAAGTTACGGAACTTTTAATAGCTAGTCCAAACAGCCAATATAGGAATACTCACAAAAGACAGGCTAAGAATAACCCATAGCCCTCATATAAGCAATAAGGCAATAGCTACCACCTGCGAACCTAATTATAGCTTAACTAAGGACTAAGGTACCATATAATAGCATAATAATAAGGCCAGTTAAGTTATATAGCTATTAAATATTTCCTTAGAGTTATTAATATATCTTATAGAGGTTAAAGGTTAAGGAACCTAGTGAGCTCTAATAAATAAGAGAGAGTATTAAGCTCCTTATACCTAAAGGGAACAATTGAGTTCCTGTCAGTAGGGAAGAGTGTCAAGCTTCCTGTACTCGAACCGGGGAACGTTTGAGTTCCTGTGCGCAGGGGAGAGTGTCAAGCTCCCTGTACCCAAAGGGAACAGTTGAGTTCCTGTGAGAGTTGATTTTTATTTTTTTATTTGGTGAGTGGCTTTACCCTTATATATTGTTGAAGATTCCTCGTTTTTCAGTGGAGACATTGGTTGTCAATAGAAACCTTTTTTTTTCCATGGCGCAGTGGCTTATCGCTAGGGTTAACCTTCGCGTAACCCCACGCAGAGTCGCTGGTTCGATTCCAGCCCGGGGGCTTTTTTAAAAAAAAACGATACGGATACGGATACGCGGGCAAATTCCGTTACATCTGCAGGCACCGGCATTTTACTCTTGTCGTCACATAAAAAACTAGCTACGCCTCTTCTGCGACGTAATTGCCGGCGTTTGGTAACTATTTGCCATTGATTGACGCAAAAGATGGAGGCTCAGGTAGCCATCTTTTGTCTGTGCTGCGGCTGGAGCTGAACAAGCCAAGGACTAAATACAAGATTAATCCCCTGTAGATACCAGCAACCAACCAGGACCTCCCTTGACAATCTAAGAGCTGTCACACGCCAGTTTTGTCTCGTCCTACCCGTTGTCGTCCTCGATAGCAATTATCGTCATCGTCATCCATCACGCGCCCTCGAGTAATTTCTGTCCTATTTCTCTACATCTGGCTCCCTCAAAGCCCGGGACTCGCCGTTCTCCCTTTATTTGTAGACCCTGCAACGTCTGATCTGGGATCCATATTGCTTGCTTCTTTGTTGCTTCCCCTCTCGGTTGGTGCATCCGGTCCCCTGGTATACCTACGAATCGACAAATCGCGGACGATCCCGTGTGACGACTACCCCCGGCATGTAAGTCCCAAGCAGCCTTGTTGGTGGTGGTGGGTTGGAGATGCCAGATAAAACCAAGCACCTGTTCCCTAGACCGCCTTTTGGCGTCTTCCAATTGGCGGCCTATCATTACAACACAACTCGACAGTGATTGTTGAGACGACCTCACTCCTCTTGCACACTTGTCTGCCGCATCTACAGTACCAGTACATGTACTAAGTCAGTTTTACTCAGCTCTTGCTACGTTAGCTTCTTCCAGTCAGTCTGAGCGTTGTAGCCGCCATCAAAACGCCTGCATCATCGGCCACAAACATCCGGACCCTTGCCTATTCCGGACGACGCCGTCACCATCTTGCTGCATCCACTTGTGTTTGACTGGGCTGGCAGCTCGTCTGACAAGTGTGCCAAAAGGCAGGTACGGTGATCCAGGTACAAGCTGAAAGTGCGGGGGGGAGTCTCTTGTTTAAAACATTTGACTTGACTGCTTTGCGCATCATAACCGCATCCGCATTCGCATCCATCCCATCACACGCATCACATCCATCCTCGCATGGCACCCATGAGAGTCAAACTAACGCTCCTTCCGTGACGCTACCTACGATTGGATCCAAATTACCCGTTCATTTGCGTCTTTGGCTTGCATTTGTTGGGGTGCGAATCCGTTACTGCCCGTACCGTATCCGAATTCGAGACTCCCGTCTTTTACTCCAAGACTCTAGAGCTTCTCTCTAATATTACTACACCCCCGCTCTAGACTCTTTTCTACCACCCCTGAAGCGAACAACACCTAAATAATCAAACAAACAACGCGACAACCTCTAATTACCTGACCATTTTCAACTCTGATCCTTACTCTTGTCGCTCCTCATCTTTCGATATTGACGCCATCTTGACCTATTCATCTACAAACCACGCTCTCGGCGTCGCAACATAGAGCTTCTTCCCCTCGCACAGACTGGACTGCCCACCATTGACAAGGTACTGACGCTGACCTTGTTGGCGTTTGCGATTCGACGCCAAGATACGAGAACGCGCGACTCTCACTGTCAATTGAGATGCCCTCGGTCATGATCAACGGACACAACGGGGGCCATTCCGCTGCCAACATCTCCGATTCGGGTTCCGAATTCTCAGGTGATTCCAGCAATGGCTCTGCAGGCGCTGTCCGACGTAGGTTGGACCGCAAGATGTCTAGCCCCATGGCACCTCCTTTCATGGTTTCGGCCCCAGGAAAGGTGATTGTCTTTGGCGAGCACTCTGTCGTCCATGGCAAGGTATGATGCTCGCCCCCTACAACGTCAATTGCATGCTCACGTTGCCATTGGTTCATAGGCCGCCATCGCTGCAGCCATCTCGCTGCGATCATACCTTCACGTCACCACCTTGTCCAAGTCGAAGCGCACCGTTTCTCTACGATTCCCAGATATCGATTTGGTTCACACCTGGAACATTGACGAGCTGCCATGGCAGGCGTTCCAACAACCATCCAAGAAGAAGTCATACTACTCTCTCGTCACCGAACTTGACCCCGACCTCGTCGCCGCTCTTCAGCCACATATCAACGTCGTTTCCCCCGACCGCCCAGAAGAAATCCGCCGAGTACACCGCAGTTCAGCATCTGCATTCCTCTACCTTTTCCTCTCACTAGGATGGCCTTCATTCCCTGGCTGTCTTTATACTCTGCGATCGACAATACCAATTGGTGCTGGCCTGGGTAGCAGCGCATCCATCTCAGTCTGCCTTTCGGCTGCGCTTCTTCTACAACTACGCACCTTGTCCGGCCCTCACCCAGATCAGCCCCCAGATGAGGCTCGACTTCAGGTGGAGAGAATCAACCGATGGGCCTTCGTGTCGGAAATGTGTATCCACGGTAACCCCTCGGGCGTGGATAACACTGTAGCCACACAGGGCAAGGCTGTGGTCTTTCAGCGTACCGACTACTCTAAGCCACCATCTGTTAGACCACTCTGGGACTTCCCTGAGCTGCCTCTTTTGCTGGTAGATACCCGACAAGCTAAATCGACCGCGCATGAGGTGGGCAAGGTAGCAAAGCTTAAGCAAACACACCCCAAGCTTGTAGGAACCATTCTGGATGCTATGGATAGAGTCACGAATACCGCTGCCGACCTGATTGAGGACATTCACTTTGATAATGAGTCAGAGGAGTGCCTTACTAAGGTTGGTGAGCTGATGACCATCAACCATGGTCTGCTTGTGTCACTTGGCGTCTCCCACCCTCGTTTGGAACGAGTACGAGAGCTTGTGGATCACGAGGGTATCGGTTGGACCAAGCTTACTGGTGCCGGCGGTGGAGGCTGCTCTATTACACTTCTCCGACCCGACGCACCTGCAGAGAAGTTGCATAAGCTGGAAGAGCAACTCGAGGATGAGAATTACGCCAAGTTTGAGACCACTCTTGGTGGTGACGGCGTTGGTGTGCTGTGGCCTGCCGTTCTCAAGAATGGTACCGTGGAGGATGATGAGGGTGGTATGGAGATTGACCTGGAGAAATTTCTCAACGCCGAGGGTACCGAAGGAGTTGAAAAGCTCGTAGGCGTCCACGGCGATACTGGAGAACGAGAGGGATGGAAGTTCTGGCGGGTCGAGAGCCGGTGAAACACTCCCTTATAACCATGAGACAGGGCGTCTTATATCTCACCTTACCCTCAAAGAGTCTATCGCTCTATGTACTATATGGCTACGAGCCAGGTGACGTCCGTCATGAATTGGGAAAATCTAGAAGAAAGCGAGTTGGCAAGGAAGGGTAGGGACGCGCTTGGCTTGGGAGTTATAGGTTGCCACTGGGGGGTTCATATATACGTTATAATTCAGTAATGCGAAATGCTCTTCTATTTCATGCCTGCTGCACTGTTGGACCTCTTTACTGGACGTCTTTGTGAGATCAAGCTACTCTCCCATGCTTCATCGACATCTCATAACATCATAACTATACAAAACATGACTAGACTACTCCTGAGCCTTCTCGCCTCCGCTCTTGAGCAGCGTCACTCGGTACTTCCAGTATCCCTCTCGTACAGGATCCCACTTCTCACCCAACCGTCGCAAGCACAACTCGGCCTTGTCCTTGTCGCCCTCCTCGTCGTATAGCTTGGCTAGGAAATCCAACGCATGCGAACTGCGCACCTCTTCAGCATCTTCACCCAATGCACTAACAAAGCCCTCTGCAAACTCCTTGACAGACGTCAAAGGTCGAGCGCCCTTGGAAAGAACGCCAAAGAGGTAGTTCCAGGGCGATTGATTCTGCGGCGCAAGACTAATCTTTTCCTTGGCGTATTTAATCTCTCGGTCAATGGTCTCTGCTGGAACACGCGGGTCTGCTTCAGTAGGCCCAGAGCCAGACGTTGAAGCTGTAGGGTCTGAGAAGACGATGTAGAAGCGGTGCGACCAGGCAGAGTTGTTGCGCACGTCCTCCTCGACGTGGTTCTGCGTCGAGAGGAGCTCGCTCATGGTCCACATTGACAGCTTACCCACGAGATACTGTCTATACGACCAAACGTGATAGTTCTTGGCATCCTCAGCTAGCATAGTAGTGATGAATTGAGTCTCGGAACGAGCCAGCTTGCGCACAGTTGCGTCGTCCTCTTCGATGAGGGGGTAGTAGTAGTCCATGAGTAACTGGCGATGGTTCCAGATCTGGTAGTTCTTGAGGTTTGAGAGAGCCACCTCGTTAAGCCACTTGATCTCATCGGGGATGCTGAGCTTGAGAACAGAGATAATCTTGAAGCGGAAGAGCCAGACGGTGTAGTGCGCCGGGTTCATCGAGATGACGTGCTCAGTGAGACGGAGGGTTCGAGGCGAACACTCGTCAGCGGCCATGACGGCACGGAGGTACGAGACGGCTAAGAAGCTTTTAGTCAGCCTTTTGTAGTTTACGTCTAGCTGTGCTCTCGAGACGTACCCTCGGCGTAGTCATCCGGGTAAGCGATCTGAGCGAGGGCATCCTCAGGTTCGTTCTGGGGAATGGGGATAACATCGTCCCACTCTGGATCCTGGGCCAGAGCACCAGTAATCTCCCCGTAGAGATCCCTCTTGAGAGCAGCCATCGCCTTTCTCCTCGTCTTTTCCTTAGCAACCTCTTCCTCAGAAACCTCACCACCAGCAATCTCCCTCTTCTTCAGAAACTGCCGATGCTGAATCTGCAAGCTCGTAAGCTTTGCGTGCTTGAGCCCCCTCTGCTCAAGCTCGTCAGGAGAATAAGTCCCGATGTCCCTCCCAGAGCGGTCCTTTCCCCAGGCGTAGTCGCGCGGAAGGCGGCGGATGGGAAGACCCTCCTTAGTGACAAACTTCCAGAACTCGCGCTCGGTACGGTTCGATAGGGGCACGCGGCGGTTCGCGACGGGGAGGATGAGGTTGGTGTGAGTAAAGGTCTTTTTCTCTGCGGGAGAGAGAGAGGCGAGGCCGACTTGCTGACGGCGCTTCTCGATGGGGTTTGTCTGGAAGAAGCGTTGCTCGGAGCGTTGAGAGACGGTATCAGGAGGAGGTTCTGGGGTGGCTATTGTATGTCAGCGTTGATATTTGCTAATATGTAGAGGAAGCAAACCTTTGGGCTCGGGCTTGGAGCTGCCTTTTGTCTTGGGTGGCATGGTTCAGGTTGGACGAGTTGGAGAGTCGGGTTCGGGGATGGTTTGATGGTGGGGTTGGCACATGCCCAGGCTATTTTTTTGGGCTGGAGATGGATAGGCCTAGGGTGGTTGTTACCCCGCCAAAAGGTGAAGTTATTGTTCTACAACACCATGTTTGGGGAACAATATCAAGAGAGTATTTGAGTCAAGAAGCACGGTTCATATGTAGGTAGGTACCAGAAGCAAGGGGTAGTTAAAGTTGTGTTGGTGGCTGTCTATCTAGCTGAACCGATGCCTCTCATCATGCCGTAAACTGAGCGCTTCTCCAAATTCATAACTTCAATAAAGCTGCCTCTTCTATTTCGACTCGGGTATCTTATAATGGCATTGCTGTTCCGACTTCTTCTCCAGCTTAAGCCCCCTTGACTCTGGGCTTTCTCGACACGTTGGCCTTGGTCGAATCCTCGTTCAAGACGCCCTTCGTCTTGATAGCCTTTTGGCTCGCAGCCTGTGTCTTGGTGGCACCCGCAGCACCAGTAGTCGAAAAGATCCTAGCAGCAGCGGCGAGCGCCGTCTCTGTTGTCGATGTCTGTCCCACGTCCCGCGGCCATCCCTACAAGGCGCGAAAGTTCTGCGACATGATCAACCACCTCTTGACGCCCTTGGGCGGGTTCTTGACCATGGCCTCCCAGTTGGGCACCAGGACAAACGTCTCGTGAAACATCTTTTGGGGGGCTTCTCTTCCCTTGCCGTATTGCACCTTGCCCATGACGTTGACCAGGATGCTCATGCGACCTCCGTTCTTCTCCACCTTGGCTCCGTCGTAGACGTTCTCGGGGGCGCCCATGCCGAAGGATGGATTGACAACGTGTGAATCGAAGGACTCTAGCTCGTAGAGTGCGCCTTGGCCTTGGGCCTCGAGGAGCTTGGAGTAGTCGTCGGGTGCGGAGAGAACGGCGCCGTTGATCGAAATATCGGCAGGGATAGGATACCGCGAGGAAGAGTTGATGTAGAAGGGCAGAAGGGCGCTCTGCTTGTTGACAGCCTGGTAGTAGTGGGTGACGAAGATCTCGGTAGCTGGAGGTGTTAGCTTTGAGCGTTGTGAATGCTGGACGTGGTGCCTACCTTCGCTGGCGACTCGCACCTGAGTATCCTCGTCTGGGAGAGCCATGATGAAGTCTGTGTGTAAAGCGATAATGTCTAAAGGTCTTTGGATCGACGAGAGGAGATTATTGTTGTTGTTGTTTGAGTTTGAGAGTTTGGCGCAAAACGCAAAACGGAAAGAAGCTCTTCTGCCTGCGATGGAACCTGGAGTAGCACAGTTATCGGTTAGCTCAATTCACACCGTACATACCGCCGCTTATCGGCCAATTTTTGGAGCTCCAGGTGACGCGATGCAGCCATTCATCCCACTTTGTCAGAGGGAGAGTTGTTTCAATTGACGACTTAAAAAGAGTCATGAGGGCATTTCGACTTCAATCTTTGCGCGGCCTGCGCCAGGTCCAATCAAGGCTTCCTCGTCAGTCCAGCTGGGTATGTCCAGGATGTCGGGTGTACCAGTCTCAGCATCGATGGAGCTCGGATAGTTCGTCCGACAAGTCGAAAGAGAAGCCGTATTATATTACAACGCCCATCTTTTACGTCAATGCTGGTATGTTGGAGCCGACAGTGATGAAGAGACTTGCTCATGGTGTATGCAGCACCCCACATCGGCCACCTCTATACCATGGTTCTGGCCGACGTTCTCAAGCGATGGCAGCAGATCAACGGCAAAGAAGCTCTCCTCTGTACTGGCACCGACGAGCACGGCATGAAGATTCAGCAGGCAGCAGCCAAAGAAGGAATGCCACCAAAAGAATTTTGTGACAACAACGCCAGCAAGTTCAGGGACCTTGCTGAAGTCGCTAACATCTCTCACGACTTTTTTATCCGAACTACCGACGAGGACCACAAGCTTGTTGTGGAGCAGTTCTGGCTGCTTCTCAAGACTCGTGCTCCTGAAGGTCTGGGTTTGTACAAGGGACAGCATGAGGGTTGGTACTGTGTCAGTGATGAGTGCTTTTATCCCGAAGATCTGGTCCAGCCAAGCGTAGTACCGCAGACGGGACGCAAGATCATGGCCAGCATCGAGACGGGTAACGAGGTTGAATGGGTCACAGAAGATACCTGGTTCTTCCCCCTATCCAAGTACAAGGAGAAGCTACTCAAGTTCTATGACGAGAACCCCAACTGGATCCAGCCAGCTCACCGCATGAACGAAGTGAGGAACTGGGTTGAGCACCACCTCGAGGATCTCTCCATCACCCGCCCAGCGTCAAGATTGAGCTGGGGAATCAAGGACCCTGAAGATCCCTCCAACACCATCTACGTCTGGGTCGACGCCCTCATCAACTACATCACCAAAGCCGGTTTCGGCTCCAAGTGGCAAGTCGACAGCGCCGACAAGGGCATCTGGCCAGCAGACGTCCAAGTCGTGGGCAAGGACATTATCCGCTTCCACGCCATCTACTGGCCCGCGCTGCTTATGGCCGTAGGCCTCCCCCTGCCCAAGAAGATTGTCTGCCACAACCACTGGACCATGTCGAACCGCAAAATGTCCAAGTCGCTCGGCAACGTCGTCAACCCATTCTTCGCAGTTCAGCGATGGAACTTGGATCCCCTACGGTACTTTCTCATGCGCAACGGTAGCTTCAAGGGTGACATGAGCTACGCAAACGATTTCATCATTGTTGCGTATGAGAAGGAGCTCCAGGCCAACATTGGCAACCTGTTTAACCGTATCTCTCGGAACAAGACTGGCAGGTGGTCGACTCTTGAGGCTACTGAATTCGCTCGAGAAGGCAAGTTCAATGACATCGCCGGGTTGGCTGCCGAGGGTCCTGATTTGTTGAGTCTCGAGCCAACATTGGACACTGCGCCTGAAAAGATTCGCAACGAGATGGATGATATTAACTTGAGTGGCGCTCTCCGGGAGGTATTTGAGCTTCTTCGAGAGGTGAGACATCCTGAAATCCCATGGAATTTGCCAGTTGCTAATGTTTGACAGACTAATCGCTTCATCTCTGATACTGCCCCTTGGCATATGGTCAAGGACACAAGTCCAGAGGCTCGAGTTCGTCTTAACTGGGTCATCTACCGATCCGCCGAAGCTCTACGCATTGCAGGCATTATGCTCCAGCCCGTCATGCCGACCAAGGCAGGCGAGTTGCTTGATGGCCTCGGCGTCAAGCCAGAGAGACGTACCGTCGAGTTCGCGGTAAAAGGTGCTGATCTTGAGTACGGCGTCGCACCTCTTCAGCCCCAAAAGCTCGGAGACAGCGGCAAGAAGATTGACCCCAAGCCTAATGCGTGGGCGTCTCTATTCCCTCCGGTATCAGGCATCGAGCTGCCAGACTATGAGGCCGTGACGGGACAGGCTGCGCCAACAAAGGCGGGCAAGACCAAGAACCGCCTAAGCCGGGTGGCTGCGTCTCTAGCTGAAGAAGCTCGCCAGACTCCAGGCAACTGACGAGTTATGAAAATGATGTCTTTCAGATGTGTATGAAAAGATAGATGTGTAAAACATATAGTCTACGATACTGTAAAATAACATACCAATTCCTCACTCGGTGGTTCTCGCTGTGTGGTGTTGCCCCATCTATGAAATTTTCTCCAATCGAGTTTAAACAGCTCACGGTGAACCTACAACTCACGACACACATCAATCGCAAAAATGAGAATAAACCAAAACACAGGAAAGTCAATGCCCTCTATTATTCGAGTCTTGACTGATTTCTCGCAGCCATTTCGACTCCAGGGGTCCTCCTGGTCCCGTACGAGTCACACCATGTGAGGCAATACCACGCATGGATGCAAGACCCTGTGAGCTTCCTAGACTCAAACATTTTACAGGGCTGACTTGGACTAGGACATTCAAGAAGCTACGGCCTCGGAGCCCATGACGTTGGAGGAAGAGTACGAGAACCAGCAGTCGTGGCGCACTTCTTCAGACAAGCTCACCTTTATTGTGTGCGCGCCGCTTCAAGAGTCTACGCCTGTGGTTAAAGCTGGCACGCAGGATGCAGATGAACTCATGCGAGGCGACATCAACTTTTTCCTACACACCTACGAAGCATCTGAAGAAGAAGAATCCCTCGCCCAAGCGGAAAACTGGCTCACGGGCGAAGTAGACGTGATGATAGCCTCCCCGTCACACCGCGGGAGGGGCATGGGCCGAGCCGCAGTGCAAGCCCTCCTCGCCTACCTCCGCAGACACATGGGAGAAATGCTGGCCGAGTACGGAGGAGGCGAGCTCAAGGGTCTGATGGTCAAGATCAAGGAGAGCAACGCGGGGAGCAGGGCGCTGTTTGACAAGATGGGGTTTGAGCAGAGAGGCGGGGTTAATTACTTTGGCGAGGTTGTCATGGTGAAGGGTTGGGATGATGGAGATGAGGAGGGGAAGGAGTATGAGGAGCTGGGGTATGAGGGCATCGTGGAATAGACTAGATGCAGTAAATACAGGTCTTTACCGGAGATGGGCATCTCCGAGGCCAAGTCGTTATCATCAACTCCATGCTTATCTTGATTGACCCTCGGCTCCATCACCAAAACCCCCACTCTTGCAAAGACCTCGACTCGATCCATCAAGGGCGAAAAAGATTCTCAATCTGGAAGCTTTTTCGAGACCGGGCACCATCACTGCGGAACCCGGTCCTTGGCATTCTCATATCATTCGTCTAAGTGGACGTAACACGGCCATTTTTTGAAGGCGGGGTTGGGAAGCTTTCTAGCTAGGATCTTTTGTATGGAGCTTCCCAAACCATGCCATGCGATGGATATCACACCAACCGGTCAGACTCTCTGCATTGGCCACTGCTGATCTAGAAGGGCGTGAGTGATTTACAGAAAGATAATCATTAGTCAGTTTTGGGTTGGAGCTAGGGTATAAGGTTGTCTCCAAGCATAAATATCTGGCTCGTCTTCCCACTCTTCGGTCCATCGGCTGGTGTTTTCTCTCTGTGACCGATGCTCCGAAGCCTGTGATACCTATTTTAACGCTCATCATGTATTCTAAGGCCCTTTCTCTTGGATTTCTCTTTGGCACTGCTGCGGCTGAGACTATCCACGGCGTCGTCGTCTTTAGCCGTCATGGAGATCGTATGTTTCCCTCCATCTCTCTTGAACTCGGACTAACACACATAGGAACCACAAAGTGGTATGGCGCTCAAGCCCTCACTCCCCTCGGCGCAGAGCAAAACTTCCAAGTAGGCAGCGACTACCGAAGTCGCTACCTCTCATCCGAGTCGACTTATCAGATCCTCGGCATCTCAGAGGATGAATACAAGCCCGCGCAGGTTTATGCCAGCGCTCCCGATCAGGGCATCCTCATGAACACTGCCACTGCGTTTTTGCAGGGCCTCTACCCTCCTCTGGCTGATCTTGATCCCGAGATTGCTTCGCAGACTCTCAACAATGGTTCTCAGAGTCAGGCGCCTCTTGATGGGTATCAGTATGTTCGGCTGCACTCCATCAGCGACAATTCGCCCGATACCATCTGGATCAAGGGTGATGATGCGTGCCCCAAGTATGTCAAGGCATCTAAGGCCTTTATGGACAGCGAGGTGTTTGCTCAGCGCACGGAGGATACCAAGGAGTTTTATGAAGGTTTCTACGACGTTCTCTCGGATGGAGTGTATAACCTTAAGCCTGAGAACATGACGTACAAGAACGCCTACAACATCTTTGATCTCGTCAACGTTGCACGCATTCACAACGCTACTTCTCCTGCTCGCAACGTCTCAGATGAGGACCTCTTCCAGCTTCGAGTCCTTGCCGACTCTGCTGAGCTCGGCCAGAACTGGAACGCCTCCGACAAGGCCCGAGCCATTGGCGCCGAGACCCTCTCTGGCGCCATCCTTACCCAGCTCAACGAGACCGTCACTTCTGAAGGAAAGCTCAAGTTCTCCCTCTTTGCCGGTAGCTACGATACCTTCCTCGCCTTTTTCGGTCTTGCAGGTCTCCTCGACGAAGACCCTGCATTCCACGGTCTTCCTGACTATGCCTCCACCATGGCCTTTGAGCTCTTTACCGAATCCAACGCATCCTCGTTCCCCTCTAATCCTGAGAAGGACCTCCGTGTGCGCTGGCTCTTCCGCAACAGCACCTTTGGCGAGCTCGAGACGTTCCCTCTCTTCGGTACAAACGACGATTCTCTCCCCTGGACCGAGTTTGTCAGCGAGATGGAAGAGCGCTCCATCACTGACGTGGGAGATTGGTGCACCCAGTGCGGCGCAAAGGAAGATTTCTGTGCAGCCTACGAAACCGACGACGACGATGAATCCGCCGAGACCGAGGATGAAAAGGATGGAAACAAGGGAGGCATGTCCAACGCTGTTGCCGGTGTTATCGGTGCCATGGTTACGCTCGGTGTTGTAGCTATTGTTGGAGCTATTGCTTTCATGATCATGAGGCGAAAGAAGGCTGCTGCTCCCCACGAGAAGAGCAGCGTCCGGAGTGGAAGCACTGATGAGAATGCCGCCAGGGTTTAAGATGTGTAAAATGTGTGTAATGAATCATGAGGAACGGCAAGATTGTACAAGAAGGAACAAGCGTCGTTTATCTATATCATCTGTAATTGAATAACCATTCTTGAGTATCCCTAACCGAAAATGGCCAATATCTCGTCCTTTTGCAGGACCGATATTAGATCTCAATTACCTGAGTATGAACACGTTCAAGTCATCTATTAGACCACGCCTCTTCAATGGGCAGCTAAATGATTCCTTAAGCAAGTAAACCATGGTATGAGGGTTCACAAAAGTTCTGTCTAGGAGTTCCGCCTATGGTTGAACCAATCTCATCTACTACACTCCTGTTAGTCTCCAGCCTGAGCATCTAAGAGCAGTTATAGCCTAATTAAAGAGACTTAAGAATACATCGAAAGCAATGAAAAGACCATCAGGGAAAGGGGCTGGACGCTTAACAACTATAGGGAGTGCAGTGAGAATGGTTCAGTAGAGACTGTTTGAGTACCTCAAGACCATCAACATAATCATACATCACACCATGCTCGAAATACACAATCATACATCCATAACAATTCCTCGTATATCCCAATCCCCCAAAACTCCTTAATACTTCTCCAGCCCAGCCGTCTGCTGCCTCGCCTTGTCAACAATGGCCAAAGCCCCCCGCAGCCTGTCGATCTCACTCCCAAGCACGCTCCGCCTCTCAATAATCCTCTCGTCCTCCCTGCACAGGGCATCAAGCTCCTCCTGACCCAATCTCATTACCCATTCGGTGTTGAGCGCCTTTATCGGGCCATCCTCATTGTTAACAAAGCCATGGAAGACTGACTGGATCCTGTTCCGAATAAACGCATCCAAGGCGATCTGAAAAGAACAAAGTTAGAAAAATACCTGACCAGTAGCGCAATAACCATACCTCGTAGTACACCTTCAAGACGTCGTGTACATCGTTGACCATGTTCTTCTGGAGACTCGGGTGCGCAAGCTGAAAGTAGTTGACAAACGCTACGAGATTCTCAGCCTCGTTTTGGTCAGCTGTCTGGGCAGCCCGCATGGCCGTAAAGAACCTCAACTGCCGCCACCCGAGGACCTGCTCGCCGAATCGGGGTGCCGTCGTCTGGAGTACCTTGCACTTGGTCTCGTTTCCGCACACACCCTCGCGGTGCGCCTCGGCCGCCTCGTAGGACTCGGTTAGGATCCTCTCCAGGACATTCTCCAGTTCCTTCCGAAGCGTGTTTGTCTCGCCATGAGAAGGGCAGACAAAGTCTAGGATGGACATGTAGCAGCGTTGAATTGCCTCACGCACGAGAAACAGGTGCCTGTGTGTGATCTTCTCCCACTTCTCCACCTGCATCTGATACATCTTGGGATAAACGACCGGGTTGATGATTCCTGGCAGTTGAGCGGCCTGGTACTTGGCGAGCTGCGCCTCAATGGCTTTCAAGAGGTCTCCAGAGTCATGGACGACAGAGCAGTTGGGAAACTTCTTATCCAGGCTAGCAGACAACTTGGGAACCACGTGCGAAGCCGACGATTTCTTGGGCTCTTGGCCTAAATGCTCAGCTATCAAGGAAAAGGGATCGACGCCGGCATTCGCAAGTTCCCATTTGCCTCCGCGAATCCTCATATAGTCATCAAAGTTTTGGTTAAGCTCGCTCACTTCCCAGAGTAGTGGTGCAACATCTCCGGGCAGCTCTTCAGGGCGATCCAGTGCCAAATCGGCCATTGCCTTGAACTTGTCGACAGTTTTCATGGCGTACTGTTGCTTGGCGGCGTGAGTGTCCCGAGGCTCGCCCAAGCTGTGCTTTTCTGCAACCTTCAGATTCAGTGTCGACTCAATTTCAGCACACAACTCAGGGAAACAGTCGCGAATCTTGGAGCTGAGAACATGACCAAGATACGTCTTCAAAGCGGTAGATCCCAGGCGGTTCTTGGGGGCCCTGTCCCAAGGGGCTGTACTGAAGAGACTCTCCTCGGCCGCCTTCAGATCAAAGGAGTCTCCATCCTTGCCAGCACGGTTTCGGACGAGAAACCAGCCTTTTTGGAGATGACCGGAGCCACTCCAGGAGGCACTAGTGGCAATATCAACAATCTATAAGCCATGTTAGAAAAGGCACACAATCTCTGGGAAGAAACATACCTCTTCCGCGGCGTCAGGTTCATTCTGAATCATGTCACACTTGGTGAAAACTCCCACGAGGCGTTCTTGGTCAGATACATATCTAGAAGCCAATGTGAAAACATCATGACGGACAAAGTCGGTCGGGGCATCCAAAACACAGCTATAACAGTCAGTCCTGTCCAAATTCAAGACTTGGGCCAACCTACATGACAATGTTGTCGGGATTCTTCATGTACTCGACAGTCATGGTTTCCACCTGGAACGGATCCTGTTCGTTGACCTTGATAGCGTTGTTGAAAGTCCCAGGAAGATCCAGAATGCTGAAATATGAGCGGTTTGGCCCGGACAGCTCAATCTTGAAAACCTCAGAAGCAAAGTTCTTGGCACCTCGACCCGTTCCGGGAGAGATTCCCATGCGATCAGAAACCTGCTGGTGTTAGCTATATCCTATGAGATCGGAATACTGACTTACTTCATCAATGGTCTTGACAAACTCATCCTTGGTCAGGGTATTCCCTTGGTGCGAATAGCTGCTGATGTCTTCAGAGGCCGGTTCCATGCCAGGAACGTTCACATCGGGTGGTTCAATGGTGATACGGAACGAGTCTTTGCTACCAGGTCCCGTACGCCTAGAAACGATGCGAGTGGGCCAGCGGGTGCAACAGCCACTGTTAACTGGGAATGGGATGCCGGTCAAGCTTTGCAAGAGTGAAGACTTGCCCGATGATTGACCGCCGACAATGACAAGCTACATCATATTAGTAGAGGTCGTATGGCATCGTCAATATTCCTCATACCTGTGGGGTTCTCAGACCCCTCGAGCCAAAAGACTGAAGCTTGTCAATGGCGTCAAACAGGATCCTGTTGTGCGGATTCTCGAACGGATCCTCGGGCATGACCTCAGCATCAACAGCCTTCTTAGCCTTGACCGGAGTTTCCTCAACCACAGTCTTCTTGGGAAAGCTTTTCTGGGCTGCAAGACTCTGGGCACTTTGCCAAAAGCTACCCTCTTCATCCGAGTCAACTTCGACGTCAACCCTTCCAGGGGTAGACGGACTCGGAGATCTCACAGAGTTCCCAGACATGTCCCACACGCCAGAGTCGGCGGGGGACTTGCCCAGAAGATGTTCATTGTCCTTGGGATCGAGGTTGTTGGGAGACTTGGTTGCCTTTTGAGGCGGAGTTTGGGGGACTTGAGAGGTAATATCAACAGGACCAGCCATGATGATAGATGAAGGGAAGTAACAGTGAGAAAGAGAAAAGAGAAAAGATAAGCAAATAAGAAAAAATGGGTAACAAAAGAGATTGAGATGTGCAGGTTTGGACTGATCAAAAGTTGGATTTGCTCTACGTTTTATGTTTTCCCACCATGGTGGTTATCTCCCAATACAACACCCAAGTCAAGACTTGAGCCAGATGTTGCCAGGAGCGGGCTATTCCCGCGATGCATCTTGCCATCAGCTTATCCTGCAACTAGGCGCCCGTTGTTGGTTCTGTAAAAGACGGAATCGCGGAACCAACTGAAGTTGAAACGACGCTATCACGATGATGGTGTTCCCATTTGACAAACTCAAGGGTCGGATCGAGCCGTCTATAGTGATAAGCACAGTCAGACTCTTGCTCGAAAAAAGCATTGCAACTCTGTGTTGGTAGCAGATCTAGCTGAGATGCGGCCTGAAACTCGACCAAGAAGGGCGAAGTAAAGAGTTGAAACAAAAATAGACTCGGCAAAGTCTCAAGGTTCGGGGTCGCCTCAGAGAGACCAGCATTAATTGAAACTTGGGGGGCTGAAGAAACGTTGTTGGTTGTGCTCGCAACTCTTCAGGTCTGCAGGGGTTGTTGTCGATCAGACATAATTGATGCAGACGAAAACGGAAGCTGAGAAACTCGATATCGTATTTGTCTTGTAGTGGTGGGTCAAAGTTGTGCCGATCTGACGTTGTACTCGTACGAGATGCATCCGCAGTTGTTTGTATCGGCAAGTGAGTCATTGCCGAACACAATAGGAATGTATCTAGAGATCAACATCAACACAACACATCATATAATCCTCTTAAGCGCTCGATGCTGATGCCAGAGATAAGACAACGTGCCTCGAACTAGGCCGCTGTCTTGGTCTCTCTCCCTTGTCCTGAGCCAAGATACATCTCAACCAACAACCAACACCGGGCGGCTACTCACTGAGCGACCAATCACATCATGGCACCCTCTGTCGAGCAACTGCTGAAAGATTCCGAATTCGACCCTTCGCTGCTCCAGCGGGTGGCGTTCCGCAGATCAAAGCCTCCGCTGGCCATCGTCGAGCCTGACCCTTCATGGCCGGCTACTTTTGACCTGCTCAAAGCCCGCATCGAGTCCGCTCTCGGCAGCACAGCTGTCTCTGTCAACCATGTTGGTTCAACAAGCATCCCGGGTCTTCCGGCCAAAGCTGTTATCGACATTGACTTGGTCGTCAAAGACGTGACAGACGAGGCATCTTACGCGCCCGCTCTCGAAGAAGCAGGCTTCCAGTTTCTTGTGAGGGAGCCTCATTGGCACGAGCACCGCTTCTTCTGCGGATACGAGCCCATATCTACAAACCTGCACGTCTGGGGACCTGACTCGCCCGAGGTGGTAAGACATAAGATCTTTGCCGACTGGCTGAGACGTAATGAGACGGATCGGGCGTTGTATGAGAGGACAAAGAGGGAGGCTGCTGCTGTGAGTGCTGAGAAGGGTGAGGATGTCATGCAGTACAACAAGCGTAAGGAGGATGTCATTCGTGAGATTTTGCAGCGGGCGTTTAAAGACCTAGGATATACACAGTAACTACAATAGCCTTAGATAGAGGGCATTTGAGAAAGGAATTCATTGTGGTTAAAAGATCGAGTCAATATCATAGATCCTACATGGAAGGACGAAGCCTCGTGAGTTTGAATCAAAAGTCTAGGGTAGGCGGCCCCACTCGGCAACGGCATCATTCCGAGCTTGGCCCAAAATTTCAACATTCAACTCCAACCTCAAACATCACCACTTCCGCCCCGTCCATTGCATCACCAGCCACAGTCAACACTGCGCGCTCTCAATCGCAATGAACACAATGTTCCGCTCTGTCACGCGCCTTGCGCGCCCCGTTGTGGCCTCTCCTCTGGCTCAATCGCCCAGGTAAACCCTCACATCTCCTCATTCACCGAACCATCAACTAACCTCTGCAGGACCTTCACGACCCTCGTCCCCCTCCGACCCTCCCTGACCCCCTCCACCGTCCGCCGAACAGTCCTCCCCTCGAGCTTCACCCCCTCGACCGCCGCCTCAGCAGACCTGGTCCCCTCGAGCGCCATCTCAGCTCACCCTGCCATGAGCGACATGCAGATCCGTTGCGGTCCCCGAAACACCATGAACGGCGCCACCCGGCTGGTCCAGAAGCGCAGACACGGATTCCTCTATAGGACGCGGAGCAGGACGGGACGCAAGATCCTGTGGAGGAGGAAGCTCAAGGGCCGCAAGCACATTGCTCAATAAGAAACCTTTGGCAGGGGGGAACGGCAGAAACATGTGATGTATGATTACGAAAGGGAATAGAGAGGGCGAGGCTGGGGACAGACATATCTGTTCACTAGTGAAACTCCCCCTCGTGTGATGCCATGTCTGTACAAATCAACACGATAAACCAAAAGAACCCTCTCACATGGTCATGTCTTTTCAGCTCGGGATTCAGCCCGAGCTGCGTACCTAATCAGGTGTCGAAATTACAATCAGCAAGGCGGAAAGGCCGAGCAATCCCGCTTACAATTTGTCTGAGCGTGGGTTGTACAAGACAAGACATACATGACGCCCTTTTCTCCGCCCGATTCCGGGCAGTTTCTGAGTGGCCGAACAATCAAAAGAGGGGTTGAAAATGGGATAAGCAGGGCAAACTCAATCCAGCTGAATGCATGTTTACTTGCTTCGGGGGAGACTCTCAAAGTAGAAGTCTCGGAGAGACAGAATGGCCACCTTGTCAACACCATCACGACTGCAGTCAACCCCTCATCACAGGCTTCAGTCAAATGTGTAAAAGACTAAGCAGAATCGTCTTGTCCCTCGGCTCGTTGACAAATGTGGCGCATGCAGGTTCCTTTTTCTCGCAGATCATCAGGCACACACACACACACACATCACTTGAGTTCAGCAACTCAATAATAGTATTTTTTGGCTTATGTGATGCGTCGGCCCGTCTTGCATGAAAAGTAAGATGGTGGGTTAGATATGGTACGATTAAGAGATGTAATAGGTAGGTGAGATATAAGGCTGATGGACGGTAAGGTGGTGTTGATAGAACAATCAGTATAACCATCTCGGACGGAACAAGAGAAAGAGTTATCCGATGCTATCTAGTTTTCAACAGTTGAATACCACGTTAGGCTTGCGACTAAAAGATTAGTTTCTACAAAAAGTCGAGAGAAAAATCAAGGATACAAACACTCAACAACTTCCCCGCAAAATACAACCTTGTCCATAAGTTCATGCCGGCCAAACCACCTCAAATCCGAATAGCTCCGGACAAATCTACTTTGGGGGAAACGGCCTACCAAAGAAAAAAGAGGGGATGCGTTCCGTACGTGCCGTCGCTTTTCTTCTGTCCCGCTCGGCAGTTGCATCACGTTGAGATGAGCTTGTGCGAAACATGGTTGGCTACAAGACTTGTCCCCTGGGCGGCTATTCAACCCCCCCTGGTCCGTCTTATCACAGTGACGTGAAGGGGCCAATTTGACACTGTTTCAACCACTCAATTCACCAGACCTGAACTTCTTTCAACTCGTCACAGGGGGACAAGAAGAAAGCCCTGGATCCTGATTCCTACACCCTCAACAAAAGATGTGACGACCCTTGTTCCCACCCCGGTTGCATCTCTCCGCAAGGCTGCCCACCCCTGGGGGCCTCACGTGGCTCATCGCCATCATCATTACCCATCTGGGAAGCTCGTCCGGTAGGGGTGTGTGATGTGTGCCCGCGGATCGAAGAAGCTATCCACCCACCGCCGTCCGCGGACGGGAAAACATTCACAGCAAGAGAAAAAAAAGGCCTCAACCCTGGTAGGCAAGGGTTGAAAGAGCCAAGAATGCGGGGAGGAAGGACGACGAGTGTCCTCTTTACGGCGGTTAGAGCTGAAAAAAGTATGCCTTAGCTTCCTGAGTGGGTTGCTGGGTGTTGATGAGCGGTATGAAGACGATGGTCGTGGGCGAGTATATAAGTTGCCGTGGCGTCCCGGTTCATCATGAAGTGCATGAGTTGAGAAGCATCTCGTCATCATCTACTCCCCCCTTCGCCCTGCGCCGGTTGAAGCCAGTTCCCTTCAACCCCTTGAGCCGAGCTCCCTGATACTGGCCTTGTAGACAACTTCCTCACCTCCAACTCCCCCGTCTGCTAAAATGCGCTTGCTGCCTCTCCTATCGGTCGTCACGCTTGCTGCGGCCAGCCCTATAGCCTCTGTTCAGGAGTACACTGACGCCTTGGAGACGAGAGGTAACCTACCAACACTCCCCCCAAAGACAGACCTCGCTCTAACAAGTAAACTCCACAGCCATCACCGCCTCTACGCTCGACTATGAAAACTTCAAGTTTTACATCCAGCATGGTGCTGCAGCATACTGCAACTCCGAGACGGCATCTGGCGAAAAAATAACCTGCAGCGACAGCGCCTGCAAAGTCGTCGAGGCCAACAACGTAGTCGTCGTAGCATCCTTCGTGTAAGCTCCCCCCTCTCCCCTCGCAAAGCTTTAAACTGACACGTAGCAGTGGAACAGGTACTGGCATCGGAGGCTACGTCTCTACTGACGACATTCGCAAGGAGATTGTTCTCTCTATCCGCGGCAGCAGCAACATCCGCAACTGGCTTACAAACGTCGACTTTGGCCAGTCCGGCTGTTCCTACGTCAAAGACTGCGGAGTCCACACGGGCTTCCGCAATGCCTGGGATGAGATTGCCCAGCGTGCCAGGGATGCCATCGCCAAAGCCCGCGCGAAGAACCCGTCCTACAAGGTCATCGCCACAGGCCACTCCCTTGGCGGTGCTGTCGCAACTCTGGGTGGTGCTGACCTGAGGTCCAAGGGAACCGCAGTTGACATCTTCACCTTTGGTGCTCCTCGTGTAGGCAATGCCGAGCTTTCAGCATTCATCACTTCCCAGGCCGGCGGCGAGTTCCGCGTAACTCATGGCCGTGATCCCGTCCCTCGTCTGCCTCCCATCGTCTTTGGCTACAGACATACATCGCCCGAGTACTGGTTGGCCGGCGGAGCATCCACCAAGATCGACTACTCCGTCAACGACATCGAGGTCTGTGAAGGCTCTGCCAATCTCGCCTGCAACGGCGGTACACTTGGCCTGGATATCGTCGCTCATCTGCGCTACTTCCAGAACACCGATGCCTGCACAGCGGGTGGTATCTCGTGGAAGAGAGGGGACAAGGCCAAGCGTAACGAGATCCCCAAGCGCCGGGACAGCATGACGGATGAGGAGTTGGAGCGGAAGCTCAACGACTATGTTGCCATGGACAAGGAGTACGTTGAGAGCAATAAGATGTAGGCCTTGAAAGAGCCTATCCTTGCATGATCTCACAAAGACATGGAGGAATGATGCAAAATAATACAATGATGAACACTTATGACCACTTCAATCCTGCATCATATGCCTGACTGACAGTACGTCTACATTCTGACATCCGAGTCTAAGACCATGTCCATCTTTCATACATACATACACACATCATACAAAAACAAGAGGCATCATGTTTGACAAATGCCCAAGACCATCCTGTAATCGCTAACCGGATGTGCTGATAATATCCGTTCTACCGGGAACGCCACAACACCAAAGCATAGTTATCCTTCATGTCGATACATGCCATCAATGTTCACCCTCGACAATCATACCCTGCGCGTTGGGGACTCCAACCAGAATGACTCCTCGAGGCACTCTGACGCTCTTCACCTTCATGCATCCAAACACATTCACCTCCCGAATGCTAGGACACGAACGGAAAATGGACCCCAAGATGAAGTCCGTCACCTCTTCGCAGAAGCTGATTTCAAGCTCCTTCAGCTCTGGGTATTGGGCATCTGGGTGGAATACCTCTTCGAAGGCCTCCCGTGTGATGTGACGACAGGCATGCACGTTGAGATACTGCAGCTTCTGTCCAGAATGCGTCATCAGGGCTTTGAACCCGTCACTGCACAGCCCAAGCTTGTCTGGGTTCTCTCGCGGCTGGCTCGCATCAAGCTGTCGGCACTTCTGGAAATCCACGTAGTGTAGAGGCGGGTTGGCCCAGTCAGTGAACAGGTCAGCGAAGCCAAAGTCCGTCATTTCCTCACTGTCTGTGATGCGAAGCTTGGTGAGCGATCGGCAGTGTTGGTGGATGGCCCGTAGCAAACCATCATCGACTCCAGGAACCACCTTGAGCGATAGGGTTCGAAGGTTCGTGCCAATCTTTGAGACGAGTTCATTGTACGCCGACGTGTGAGTCTTGTTCTGTAGCTGAAGACCGACATGTTCAAGTGTGGATATATCTCCAATGGCCTTGACGCCAACATCGGTAAACTTTTGGTTGTTCTCAACCTTGAGACGCTTCAGGTTGGGACAGTGCTCCTTCAGCACCACCATGGTGTCGTCACCAAAATGTTTGTCGGTATAGTAAACTTGCAGGGCTCTCAGCGTTTCACCCTTGGCGCGAAGGTACTCGTGCCACTTGTCTTCGCTCAAGAGGTTTGCTCCGTGGAGGTAAAAAGATTCGAGAGCGATATCGCGAGACAAGAGGTAATCCATAACCTCGTCCTTGAACTGGATGCCGCATCGAATCTTGAGGTGTCGCAGCTGCTGGGCGACCTGAAAGATGCCAATGTACTCTTGCTCACCGAGTCTTGCGCCATCGTAAATGTGCACGCTCTCTGTGTTGGGTTGAACAAAGAGAGGGAGAGTCTCTGGCTTGAGCAGACGTCTCTTGGAAAACATTCGCGCAATCTTGTCGATCAAGTGATCGGGAAGGTCTCCAAGACTGTCTGCGAGATCGACATTCTTGGCCAAGGTCTGAACACAGAGCGTCGCCAAACTCTTGGTGCCGAAATCGCCGTCGAGAATGCGGCTCTGGATAGCACGGCGTCTTCCGACACCACTGGCGCCTGTCTGCTTCTTCGCCTTCTTCTTAGGTTGATCCTGGTGTTCCTTGGCCACCTTTCTACCACAAGGGGCACACAAGAGGCCGCCGTTAGGGCCAGCAACCGAGTAGGGGGTGACAGTGAAGCGCTTGTCGCAGATCTCGCAGTTTTCCATCTGGCCGGGAAGGGGAGCTGATGTCTGTTCAAAAATGGCCCGAGCGAGTTCATCGTCATCGGAAGCGTCGACTCTCTTCTTGCGTCTCTTGAAGGATTTGCTTTCCTTGATCTTTTGGATCCTCTTTTCTTCCTCCCTCTTCCGCTTTGTAGATTCAGTGGTGGCGTTCCGGCCTGAGCGTCGCCGAGTGCTAGCGGAAAGAGGGGCCTCTGAGGATTCGCCATCTTCATCCTCATCTCCATTCTGCGCGGTGTTGCTGGCCGCTGCTTGTCGTCGTCGAGCATCAGCATCTGCACGAATCTGATTTGCAGAAATGTTGTGCGACTAAGGCGGGTTAGCATGTCAGGTTGACGGCTATCGCTACGAACTCACGGCAAGGAAATCAGTTAGCGCAGATTGGCTGCGAAAATGTTAGCAGATGCACTTGGGTAAAATGTGTCGCTGGAGACTTACGGCCCGTATACGGCACGATTTGCTCTGGTAGGCCGAGCCTGGGTAGGTGGTTGAGTCTGGCCGATCTGTCCGAATTGACCAGCCTGTCCATTTTGGCCATTTTGGCCATTCTGACCAGCTTGACCATTCTGCGCAGCCTGGCCAGCTGGAGCAGTTTGGCCATTTTGATTGTTGGCCTGGGTCTGTCTGGGCCGCGCCCTGCGAATGGCATTAGTACGTCGCAATCTTTCTATTCCAGAGGGACCAGGGGTGAGCTTACATGATGAAGGCGACGGGTCGTCCGGCAAAGAAATGTTGATTCTGGGACGAAAATATCTCTCAGTTTTTGCCGACAAAGACCCAGCTGCCGATATCAAAGGCCGACATCAAAGGGGATGGAAAATCGAGCCTTGATTAGAGTTGGCGCAGGAAACAAAGCTGCCTAGACGAGTGGCGTTGGTCTTGCACAGGCGCGAGTACGTCTTCGCGGAATTGGCACGGTGTCAGGTGACCCGAGTGGTGATGAATGGCCTAGATCAAGGCGGAGGAGGGGCACCAGGTGCAATTAAAATGCAGTTCCCCGCGCACGTGACTTCGCGTTACCAATTCTCTCGACACTGTGAGAACGTGAATTGGCTCTTGGAAGGTGCGCCCCCAGAAAAAAGGAGCTGGCCCAGTGGCAACTCCTCGACCAGCTCCCGCTCTTTATTTTCCTTGCACCATCGTTTTACCATCAAGGCTGCAGTGAAAAGGGGCATCTTCCCATTCACGCATGAGCGGGTGAATTTCGTTTGTTGGGTGGTGTTTGCTTCCCTTCCCATCTCCCAGTCCCGTCATCGTTTGTCCTTTGCGCCCTCTTCCCTGCTGCATCTCCGACCAGCATTAGTGCAAACAGACAGGGATTCATCCACCACCAGCCCTCTCCCGTCAGCAGCACCTAACCTTCAACTTCTTTGTCTATTGAAGGGAAACACTCTCTGCTGCTTTTGTCAAGATTCTCCCTCTTTTCCCTTCTCTCAGCGTTTTCGCTGGCCATCTTGACGCTGGTCGGCGGCCCTCTGAGAAGGAACCCTGCTGGTTCGCCAGCCTGCACATCGACCACCACTTGACCAGCTGAATCAACCTCGTCGGCAAGATGCCTCGAGGTCGCCCATCCATTCGGGGTACGCCCGCTGCCTCCGAAATGGCAAACAGTAGGCTTCTTCTCTATCCCTCCGCATGTTTTGCGGTTATTAACAATATTTAGCCTCTCGAGAAGCGTCTGCTTCATCAGTCCGGATCACTCGCGCTGCGACTAGAAGTCAGGCTGCCTCATCCGCCTCAACTCCAGTTTTTGAGCTTCAGGCAGAAGCCCCGTCGGTTCCACGCCCCAGAGGCCGCCCAAGGAAGAGCACACAGGCAATTGAGATTGCATCATCGACTGCCGAATCTTCTGCCTTGGATGTCGCCCCTCCTAAGAAGAGACGTGGTCGCCCAAGCAAGGCTTTTATCGAGATTGAATCCACCTCGTCAGCCCCAACGCCTCGAGATGGCACTTCTGAGAGTGGCTACTCCACCCCTGCCACAAGCAAAGGCCCAACTCCTACCGCCACGGATTCTTTCAAGTCCACCTCGAACTTTCAAGTTGTTGTCCCAGGTCCTTCTCGACTTTCCGGTCAAGACCGCGAGCGAGCATCGCGAAAGAGCATTTACGCGATGAACAAAGGCACCAAGGACAATCGAATCATCCTAGACTCTGATGATGATGAGGATTTTCCAGACAACTCCAGAGACGCTCAGCTCGCTCGTCGTCTTCAGCAGGAAGATATGGCCCAGTACACCACTTCGTCTCTTCCACGCCGAAGTACACGAACCAGTGACCTTGCTGGCCTAGTTGTATCATCAGCTCCTCAGAAGGCACCAGCCAAGCGTGGCAGAAGCTCCACCAGCTCCGCTCTCCAGACCAGCCGTCCATCAAAGAAGAGCAAAGTCATTCCCGACTCTGACGAAGGCGAATCCGATATCAACATGGATGCGGAGATTGCAGCGGCCGCTGGCCTCGGCTCGGACGATGAGTATGGTCTGGGCTTGAAATCGGATGGCGATGCGTCTTTCGCGGATCTCGAAGATGCTAGTGACAGAGACGGGATTGCAGACCTCTCTAGCGAAGATGATTTTGTCCCGGTCTCACGACGCCGTCAAGCCCGTGCCCCTCCCCGAAGACTGGCTCCAGCCACAGTCCCGGCCCCGGCCCCGGCCTCGACTTTGGCCCCACAGCCTACCCAGGCAGCTCCGGCCGACTCCCCCATCACAATCTACAGCGATTACGACACAACGGATCCCCCTACCGGCTTTAGTATTAGCGATACTGATGAGGATCCCAACGACATCAATGCCATGAATGCGGCGGCACTTCAATCCATCTCCAGATCGCGTCGTGCTTACAGAGCCACGGGAAGTAGCCGACGTCTTAAGAAGGAGCGAGATCGTCTGGAAACCCACCATCCAGAGATGAAGACGATGTGGCAGGAGCTGGAGAACATGCCTGTCCTCAAGGCTGGAAAGGCACCTCAGCCGCAAACCATCTCACGCCAGCTCAAGCCGTTCCAGCTTGAAGGTCTTGCCTGGATGATGGAAATGGAAAAGACGGAGTGGAAGGGGGGTTTGCTTGGTGATGAGATGGGTCTAGGCAAGACGATCCAGGCCGTCTCCCTGATCATGTCGGATTATCCTGCTAAGCAACCTACTCTCGTCCTCGTCCCTCCCGTTGCTTTGATGCAATGGCAGCAGGAGATCAAGTCATACACAGACGGCACACTCAAGACGTTTGTCTTTCACGGCACAAACCAAAAGTCCAAGAAAATGACCGTCAAGGAGCTCAAGGCATACGATGTTCTCATGATGTCGTACAACAGTCTCGAATCTATGTATCGCAAGCAGGTGAAGGGATTCGTCCGCAAGGACGGAACACACAAGATGGATAGTCTGATCCACAAGATCAACTTTCATCGCATCATCTTGGATGAGGCGCACTGCATCAAGACGCGAACCACAATGACAGCCAAGGCTTGCTTCGCCTTGAAGACGACATATCGCTGGTGCCTGTCTGGTACACCCCTTCAGAACCGAATCGGAGAACTCTTCTCTCTGGTTCGATTCCTCAACATCCGTCCCTTTGCATCCTACCTTTGCAAGCAATGCCCTTGTTCGACTCTCGAATGGTCCATGGATTCGGATAGTCGCTGCTCTCAGTGTAGGCACGCCGGAATGCAGCATGTATCTGTCTTCAACCAAGAGCTGCTGAACCCCATTCAAAAGTACGGCAACATTGGACCTGGTCGAGAAGCCTTCGGCAAGCTTCGTCTGATGACTGACCGCATCATGCTCCGTCGTCTCAAGAAGGATCACACCAACTCGATGGAGCTCCCTGTCAAGGAGATTTACGTCGACCGACAGTTCTTTGGTGAGGAGGAGAATGACTTTGCCAACAGCATCATGACCAACGGTCAACGCAAGTTTGACACCTACGTCGCCCAGGGTGTTCTCCTCAACAACTACGCCAACATCTTTGGTCTCATTATGCAGATGCGACAGGTTGCCGACCACCCTGATCTGATTCTGAAGAAGGATGCCGAAGGAGGCCAGAACGTGCTGATCTGCTGTATCTGCGATGAGCCAGCTGAAGACACAGTGCGCAGTCGGTGCAAGCATGACTTTTGCAGAGCCTGCGTCAGTAGCTATGTCCGGTCTACTGCTGAGCCTGATTGCCCTCGTTGCCACATCTCGCTGTCGATCGACCTTGAGCAACCCGAGATTGAGCAGGACGAGGCTCTTGTCAAGAAGAACTCGATCATCAACCGAATCAAGATGGAGAACTGGACTTCGTCGTCCAAGATTGAACTTCTCGTCCATGAGCTTCACAAGCTCCGCTCTGACAATGCCTCACACAAGTCCATCATTTTCTCTCAATTCACCACGATGCTCCAGCTCATTGAGTGGCGTCTTCGACGTGCTGGAATCACTACGGTGATGCTGGACGGAAGCATGACGCCTGCTCAGCGCCAGGCCTCCATTGAGCACTTCATGAACAATGTGGATGTCGAGTGCTTCCTCGTCTCTCTCAAGGCTGGTGGAGTGGCCCTGAACCTCACTGAGGCTTCGCGAGTCTTTATTGTCGATCCGTAAGTATCTCAACCTGATAGCTGTCCGAATAACCTACTAACTTCTGCAGATGGTGGAATCCTGCCGCCGAGTGGCAGTCTGCTGACCGATGCCACCGTATCGGACAGACTCGACCCTGTACCATCACCCGCCTGTGCATCGAAGATTCGGTCGAGAGCCGAATGGTACTGATCCAGGAAAAGAAGACGAGCATGATCCACTCGACGGTCAATGCTGACGACAAGGCGATGGACTCGCTCAGCCCTCAGGACATGCAGTTCCTGTTCCGCGGCTCCTAAGCAATTCGATGACTACAGGATGATTTGATTTCTGTGCCTCTCTTGGGAGGAAACACTATGAGGCTTTGATTTTCACTCGAGTCAAGTTCAAGGACTTGAGGAACTTTCGGGACGGTTACGATCTTGTAATGTGAGTGGCATTTTAGCCACTGGAACGGGCATGGAGTCGGGGAGTTGAGCGCAAAAGGATTTTGCCTTTGCTACTTCAACACGAACACGGCATGAGGGTTATGGTGATTTTGGAGTTATGGGGGCACATGTATGAGTTTAGTGAAAGATTACGGAACGACCCAGGGACGAGGAACTGTTTTGCGTGAGATGCGATACGGACATGATCTTGCCCCTTATTAGATGGTACGGCATGTCTCAACGTCAAGGATGTTGCACAGCTGGACAAGACAAAATGAGGCGATAGGCAATTGATATGTGTATTATATCAAGATGCTCTCTGATAAACTGATGCGTTCTTGATTTCTAGCTCTAGTGGCATGCAGCCACTCTGCACTGTAGCTCTGCTTCACATGAGTGAAGGACAAAAAAAGCGTCGACAAAATGCCCTCCCGAGACCAACGGGAGTAAGAATGAAACATGGATCTAGGGAGAAATTCGAGCTTGCACCCAGATTAAACACCTAGATTTCCGTTCTACTGCCATACGACAGATCACAGGCCGAGAAGGGCCTTGGCACCCGGCTCGCTGCAGATGTAGATGACGTCGTGAGCGTTGGAGAAGCCATTAAACTGAGTGGCAGAGCACTTGGTATAGGCGCCCATGTCCTCAAAGTAGAGCCAGTCACCGACGTCGAGGATGGGGTCGAAGCGGATGCTCTCGGTGACGCGGTCGATGCCGTCACAGGTCGGGCCCCAGATGGAGTACTCGACACCCTCACCAGCGGGAACTGGGTGAGCAGAGGGCGTCTCGTAGAGGGTCTTTCCAGAGGCACGGAGGATCTTTGCGACGGGGGTCTGGTGATCGAAGACGATGTTGGAAAAGTTGCCGTAGACGCCGTCGTTGACATAGACCATGTACCCCTTGCCGTCGAGGGTGGGGTCCTCAACAGTTCGTCGAGCGATGATGTTGCAGGCGATGGTGAAGGCCGTGGCGACGTAGTAACGGCCAGGCTCGGCCATGATGTCGACTCCGCAACCAGGAGGGAAGAACTCGTCGAGGGCTTCACGGAGGACCTCAGCCATGGTCTCAAAAGTGTCGCCGGAGAAACCACCTCCAACATCGAGGGTTCGCATGTTGAAGCCAAGCTCACGGGCCTGCTGGAAGACGGTGTGAGCATCGCGGACGGCCTTGTAAAAAGCCAGAGGGTCAGAGGCTCCGGAGCCGACGTGGAAGCTGACACCGACAACGTTGAGACCGAGCTGCTTGGCAAGAGCCAGCAGGCCCTCGGCGGTCTCCATGGCGGCACCAAACTTCATGCTGAAGCGGCACATGCTCTCGCTATCGTCGGTCATGATGCGGAGGAAGAGCTCGGCTCCGGGGTAGAGCTTGGCGATCTTGTAGAGCTCATCGGAGTTGTCAAAGGTCATCTGCTTGACGCCAGCAGTCTTGACGTAACGGACGTACGAGTTGGTCTTGCAAGGCTGGGCGTAGATGATGCGGTCAGGGCTAAGTCCCAGGGAAAGGACCTGCTCGATCTCGGCCTTGGAGGCGCAATCGAAGCCGGTGCCGAGCTCGGCGAGGAGCTTGATGATCTGGGTGTCGGGGTTGCACTTGACGGCTGCAAAAGTTAGCAGTGTTTTAATACCTGACAAAACCTTGACTCACCATAGAAGGGGCGGACGCGAGGCAGGTTCTTCTTCCAGCGAAGGTGCTGGCGGTAGACCTCGCCGAGGTCCGCGACGAAGAAGGTGTCTTCATCGCCAGGGTCGCACATCTCATGGTCGATGGCCTCCACACGCTGGTGGAGAGCCTCGCCAATAAGCTGCTTTGGGGTAATCACGCCATGTTGCTCAAGAGGTTCCTGGTAGATGGGCCTCTTTAATGCGATATGAGGGTGATTGACATTGTGGTTGTAGGTGTCGAGGACAGCCGTTGCCATAACCATATCCCAAGAAGTAGTCTGCGACTGGGGTGGGATTGAAGAGAGGGTGTTGAGTGGTTGGGTCGCACGAGAGACGTTTGTGTTCCTCGAGGATTGAGAGTAGTGTAGCTTAACCGTGGGGGGTTGAGCTGGTGTTAGGGCGGTCGAGAGCGGTAGCAGACTGATCCCTCAGTGATCTGGCGAGGCCTCCTCGACTCTTCCTCGGTGAGAGGAAGAACCTCTGGAATCCTCCTATGCGGCAGCTGGTGGTCGTCCAAGGACGGCGGGGGAGTTGATTCGGGTCGGGGGTTGTCCAAGACGAGAAGGTCGAGGAGCTTAGGCGTCGATTCCGGCAGCAGCAGGAGGAGGGATGACGTTGATGATGTGGGAAGGCTTGCGGAGGCTGAAATCTTTGTCACTGACGAAGCTCACGGCCGGAGGAGCCGTGGTGGGAGCGGTGCCTTTGAAGAGACCAAAGGCGAGTCGATGGGGTTGGTTAAAAGAGCTTGAGAGGGAGCTCTTGTGGGCGCGTTGGGGGCGCGTTGGGGACTCGTAAGTGAGGTGTGTTGTTGATGTGGTGGTGGTTGGTTGGTGATTCAATGTTTGCAGACGAGGCAAGCAAGTGAGTAAGATAGAAGGAGTAAAAAAGTTGAAAGGAGGACGAGGCTTTTTATTCTCGATTCAAGAGGAGGTGAGAGAAGAAGGGGGGTCCGAGTCCCAAAAAAGAAGTCGACAGGTTTCTTCCAAACAGAGGCAAAGTCTCAAAAGTCTGGGCCTGAAATTATGCGGGTTTGAGTGGTGGTTGGTTGGTTGATGGTGAGAAAAAAAATGTGGAGGAGAAATTTCTGACCTGTGACGTTGGGTTTGGAGGGGCAGGCACAAAAGACAAGGAAGGAGCTGCCGCCCGTCAAGTAGTCTCCACTTTAAGGTTTACGAACGCCAGGAACTCGAACTCGGTGGCGCAGCAGTATCAGAAGCTGTCAGACTGTACACGCAATTCATCTATTGCTCATGAAATTGAATTCATCAGATGCCTATTCATTGACAGGTAGATACATTCTTCTCAGTTACAATCTCCATGTTTTCTCTACCTCTTGCTCCCGATGCTCCTCAACTGGCGGTGATCGAACGAGACTAGAAAATCGAACCAATTCCACTTCTCCCCGGCAGCTCATCCCGTTGGTCACTCTCTTCTCCGATGTGGCGCATGCACGCACGCACATTTGTCCATCCATTCGGGAGTAGAAATAAACAGGGCACAAAAGAAAAATACAGCCTGGCACCTGGAGAGAAAGGTACGTACCAATCAGTGGTCGTAATCATGACTCTTCTCACCGACAGACACCGAAACCCTGCCCTGTCGATCCCCCGTCAAATGTACTCGGTAGACGTCACGACATTTTCGCTCCTAGATTTTATAGCTTGAAACTATGTACCTACGACCCAATTGATAATTCCCGCAACTTGAAGCATAGCCTGGATAGACAGACACAGACACATACGATGCCTCGTATAATCAGGCTTCCATCAACAATCAAGTACGTAAGAAATCTGATGCTTTCGAAAGGGTCAGCTCGACTTCCCCATTGAGCCAGCTCTCGCCCCCCGTCAACAAAGCTCCATCTCGTCCTACATAGCACTCGGCCCGTCGGGCATCCATGCCTAACCCCAGCTCCAGAGAAAGCTTGCTTCACGGGTATGCAATTCAATTTCCCAGCTTCTCTCCCATATTTACCGACGCCCTGGTTGTTTCTGCCGTAAAATCCCTCTCCTTGAACCTGTCGTCGAATCGGCTGAACTCCCGTGCCTTGCATCCTCCTCCATACAAATCAGGCACAGCCAATATGACAACTCGCCTGGATCCCCAGGTCAAACACCATGTAAACGTCTATGTGCATGTACTCCGCTCTTTAGTCCAGCAATATCCATCGCTCAGGGACTCCGGCTCTGATAGAACGAGCTTTGACTCTCTCTCCTTTCTCGACCAGGCAAGGCACCTGTTGCTTCACCCACAATTCTCATGCCGCTGCCAACCGCTCATCCACTGGAACCACTCACGCTTGGTGCTTTCGCTCCGCAGCCGAGAGGGTTCTCACGTGTCTGGTCAGCAGAGGTAGAGAAGAGTGAATGCGACAACAGGTGCCGGGAAGAGAAGGGGAGAGATATGTCTTTCATCTTGCGTTGCTCTGTGGTCTCTGTGCCATTGAAAGGGCCCAGAGATGTATCGTATCTGAACGCGTGAACAAAAAAGTGTCGATGAGGTGTCAATGCCTTGTGTCAAGCGTTGCTCGAATGTGTCAGTTGAGAAGGGTCGTCTATAATCTTGTGTCTTTAATGTACACTTCATCGTACAGTCATAGCCGCAGCCACTGCGTCTGCCCCGGATGGTCAGCCACATCTCGGCCAACCACCCTCCGTGTCATGTCTGTCATAACTGTCATACCCCAGTTAGCTTCTAAAACAATCCTCCTTTTACTCGGCACCCTTGACGTCCATCTCGCGGATCTTCCACTCGCCGTCAACCCATGACTGCTTCTCTCCCAAGAAAGCAATCCTCTCCTCGCCCTTGGCCATGGCATCAACCAAGTACCGTTGCGCCACATCGCGCACCTGGTCCTTGGTCACGTCCAGGAGTTGCACGCGCTTCGTCTGCTTCATCTCCTCAGTAATACCCGACAGGAACCGCCCCATGCCCTCCTGATTCACCGACTTGGGAGCATCAACTCCCTGGAACACGGAAATCTTGGCCTCCTCAAGGTCCCGATCTGACCACTTCTTGTCAACCGCCCACTGACCCGCATTGCGCATAATGCTCAGAGTATTTTGGGGGTTGGGGTCGCGGTAAGAGTAGAAGCCGAACACACCATCCAGGGGTCGAGAGTAGGCACCTCCACCGTAAGCGCCGCCCTTTTCACGGATCTCGTGGTGCAAGTGCTTGTGCGTAAGAAGCTGTGACAGGATCTGCAGCGGTGCGCCGTCCGCAGTCGTGTAAGACGTCGTGGGCACCGATAGACCACCATAGTAGACCTGGTAAGGCAGAGGGAAGAATGTCTTCCTATCCCGAGGCAGCTGTCGGGGAGACGGGTTCTTCAATCCGAGCGGAGCATGCGAAAGACCACCCATAAACTTTTGCAACGAAGCGCCATTGTCGGCGACACTCTCGGATCCGCACGTGATAGCTGTGCGGATGTTGCCGCCGGCCAGCGCAAAGTTCTGGATCTGCTTCAACTTGGCAATCACGTCCTCCAGCCTATCCGACTCTGGCCGACTGGCCAGAGAAGTCACCAGCTGAACCTGCGACAGACCCGACACCTGTTGCCTCAACCACGCGCTCCGGGTGAGGCCTGCTTCCGAGCTGCCCATAGCGAACCGGTGACCAGTAGAAGCAATGTCATTGACCACGCCATCGGCAGACGCCTGGAGAAGCTGTCGAATTCGAAGAGCTGCCTCGGGGCTGTCAAAGTCGGTTCCGAGGACGAGCTTCTGGATGATGTCAAACATGACAGGAACGTTGCGGTCCAATGCCATACCAGTGAAGATGAGGCCTTCACTGGCAGCGTGGAAGTCGGTCGGAGAGGGTGTGCAGTGGTATCCCACAGAGACACCACCAGTCTTGAGCTTGATGAGATCCTCAAGCTGCTCCATAGTCATGTCCTTGGTACCGAGTCGCATGATGCTGTCGGTGAATAGGGGAACGAGCTCACGCAGCTCGTCTGGCAGGTTCTCCAACGTGTTGATGGCCCGGAAGTAGGTCAAACCATTTGTTGGGGCCTCGTGCCACTGGATCTTGATACCGCTGGCGTTCTCGTCCCGAACCACGACAGGCTCCTTGCTGCGAGGGATATCCTTGACGTGAACAGTCGGCAGGCAGCTCAGGTCTTCTGTGTTGGTCTTGTTCTGCTCAACCAGAAGATCTTGCTCTTGCTTCTCAAAGTGCTTGCGGGCATTCTCCTCGCCGCCCGCCTCCTTGATCGCCGTCTGGATCTTACCTGCCAACCGCTCTTGCTCCTCCTTGACTAGGTCCTCACCATAAGTCGCCGAAGGGGCCATAGTGAATGTGAGAGCATTATCGTTGAGCAGGTACTTGTCGATCAAACTCTCCAGGTAGTTGCCCTCGGCGAGCTTAGCCTGGAAAGCCGTGATGGTGTCGTTCCAGGCCAGGTTGTCAAAGGGATCAACGCCGTTGAACCACTTGGGCTTCAGGCGGTTGAGCATCGAGAATCCAAAGTTAGCAGTCTTGTGCTTAAGCGCCAACTCCAACTGGTGCAGCGAGCCGTCAATCTTGGTCTTCTCGAAACCCTTGTCACGGGCATCCCGGAGAATTTGTTGCACCTTCGCCTTGAGCTTGGCCACATCAGCCTCCTGGACGCCTGTGAGACCAATAGAGAAAATTCCTCGCCTGGCAGAGCTGTCGTATCCAGCGTTAGGGCTCCAGTCAGCACCCATACCGGCCTCGATCAGGCCGCGGTAAAGAGGAGAGCCATAGCCGTCCATGAGCAGAGTAGACAGGAGGGCGATAGAGAATGACTCGAGAACGTCGCTAGTATCGCCCATCACCCATGATACTGAAGTCTTGAACTGGCGGTCGGCATCCACCAGAGGATCCAAGGGTCCATACAGGGTCACATCCTGAGGGCCGTCCAGCTTGATAGGCTCACGGATCTCCTTGTCTCCCTGGATCTTCTCGAATGCTTGGAGCTGAGCGTCAACCTGTTGCAGGTGATCCACAAGAGGCATATCACCGTAGGTAAACACCTTGGCGTTGCTGGGATGGTAGTGCTCGGCATGGAACTTCTGCAGTTGCTCGTAAGTAAGATCAGTGATCTTCTGAGGGTCGCCGCCCGAGTTGTTGATATCAGGGAAGATGTGGTCGTGGAAGCGGATGTAGTATAGGTATCCGGCATCCGACATCTGGCCCTTCATCTCATTGTAGACGACACCCTTAAACACCAACTTCTTGCTAGCTTCATCCTCGGCGAGCGGGTTCTCAGGACCAATTCGCCAGCCCTCCTGAGTAAAATCGGATTGCTTGAGCAGCGGGTGCAGCGTAGCATCGAGATACACCGACATGAGGTTCTTGAAATCCTGCGCGTTGGTTGTGGCGAAGGGGTAAAAGGTGTGGTCCGAAGCCGTGAAAGCGTTCATAAAGTTTGATAGCGTTCGTGGTAGCATCTTGAAGAAGGGGTCGCGGATAGGGTATCTAGATCTTGTCAGCCACTGCCATCTTGCTGGCAGGAGTCAGGGTAGCCATACTTGTTGCTACCACACAGCGTCGTATGCTCCAGGATGTGCGGCACTCCCGTGTCGTCCGGAGGGTTCGTCTTGAAGCCGATCGAGAAGACATTGTTGCTGTCGTCGCGTGCAATGTGCAAGTAATCGGCGCCAGTCTTGTCGTGTTGCAAGTGCAGAGCCGTCAACTCAAGTTCCGGTACGTGCTTGGATCGCACGAGGGTGAAGCCATGAAGCTTCTCGCCAGGCTTTGGGAACTGCGACAGCTCCGTCACGGCCTTGCGAGCGCCGGCCGCAGCGTTGCGAAGCATTGTGGATGGGAGAGAAATTAAAAAAGATGAAGAAGAAAGAGACGAGATCTAATAATACATAAAACAATCAAGTAGTTAGCGAAGATCCAGGCGAGGTCCGACAGCAAGGACCCGACGTTTCGTGTCGTCAAATAAAAGAGTCAGGATTGAGATTTCGCGAATGGATGCAGGTCGTCGGCACAATGACGCCGGAACGTTTCGCCCCGAGTCGTCGAGTCGAGGTACGTACCCCGGCCCTACAGCCAGCCCCAGTCAAAGAGTCCCTCCCCTCCAGGGCAGCCTGAACCTGAGCCCGCTAGTAGTTGAAAAAAAAGGTAGAACACGTCGCAAGTACTCTGCCTTTAATCCGCTGATGAATCACAGCACAAAAGGCTTATAATTATGAATCTAAGAATTAATGGAGACTTTAGAATATATTTTATTTATTTTATATTTTTGTTTATTTTTCTTAGTCTAAGCTACCTCTTTATGGCACGGCAAAAGGTCTCAATGCCGACCTATAGTCTGCCATTTTTTCTTGGTCTGGGTGGCTCGCCTGCCCGCCCACGTCAGTCTCCCAGGGTGCGTAATGGCCCGTGGCCACTGGGTGGCTCCCACGGCCATTAGTGGGCGCCATTTCAGTGGGTGACCACTAAAAGTCCCCTGTGTGATTAGTCATGCTCCCGCAAAACCCATCCATGCCTCCATCCCAAGACTCCATGAGCCCTCTATCTCGACCCCAGCCGAGCGACTGTTTTTGTCCATGACCAACAAGCTGTGGTGACTTTTCTTGGTGTGCGCCTCGAGTATTGCCAGTCACGTTGCACTGTCGCCGTTTCCCACAGTCGGAGGCCATTGCCGTTAATTATCACAAACTCAAACCCAAGTCGAGGTGCGAAAACATTGACCCCCCCAGCCTTGAATGTGCCGCTCTGCATTACAAAGTGGGCAATTCTCTGCGTGAACTCGACTAACAGCCTTGTCCCGCACTCTAGCCGACGTTACTTTCTCGCAATCGGCTGCATACCCATAGCCACCTCATCATCAATAGCCTCTCCGATCCAGTGACTCGAGTACTTCGATCCATCTCTTCCGCGACGACACCGGCCATATTCATCCATCCCGCCTCGATGCTATCGGGCTTTGTAACTGCCCCCGTGACCCCCGCCCAACCGCCCGCCGTCTACTGTCTGAACTTCGATCGTTGCCGAACCGGTGATGCCTGCCAGTCAGCTGGATGCTCCTCACGCCAACGGGTACGACGGCCACGTCCATCCGCCAGTAACGGCAGCCAAAAAGGCCAAGGGCAAGAAAGCCATGGATTCAAACGAGGCCACGCGCCTTCTCCACGCGCGCATCTCCCAGCTCGAGCAAGATGCCGCTGGGGAGAAGGATCAAGAGCTGGAAATCGGTGCGTCTCGCCCCTATCGTTAAAGTGGCAATGCAATGTTGTACCGGTCGCTGCCGTGGCGCCTGCAGACAACGAGGCGAAAGTCGGAATGCTGATACGTTGGGGATGCAGAGCGCGAAGTCAAACGGGCGAACCGAGACCTTCTACAGCAGGTTTCCAAAATGGACAACATGCAAAAGATTGACCATCTCACCAAGCGGTCCAGTGAACTGCTGGCTGACATGCGACGACTCGAGCGTGAGAATCAAAAGAACAAGCGACGAGGCGACAATCTGCAAAAGGAGCGAGATACAGGCCGAACCGAGCTCAGCAAGACGGTTGGACTGAAGGAGAAACTCGAAAAGCTTTGCCGCGAACTTCAGCGTGACAACAACAGGATGAAGGTCGGTCGCGTTTGCCACGACGATGGGATATGGGACTCAATACTGACGGAATGAATCGACATCAGACCGAGAACAAGGAACTTCAAACAACCCAGAAGCGGAACAACACTCACTGGGATGAGAAGTATGCTACGCTGTTGTCGAAACTCGAGGGATACCAGGAAGAGAAGGATACTCCGAAAAAGCAGGTCGTGGACATGGAGGTTGACGAACTGTAAGACTGGCGCAAGTTGGGCAAGTTGACCTACTAACACGAAATCCAGGTTTCGAGTACGCTTCAAGTCCTTCATCGAGCAATACGAATTACGCGAGTTACATTTCCACTCACTCATGCGAACCAAAGAGCTCGAAGTCCAATATCACATGGCTCGGTACGAGAGAGAAAAGAAGAATGCCGAAGGCGAATCAGCCAAGGCCCGGCACCTCCAAGCCCAAGTTCAAGCCTTCACCAAGACGGAGACGGAGCTCAGGAATCAACTCAACGTCTATGTGGATAAGTTTAAGCAGGTGAGGGGATTCGGCAGTAGCAGCGCGCATGTTGACTAATGGCACAGCAGGTTGAGGATACCCTGAACAATAGCAACGACCTGTTTTTGTCGTTCCGCAAGGAGATGGAGGACATGTCCAAGAAGGGCAAGCGGTTAGAGAAGGAGAACGAGGCTCTGAAGCGTCAAAAGGAGGCGACAGCAGCCAACATCATCCGCATGGCTGAGGAACGCCAGGAGTGGAAGAAGAAGACAGAGTCAGCCGAGAAGAAGTCGGAGAAGCTCATGAGTATCATCCAACAGATGCAACAGCAAGGACGCAAGGTACCGCCCGGCATGGCCAACACGGTCGAGAGCTGTTACTCGGACAGCCACGGAGGGAACGAAGGGGATGAGAGCGACTACTCTGACGAAGAGGGCGAGGAGGAAGAACTTAGCGAGTTCGACGATGATACAGAGGAGGAACCGCAAAGCAATGAGCAAGGGACCCCGGTGCCTTTTGGCCCTGAGCGTCCTCCTCAGCCAGCTCCTGCGGCCGCTACCAACGGACACTAGGAGGCCACTGGAAGCGGGAGCCCAAGCCGTAGCCATAACCTCGGGGATGAGAAGGATCTGGGCTCTGATGAGGCCGGATCTTGAGCCATCAAACGCCGGCGATACAGTTGGCTTTTCGCCTGAGAGATTGCTCCCACATGACGCGGAGGTTGACGGTCCATCAGAAGACTGGGTCAATATCACCGCGGAATAAGGAGCTGTTGGGTTTACACTCGTTGGCTAAGCTGGTTGGGTTACTGCTAGAGGTGCTTGTTTTTGTTGCGTTGTTGTTGCTGTTGCTGTTGCTGTTGTGTGTAAGATGTATTGTCGTAGCTTCCAGCAGTGTTGAACCATCATCGCCCTCTTGTATTTGGTTAAGTGGCTATGCCGCTGCGTGTTTCCCTGTGTTGCGAGGCATTGAGTGTGGTGAAGCTGACGAGAGACGGTGCTCTCGGACGTAGAGGATCAGACGAAATTGATTGACGACAAGTCAATTACTTATAAATACTAACTAACTGAGCAGATACGAGGCCTCCAGGTGTGATTGAAGTCGTCATATCTCAGGTGCCTTGACGTGTGAGAGAACGCGACATCGGCATATCGGCGAATATCAGCCCCGATGAAACGGCGCGTTTAGGCCACCTTACCCATCCCACTTCCGCCCGCGCAGGCGCAGCGCATTGCTCGTATAGCCTCGCTCTTACAACTACAGTCCCAAGGTTTACGTGTTCCATCGACAACACCGCAACCATGGACTTTCTCCAGGTACGTCTATACTCGGAACTACTGTTCCTATCCAATTCGCGCTTCTATCCATTCATCAGATTATCTCGTCATGACGTTTACTAACTCGCACAGCGCCTCGCGCGCTTCCTCGACCGCCCGCTTTTCCCGTGGAAGAAGCTCATCATGGGCTTCTCAGTCGGCCAGTACCTCTTCGAAACCTTCCTCACGCTCCGCCAGTACCGCGTCCTCCAAAACACCAAGCCCCCCGTCGTCCTCTCCAAGGAGGTCTCCCAGGAAGTCTTTGACAAGTCGCAGGCCTACGGCCGCGCCAAGGCAAAGTTTGAAATCGTCAACGGTCTATACTCGCAGCTCCAGAACATTGCGTTCATGCACTTTGATATACTCCCCAAGCTATGGTCCTGGTCTGGTGATTTACTTCTCAAGTTTGCGCCTGCGAGGTTTACCGGAGAGATTAGCCATACTATTGTCTTCGTCTTGACTTTTGCCGCCATAAGCCAGATCCTTCGACTCCCCGCCTCCATCTACCAGACGTTTGTACTCGAAGAGAAATTCGGCTTCAATAAGCAGACGCCCAAGCTCTTCGTCACGGATCTCGTCAAGACTCAGCTTCTGACCTTCGCCCTCGCGCCCCCCTTCCTCGCCGGCTTCCTCAAGATCATCCAAAAGACTGGCAACCAGTTCTTCTACTACCTGTGGCTCTTTGTCATTGCTCTCCAAGTCTTCATGATCACCATCTACCCGATCGCCATTCTTCCCCTGTTCAACAAGCTGTCGCCCCTTGAGGATGGCGAGCTCAAGACAAAGGTCGAGTCTCTTGCCGCCAGCCTCAAGTTCCCCCTTCACGAGCTCTACGTCATCGACGGCAGCAAGCGCAGCGCCCACTCCAACGCCTATTTCTTTGGTCTCCCCTGGAAGAAGCACATTGTCATCTACGATACTCTTATTGAAAAGAGCGAGCCTCAGGAGGTTGTTGCTGTTCTTGCGCATGAGCTTGGTCACTGGAAGCTTGGTCACACGACCAGTCTGTTTGGTATCTCCCAGGTAAGTAACACGTCCTCATGGCTCTGTATCAAGACTAACACTGTCAGGCTCACTCTTTCTACATCTTCCTTCTATTCTCCGTCTTCATCAACAACCGCTCGCTGTACTCAGACTTTGGCTTCCTCACCCAGCACCCCATCATCATCGGTTTCATCCTCTTCTCCGACGCCCTTGCCCCCATGGACCTGATCATCAACCTGCTCATGCACATCGTCAGCCGCAAGTTCGAGTTCCAGGCCGATGCCTTTGCCAAGCAGCTCGGTTACCCCGAGGAGCTCGCCCGCTCCCTTCTCAAGCTCCAGATCCAGAACCTCAGCACCATGGACGCCGACTGGATGTATGCCAGCTACCACTTCTCCCACCCTCACCTGTCGGAGCGTCTCAAGGCTCTTGGCTGGAAGGGTTCTGAAGGTGTCACTGAGGGTGTCCCCGACAAGGCTGCCGAGGCCTCGGAAAAGGAGGGCGTCGTCAAGGCCAGCGGCCGAGATGAACTGTAGATTTCTAGGCGATAGAATAGGTGTATCTTGTATAGAAAGAAACGGTGTGTTTTTCATTAAAATCTACACTGCAAGAGCAGTGAGATACAGGGATAAACAGGAAAAGGGGCCGAGATGAGAGTCGATCTAGAGGGGACCGGCCATCCCTCGAGGTATAGATTCAGACTCGTGTACAATACAACCGAGTGTATTTCTTTGCGCCACGTTGAAGTCTATGGCATTGCTACCGAAGTGTTCTGGGTGAATCCTAAGCGACTGTATCCGAGTGAATCTACAAGAGGCCATCCATCTACCATTCCATCTAAGAATCACGTCTATTCATCGTCCGACTCAAACGAGTCATAAGATCCATCGGAGCCAGCCAGCTCATCCTCCTCCTCGGATGATTCTTCCTCCTCGCCATCCTCGGGCTTCAGGCCGTAATCATCGTGGAAGTAGCTGAGTTCATGAGTCTGGACCTTGTAACCCATGCCCTTGAAGGCCGCCTCCATGCCCTATTCCAAGTTAGTGAGAGATTGCAATACATAGATTAGTGAAACGTACCTCTTGCATGATCTTTGCAGCTGTAACGACAATGTTGCTCTTTCCAGGCTCGAAACAGGGCAAGATTGTCTCACGCATAGCAGCCTTGATCTCGTCGACAGTCACTGCTCGCACACGGCGAAGCACCTCCTTATCCCAGTCCTTGGGCAGGCCGCGCACGACGCCCTGGACAAAGTTCTGCTGGGCAGCGCTGGGCATGGTAGACTGCTCATCGGCGAACATAACGACGATTTGGCTGATGGTACCCTCGAGCAGGTGGTGGTCGATCTCGACCTCGCCGTCGGCAATCTTACGGATGGCCTCGAGCGAGGCGCTAATGGCCTTGTAGGCGTCAGGAGAGCGGTACACAAAGTACGAGATCAGACCCGAGTTGACGTCTCGTGAGAAGTAGGAGCCATAAGCGTAGCCAGCACCACGAACAGCGTTCCAAAGGGGCCCCTCAGGAGCCTCGAGGTAGCCAATGGCCACCATGATAGCAGCGAGGCGGGGGTCAGTGAGTGACTCCAATCCCTTGGCTGTCGAGACGGAATAGGAGGTTTCGAGAGTTCCCATGGGAACGATAACGGCACCCACGGATCCAGGGCTGCGACCTTCGGCGCTGCGTAGGCTGACAGGCTTGGGGATGGGAATCATTTCCTCTGTGGCTGTCAAGGACTTGGAGAGAGTATCCCAAGTAGACAGGGGGTTAGGAAGTGTAGCCAGGTTAGCTGTGACAAGGAAGCGGAGATTGTTGAAGGTGAATAGGGAGTCTCGGACTGTGTTGAACCAGCCGACAACCTTCTCAGGCTCCTTCTCGAGGAGCTTCTTGAGTCGCTTCAGGTACACAGCTCGGACGAGGACGCGCTGTGACACGGCCAAAGTCGTCTTCTCGGAGTGGAAGGATGCGCTGATTTCGTTAGCCATGGACTTGCCATCACGCTTGGACTCAGGGACATCGCCCAGAGTCTTGGTAACGGCAGCGCTGAGACGCTGGGGGTCGAAGATGGTGTCGAACATCATGGTACGGATCCACTCGACGGCGGCAGCGTACTTCTCAGGCTCGACCTGGAATTGGATCATGATACCATCAGGGTCACTGAGATAGCGTGCAGAGCTGAGAGAGTAACTAATAGTGTCTCGCTCAAGCTCCATGACAACCTGCTCATAGTCGACTCGCTTTCCATCTCGTGTGATGTGCGTGTTGAAGAGAGTGTCGCTGAAGATGGGCATCAGGGGCTTCAGCTCGTTGGGAATCTGAGAAGAGCCGATGTGGACAGTGATGTGAACAAAGTTGGTAGGGACATCCTCGAACTGGATGAAGAGAGGGAGGTTGCCCTGAGGTGTTCCATCGATGAGCTTCTGTGCTGGGCCTGATCCGAGTCCAATGGCACGGGCACGTCCGGCACGAGCAGTATCAGACTCGATAAAGTGGATAGATTCAGTGCCAGGGACACTCCAACGATCAATGACTTCGGCAGGGATGGGTTCGTCGTTCTTCTTCTTGGCGTCCTCAAGCCGCTTAGCAAGCTTGGCTAGGCCTTCAGTGCCCAACTCCTCCTTGCGCTTTGCAATCCTCTCTTCCTCATCCTTCTTCATCTTGAGAGCCAGCTCCGCAGAGGGCTTGCCCAAGATAGAGATGTGAGGGGCATCAGCTATCCACCTGCTGATGAAATCTCGCCACTCCTGGTCCGTCCACTTCTCAAGAGCATCGTACTCGCTGAGGTTCTGGAGATCCTTGAGCGTAGATCCATCTCGCTTGCCAAAGAGGTAATCCGTGATGATGTTGGTGGCATAGAAGGACTCTGATGTCTCAGCGTGGTACTTGACTTGACGCTTCTCGCGGCGGATACACTCTCTCATATAGTCCATGTCGAGGGGCTTAGAGACAACCTCCTTAAGAATCTCAAACAGTCGCTTCTCGACAAACTCGAGCTTCTCAGTGGCGACACCGGTAGGCTGAAGCCAAATAACTGAGTTAGGGCGTGGATCTAGCCAGTACGAGACGGAACTAGCAAGCTCCTCGCGCTCAACAAGGATGTTTTCAAGGATAGAAACAGAAGAACCACAGAAGTAGGTGAGGAGGACCTCGAGAGCAGATGAGGTGATGAGATCATTGCAGTTAGGGCCAAAGAAGCCGACAAGAATCTCACCAACGCTCTCATCTTCCTCTGGGAAGTCAGCGGTGACAATTTTTGACTCGTTAATCTTGGGAGGCTGAGCAGAGTCGATCCAGGGCCTATTGTCAACATTTAGCCAGATGGTTCCTCACATTAGCCAAGAGACAACGTACCGCTTGAATGGGGTGTCGAGAGAAGGAATGTCATCCTTGATAGACTCCTCAAACTCGTCAAGAATCTGAAGCATGTTGTCCTGGTCCACCTCTCCAACAATGACCAAGCACAAGTTGCGAGGCTGATACATGTCCCGGTGGAACTGTCGAATGCGCTCAGGGGTGAGGACTCGAAGAGCGTCTGTCATACCACCAGTCTCATAGCGGAAACCAACATTCTCTGGGTAGAGGAGACGACGAGCCTTGAGATCCATGATCTCAGAGCTTCGGAACTGCACAGCTTGCATCTCAGAGTAGACGACACCAGCATCATTGCCTTCTCCGTCAATGTGCCAAACCTCGGTCACGATGCCCTCATCCGTGATGGTGGGCAAAACGACATGTTCAAGGTACACGGGAAGGATCTGGGCAAAACCATCCCAACCAGCGGTCTCAAGGGTGTAAGCTGTGTGATCAGTAGCCGTCCAGGCATTGGTGCTAGAGTAGGCTCGAGAAGAAAGCTTGTCGAGAAGACCCTTGTACTGGTAGTTTTTGGATCCCATAAAGATGAGATGCTCAAGCGTGTGAGGGGCTCCTGAGTCGTCAAAGATCTCGGTGGCTAGGGTGAAGTAGCCGTTGATCTTGGGACCCTTGCGGTCCGCGACCACGACCTGCATGCCGCTGCGCTCAGAGACATACTGGGTGATTGTACAAGGAGCATAGTCGGTTTTGAAGCTCTGAATCTTGCGGAAATGCGACTTGGACGTTTCAGCCGGCATTTTGAGGTGTTTGAGGCCTGGAAGACTCCAGAGAGAACTATCGAAGTTAGCGAGATGCCAGATGCTGGGAGATGGAACGAAGGTGAAGGTGGTATAAATAACAGTAAGACAAATGCTAAAGAGTGTATGACAAAGAAGACATTTCAAATTAGCTCTCAGCAAGTTACCGAGAGGATATTCAGGTGAGGCTGAATCCGGGGCGAGCTAAGCCCAGGCAGAATGCTAGCAACTCAGAAGCAAGACCAAGTAGACAACTAACTCAAGGCTGGGGATCCCTAGCGACTGCAATACGGGACCATTGTTCGAAAGAGTGAAATACGCCAATACACTGAGCAGGGCGACTACCGCCGCAACAGCGAATTGTGAATTTGCATGTTTGGGTGACATCACCACTGAGGTGTGCAGGGTTTCTCTGTTCTCTCTTCTCAGATAGAGTTGCAGAAGCAATGAATGAGCAGCTATCCACAGCTATTCACAGCCTCACTTTAAGAACCCTTCGAGACAAACGGAAAAGAAACGAGGTTGTGATCGGGGGCAGGGCGGTTGAGTTGATGTGTATATGTCCTCTTTGGGCATTGCACAAAGCTGGTTACACAGCAAGGACGGGCAAAAAAGACCCCGCTATCACAGCAATTGAGAAGAGAAGTGAGGTCAACGGAAGGCAGATCAGGCAGCAAGAGTGAAGAAGAAAAACATTGGACACGACGCAGTCAGCAAGGACAAGAAAAAATAAACAGCCTCACTCACCTGCGGTTGAGATTGTGGGCGTGCACAACGGGTTGGGTTGCCTTGCCTGCGAGTGAGAGGGAAGACGAGAAAGGAGGGGTCCAATCAGTGAAAATGCACCTGGAGGAAAATTTACCCCGCTATCGACGATACAAGGCAGGCAGGCAGGCACAGACAGACACAGGCAACACTCGCAGATGGTAGAAGAAGAGAGGAATCAAGATGGGCAGATTTTTCACTGTTTATAGCAAAGATTATAATATTCTCTCTCTCCCTGCAGCCCATCACTGACAAACACGCAGAGCGCCGTCTACCTATCATAAGCACCTTCCGGGCAGGCACGGCCTTGCTTGATCCGTTCCTTCCCATTCAACCTGCGTGGAAAGAACAATCAAAGAGTGGGCACCTTCCCCCCGCCAAGACAAGGAACAATGCTTATGGCGCTGGCCTGTGCGCTGATTGGCTACACAACCGCTAAGCGCACTGGCCAGGTCATCAGCCACGGCTGAGCTTCCAGTGGAGGCAGGAGCTCCCCCCATGACGCCGATGTGAAGTTGCCAGTTTGTGGCTGGTCGATGCATCTTGACGAGCTCCAACATCTCATGACAAGGTTTTTGACGAACAACGAAGGTTCCTGGACGATCGACGACCTCTCTTTTAATTTCTATTCAATTTCAGGTGCCTCAATGTCGAGGTAGATATGATGCGGCTCCTAAAACGACGAATCTAGACATCGACATCATCATACATTCGATCTACAGCCCACGAAGCTTCACCGAGGAACTTCTTTGCGACAACACCCTACGTCCACCATAGCTCCTAAGCCCTATAAAAATGGCTTCAGAAACCGATTCATCGTCGCAGCAACTTAGCGACGCCCTCGTTTCCTTCTCCCTCGACGGCCGCTTCCCCGACGACGTTTCTGTTCTCCCTCCCGTCTCCGAAACCAACCTACAACCAGCAATCGAAGCCCTAGCCAAGGCCAAGAAAGAGCTAGAGGTAATTTGACTCTGCTTCAGACAGAAGGGATGTTATATCAGTAGCAGTCATGCTCACGACGTCCACAGACAGAACTGCATACTATAAATGAGGAGACCAAGGAAGATGTCAGTTCCTGGGTACGGAACGCAAAGACCTTGCAGGAGGATATCATCCGGTCAAAGACCATGGCCAACGACATTGTGCGGCAATCAGAGGCCCCACAAGTCACTGGAGAGGCCATCAAGGAAGCTGAGGAAAAGGCCGAGTTCCTAAATCGAGAAGTTCAGTACAGCCACCAGCTCCATGGCGCACTACGAGGCATCCAGTATGTCAATGAGCTTCTGAGCGAGGTAGAGGCTGCCAAAAATGAGCGGCGTATTCTAGACTCGCTGCGCTTGTTAGAGAGTAGGTTGTTGCTTTGCATGGTTCACAGTATTGTCCCACTAATCATCCCGCTTAGAATCATGGGAAGCACTCGACCAGGTTGGCGTCAGCAAGACTTGCAGAGTCATGAAACTGCTGAATCTCCGAAGTTTTGAGCTCAAGTCCTCTGTTCATGAGGTATTCGATCATGTCTGGAAGACCCTGGTTCATGTGGACATCGAATCCCGTCAAATCGCCGTTTATGAGAGCGTCGAGGGTAGGTTCTATCCCTTACAAGATTATTACCATCACTGACAATATTTAGGTGAGCAGATGAATCTCACCGACTCCGTAATAGGCCTCATGGCTTACAAGGAGGTTGATGAGCGCATGGAACAGCTCTGGCGGAACGTGGACGCCGCTATCGTATCTCCCCGGATGGATACGAGAAGCAGTACCCTCCCAGGCATACAAGCAGAAGGCGAGATTTTGAAGCTTTCGGGCGATGCCTCACGCTCAGTTGAAGCCCTGCTCGCTGACTTGGAAACTGTCTTTACCTTTCTCTCCCAAAAACTCCCCTCCGACCTCCTCCCATCACTCGGCAATTTCATGATGGCCGATGTGATCCCCAAGCTTATTGGCGAGTGGCTTGACGCGGCTGTGCCTTCATCATTGGCAGAGATGGATAGATTCCAGGCCATGATCAAACGGGCACGAGGTTTCTGCGAAACTCTCACAAGCAGCGGGTACACGGGATTCACAGATTTACAGAACTGGGTTGAGAATGCGCCGTCAATATGGCTTGGGAAATGCCGAGAGACGACTCTGGACTCCGTCAGATCAAAGCTACTCAATGGAATTGGCGAAGCCAAGCAAGTGGAAAAGGTCGAGAAGCAAATGGTCTCTATCGCGGAGGGCAAGGAGATCACCAAGGCTCCTGGAACTGCGGCAACTGGCGAAGCCAACGACTGGGGAGCGGACTGGGGCGATGCTTGGGATAACGACAAGGAGCAAGATGAAAGCCAGTCCAGGCCCAAGTCCAAGGGTAAAGACTCTGTCAAGGCCGATGAGGACGATGGCGCCGACGCTTGGGGTTGGGACGACGAGGACACAACGGCTGCTGAGCCTCAAACAAAGAAGGCCCAGAAGGATGATGACGATGAAGATGACAGTGCTGCAGCATGGGGCTGGGGAGATGACGATGCGACTCAAGAGCCCCAAGTTCAGCCAGCAGTCCAGGGCAAAGCCTCCAATCTCCACGATGAGACTCGTGAGCTCGTGCTTCGAGAGACATACAACATCTCATCTATGCCCGAGCCAGTCCTTGAGCTCATTTATTCGATTCTTGAGGACGGTGCTGCTTTGACGAGAGATGACGTCGAATACGCTCCTGTTGCAGCCACTGCGCCAGGTTTGTTTGGGCTGCCAACATTTGCCCTGGCTCTCTTCAGGGCCATTTCTCCTTACTACTACTCGTTTAGCGATGGAGGCAACATGTGAGTACCCCTGAAGTTAGTCGAAGTGTTATGTCCTGACTCAAAGCAGGTTCCTCTACAACGATGCCATGTATCTGGCTGAAAAGCTCTCTGAGTTTGCTGAGGGATGGAAGAAGCGTGAAGACCTAACCCCCAGAGCGCGAAACATGCTTCGTCTTGACAACGACATCAAGAGTCTACAGAGCTTTGCCAACCGCAGCTACGCCAACGAGATGAACATTCAGAAGACAGTATTACGTGACCTTCTCGGCGGTTCCTCGAGTCTGATGCAGCAAGACGAGATGGAGGCATGCATCGACGCGGGCACTGCTCGTATCCGCACCATGGCTGTCGTTTGGAAGCCTATACTCGCCCGTTCAGTCTTGACCCAGGCTCTTGGGTCACTTGCTGAAGCCCTCGCTACAAAGCTCATTACCGACGTTCTTGAGATGCCCTCGATCGGCCAGGACGAAGCATACAGCATTGCCAAACTTATCGCTACAGCCACAGAGCTGGACGATCTTTTCCTACCTAGCAGTCTGTCAGGTACAAGTAGCGACAATGCGGAGGACGAGGTACCTCAGACAGCGCAGTTTGCCCCTAGTTGGCTCCGACTCAAGTACCTCAGTGAGGTCCTCCAGAGCAACCTCAATGAGGTGCGCTACCTGTGGTTCGAGAGCGAGCTGAGCCTGTACTTTTCCGCCTCGGAGGTGGTCGACCTCATCGAAGCCAGCTTCGAGGCGAACCCCAGGACGAGGGAGACGATCCGAGAGATTCAGTCGAAGCCGGCGCCGGCACGATGAGTGCCAAGGGGGTGGGATGTCACATTTGGGTTCTGTGGAAGCTAGATAGGCCTGTACTATTATCTTGGGCGATGATAATGTTGATGATTGCTCAAAAACTTGACAAGTTTCTCTATCTTATTACATCCCGGCTTAAGAAGCCGTGAGTGATAGTGCAAGATACGTTGCCCCTTATTTTGCTCCTTAGAGGCTAGGTGATGAACATAGCTAAAGACTAACCACCAACAATCTCTCACCTCGACAAAGCTATCATACGATTTATTTAGAGCAATTAGACTATTACTCGCCCTTCTATCGATTCCAAGAGCTAAGCCAACTTGCAGCGTCTTCGTGATTTGGGACAACTCGAGTGAAATGGACTACCCTAGACCAGTCAATCTCAAGATGCCCTCAAACAGTTTTGACACCATGCCTCAAGACACATAACTGGCAAAGTTTGTAGAACACTCATACACAGGCAGTCACAAGGGGTAAATGTATTACAAGTGGTCAGATGCACATCAAATCACAGGATAGAGGCCGTTATCGAGATTCTGGATGCATATCAAAACGAATACGCATCATGAGAGTGCTTTACACAAGGAGCAACAGTAATCGAACAACGCAGTCCGAGTACCAAAAGAGTCAGACAAAGACAGGGCGTGTGCATTAACACAAACTCAACATCTCCAGTGACTCTTACTTCTCGTCCGAGTTCACATCCAATTACATGCCTCGACGTCACGGCGTGCCTCATCACTTATCACGGTATGGCCTCACATCGCGGACATGCCTCACTATTCAATATTACACAGCAACAAACAATGACGGATCATTGTAACTGGTTGCACAAGAAAAACTCTGGACATCATTCGAGTCATGATGCCACGCGACGGACTCACCGGCTCGCCCGAGAACGGAAGCTCACAGCAAGGCAAACTTTTGCGTCCCCCGAAACGAGGCAACAACGAGACTCAGGGCTTGAAAGAGTCAAAAAAGGAAACTCTGCGGTGATACAAATAGCCTCCAAGACTAGTCGAGGAGGACACGGGAAACTGCTGACGGGGCGAGAGTCCTCGTCTGGGCACCGACATGATCGAGGACGGGCAAATGCCCGTCTCCGGAACACGCGATCAAGTCTTGTCTGTAAGAGGGTGTTTGCTCGTTTCGTCGATTTTGGTATGACATGAACAGACTGCCATGCCATGACTATGCGCCGAGACGGCTCTAATCCGTAAAATTTACCACCCTGTAGTGATGAGCCAAGCCGGGCACAGCATGCTTGGACAGTCCTTCACGCCCAGGCACAACAGCTGTAAGATGAGCCCGTCTGAGAAAGGAGGCAGCCGGAGGATGGGGCAAGCCAAAACAACGGCATGTTGCGGTCCTCGGCGACGCCATAATCAGACACCACGGGAGTAACACACGGCTAGTCGCAGGGACGGACTGACGATTGCGCGTGTCGGCGAAGGAATGAATGCAGTGCCAACACGTATTCCGCACAGCATGATGATGATGTCGCCATGTCGGTCGAAATCTAAATGCTCCGGTGATTCTCTAGTGTCGCGTGAGCGGGCATCGATCCATGTTGGTCGACGACAACAACGACAACAAGCGTACCCCATGGGCTTGGCTGATACTCGTTGATGCCGGCATTGCTTTTTGCTTTGTCTGCCGGCATGAAACGTAGCACAGCCTAGCCCGGACTCTCTGGCCATGAATAGTATATCTGTTGCACAGCTCAAAGCTTCGAGGTCCACCACCAACGACAACAATGAGGCCCTGCTACGGCTCCATATTCCGCTGGCCGAGCATCAACAACAAAAAAAGAGGTCCGACAAGGCAGCAGAAACAAAAACACCAGCAGCCGCAGCCGCAGCAGCCGCCTTGATGCGCCGAGATCACCGGCTGGTCCACGTAGCATTGTCCGGATCTCTTCCAGCCCCAGCCTCTGCCCCAGGGAAGGGAACGTCTGTGGACACCGATCTAGGGGATCCGGCGCAGGGTTCCGCCCCGTCAGTAGAACCCACAAAGAAGACTGACTCCATGAATGAATGGTTGCTGGTCTCTGAGAGCGCTGGCAGCTCCATGCTGCACCCCTTAGAGACCCCTTCCATCTCCCTCAAAAACACCGTTGGCCTTGTCTCAGACAAGCGTGCATCCGCTAGCAGGCGGGGGCTTGAGCTCCATTCTTCCTCTGTCCGTGCTCGTACCTCCATCTGCCACTTACCAATGCCATCCATCTTGTCCGATCCGGCCTCTCCTCAAAACCTCCGGGGACGCCACCCGGGTCAAAGCTCCGAATGACGTCCGCGCTTCTCTCCCGGGCCCCCCGTTCGAGCCCGGGATATCCATGGAACCCACTCGGACCCAATTCTTGTCCTGTCCTGTCCCGTTCCTTTGTTATTTCCTGCTTGTTCTTCTCTTACAACTCTTCATTTATCGCCCCCAATGCATCCATCGTCATCCTAGCATAGCATCGCCACCTCCTACGCCCCGACCAAAATAAACACCCCTCCCCCCCCTCGACTAATGCCATCCAACATGGTCCACCCCCGCACCTACGACCAGTTTCTCGGAACCGACTCTTTTTCCCCCCCTTTGCTGTTTCACACGAGTCCTGTCGGAGAATCCTTTCCCAGGGCAAAGCTCCCATGTTTCGACACTTCCCAGCATCTGACTGGCCTCACCGGTGAAACGTGACCGGACGAATATGCGAGTGATGGCGTGATGCTCAGTGAGGCTGGTGCGAAATTAATTCAATGCGAGGTCCTGACTGGCTTCCCCCAGACAGAGTTGTCTAGACGTTGCAGACAGGGGGCTGTGAGTCGGGTCGCTCTCCTTGGTGAGCCAAGGTCTGACTCAAGGTCTGTCTGCCTGTCCGCCTGTCTGCCTGTCTGCAGCCCCTTCGGCGAGTCTCGCCTCTGCCTAGACCTCGCCCGCCCGCGTTTGTTGTCGTGAAACAGGCGCCACACTGAGCCCGGGAGAAACGCGGTCTGACGTCCAACTAGTCTGGCTAGATGAACATCAGATGGCATTGACAGTTGACGTGGCACATCCATGGCCTTTCGTCAGGTACAGAGAGTGTGGTGAGGTGAGGTGAGCAACCAAGTACTGCTACGTCCGCGATACATGATGCTGCCGGAGAGTCATTTTCTTTTTGGCGAAATGACATTGTGTGCCATATACTGTACCATCACGAGACGTCACGGCTGATACCGGCGTCGAGTGCTGCCAGACCATGTCGGTGACAACTCACCTGCATCCAGCGTCCCGTCGGAACACGTCCTGTCCAGTCTCTTCTCAGCTGATAGATGCTGATCTTGATCTTGTCTCTTTCCTCGCGGTAATTTGCCGACAAGGCGGGAATTGCAACCGCCATTTTGCATCGTAGGCATCCAAATGTATGGCGAGGGATGGACGTATGGCATGCCCGCTGCGTTGTGCTGTGCTGTGCTGCACTGCACATCCATCGGATCATGCTCGTTCGCCGGTATTGAGTGCATTGCCGGCTCCAGAAGCAACCAATATCCCACCCTTGTATCCTTCAACTCCCCCTTTAGTCAGCCGAGGTTACTTCTCAGGTTTCACCAAAACGACGCAGACACAGACACAGACACAGCAGGAGGCCATTCCCAACACCGGCTATGCGTGTGTGGGTTGATGACGAGAGGGCTGCGTCGGAGTCGGACTCGCCGTCGCCGGTCCTCGCCGCTTCTTCTCCGTTGCTCTCTGTTCTGTCAATTGTCATCTGCATCATTGACCTGCTGGTTGTCGAGACAAGATCGGTGAGGGAAATAACATGTGCATGTCCCTCAAAAGCCATGTGAGCTGCTGCTGGCTTGCCGCAACTATCCGTGAGGCTGGATGGATGGAGATCAACCACACCTCCATTCCCCATACGCTACCATGGGCATGGCGCCTACCCACCACGCCCGCCCGCCCTCCCTCGATTCCCTGAGGGCCCTCGCCTCCGTGCCGCGCCGACACGGTCGGTGCCGTTCCTTGTACTACCTTTCCCCGGCTGCGACTCGCCAGGGACGGTCATACGCGCCCCCGGGCGCACAAACGCCCAGTCGTTCCAAGTCGAACTGGAGGTCGAGCTGTAGGGTTACATATGTCGTCCAAAAATGACCAGTCAACCTGCAAGGCGACACATGGGACCGGCCCGAGCCACCATAATTGTCGACTTATAGCGCAGCCGTCATCCGAAAGAGCCTCTGCAACTGGCCAGATGAGTTTCCCTCACGCCAGCAAGCCTCACTCGCTTCTGCCAGCAGCCCTTTGAGACCACCGGGTCAACTCGCTCGAGTAACCGAGGTGAAAGATGGCGGCCGAAAAGAAAAGGCGGTGCAAGTCGATCATCCTGTGCCGCAGGGCAGAGGAGACGAGGTTGCAATTGTCAGCCAGCAGGTAGCATGCAGTGCAGCTGACCAGAGTACCAAGGGAGGTTGACGATATCCTTGGCGCCTAGACCGAGGTGTATCCACGGTGAGAACGACAAGGCTGAAGCATGGAAGCATCACTGGATGACCATGGTGGAGCAAGAATTTGCCAGCAAAGCAAAGCTGGGCTGTGTCGTGCCACTTGAGCTCTCCATGGGAAACAAATCAATCGCGATGTCATTGCCCTGGTGCTGGCCAATGTGCCATTTCTTCGGGTGCCATCCGTAAAGTTTCCCATATCTTGTCTTGGAGCGGGCAGGGCAAACCCTGTGAAGGTTATACGCATCTCTGGGGGAACCAGCCACTTAGTTGGACGAGTGAATGCGCACCTAGTCCAGGCAGCACGCAGAGATAAGGGTGAGTCAAGTTGTTTCTCAACAAGGTCGAGTCGAGTTGTCTCGTCTTAGACAGGTCATTTCGTCGCGGATGCGGCTCAACGCCCGAGTTGAAGGCGACAGAGTGTAACGTCGTCTGCCTTGTCAACGCTTGCTCTGACATGGGCGCTAGCATAAGCCCGATGGTGACATGCGCGCGGTGAAATTGACTTGTCATAGTCGAGATGTCGTCGCTCAGTCTGCCGCTCAGTCACAGCGCGCGGCTGGTGTGCGCGCAAGACCAACAACAAGGCTGGCGTTGATGTGCCAAAAAAATGTCCACCGTGACAGGATCTCCATCCAGGGTTGTGGTGGGCCGCCCGAATATTCAGGACAATCAAACCGCCAACGCAAGCCAGCCAGCTCCAGGCAAGGTTCCAGGTCCGTTACTTGCGGAGAATGATCGACGATCCCTGGAATAGCCATGCGCTCACCGCCAGCGACCGACGCCAATGAAATGCCAGCGCCACCGTCTTCAGGGGTTCCGAAACCATGGGCCTTCAAGAAGGATTCTAGAAGGCTGAGCCTCGAAGCCAACAGCATGTCGCAGACCAGCTCCCCGGCGTGGATGGATGTGAGGTAGGGATCATGATCTGGAAAAAGGTTTTCGGCCCAACACCCAACAGCAAGCATTAAGCACAAGCAAGCAGCAGGCAGGACAGGGCAGGGAAGGGCAAGGGGGTCCAGCGAGGCCAACGGTTTGTCCCAAAGTCAAGTGTACGAATCTGGGTCTCATCCATGGGATTTCGAAACGGCCAGAGACGAGACACCTGGTGCAATGTGGAGCGGATTCCACATCCCGATGTGGCTCAACGGGTGTTAACCTGGCTTGGGTAGAGGAGATGCCATCAGAAGGCTGTTCAGGAGTGTCGTTCCGAAATGAGGGCCAGTCTCATGATGCCCGATGCAAGTGCCCTCACTCCCAATGTGGCTTCTTGGCGGCTCGATTTCGCTTTGCGAATAGGAGATGGCGTCGACGGCATTCTTTGTCCATCTCGGATGAGGCGGTCACCTGGATGTCTCGGCGGTGTACAGACGCCATGATGCTATAGGACGTCTTATCATCTGGCGTTGATGTGATTGCGCCGTGCTCCTGTGCATCGTGTCACAGCATGCCGTTGCCTCGTTCTGTTGTACAGCGTTTTTGAGGCAAAAGACATGTCCGTGTGTGCGTGCGTGCGTGTATGAGATGGATATTGCAGGGCAGAAACCCAACAAGTTCACGGCAGAGGAGAGCCATCAATCTCCCAGCGCGTTGAATGCCGCGGACGCTAACAAACATTGGCGCCTCAGCCCAACCAGACCAACGCTTTGATGCCCCGGGGATCGGTCCCGTGAAATTGGGCCTGGCCTGGCCTCCATAGCCGCTAGCAAACGTTGTCAGCATGGTTCCTCTGAGCTACTCTTTCGGAAACCTCGATTCGAAAGAGTCGTGTAATCATACCGTAACAGCTCGAATCCGACCTTGCAAAATTCCGACGACGCTGCTACTCTACCTCGCACTTCCCCACGGCAGCCAGGAGGGCCCCTTGCTTTGCTTCGCATCAATGATGTGCAGCAGGTCCAAGCGCCCCGCTCTCAGCAAGGGCACAAAGGGGTGTGTTTTGAAGTTGGCCGTCATGTCGCCCTTTGCAATTCCCTGGGGCGCCGGGTGAGCCTACCGGCAAATAGGTGCGCGTCCGGTTGGTTGTCCGCTGAAAGGGGGCAGCGCCGGCCCTCCCTGTGGTCTGTTTTTTTGCACATTAAGGTAGATGTCTGTGTAAGCCCTTGCACTACCTGATCCAAGTGTGTGTTGCGGATATATTGCCTCCTTCCCACCACCTCGGGACTGTCGACCCTTGAGATGATCCTGGCTCATTCTCGAGACTCGGGGAACCAGGAACGTTTTCATAGGCATATGAATCTCGGCAGTGATGCCAGCTTGAATCGCAGTCCCGACGGTGCAGTCACGCTCTCTCCTGCGTCGCGCCCGACCTTGAGCTCATCTACATGCCCAGTTAGAAGGATGCATGCAACGGGAAATACGAACCCTCATTTCGTGTAAAGAGGCCACGAGGTTAGGACTTGACTCGAGTCATCCGAGAAGCTCAACATGCCGCCTTTGCCCCGTGCGTCAGATGGCCCTAGATTCTGGACTAGACAGAGCAATTGAGGCCAGCAACACCAACAGAATGTGGAGACTGAGCAATATATTGCCAAAACGCAGAGTCAAGTTCACGGAGCGCACTTGAGAGAACTGTTGAGGAGGGTTGCAGATAAACAGAGCGCTGTCTCGATAATCTAGTTAGCGGCCCGTTTGCCGGCCGCGTTCCCCGACGCTTGTTGACTCCTCGTGATGAGTTAACGGATCGCAGCCGCTTTTGAAGCATCGTCGTCGTCAAATAGCAATGCCTGCCGGGGTGATGCCGCTCTGAGGATAGGGCAGGTGCTGTGATTGACCGTGGACCAGCCAGCCGCCTCTAACCTGTAACTCGCATGGTCCTCCCAAAACGGGTATCGCCATCCTATCCAATCCATAAGTTCTTTGGAGATGTGCGGGATGCAGCGGCAGGCGCGCAGTGGACGGGCACTCCCGCGCATCATTCTGCACCTCCCACCGTGTGGTCTGGATCAGTCCAAATGATATGCCCGTCAGCGCGGGATGATTTTGCGTATCACATCACAGACTCCTCCAGTGTGGCTCCTATATGCCAGGATGTGGCCAGATGAAGTTGCCCGATAGGGAGAACCGGGAGGTGTCAAGGCGCAGGCCGGCCCCCTCCTGGTACCCAAAACGCATGCTGTTTAAGCAACGCAGCGCGGGGGATGCAGGTGGAAAGGAGGATATTGAGGCGCGATTTATCTTGATGGCACGAGCAACTGATGATTCGAACCACGACTTGGGGGTGATATTGCCTCAGATAGAAGCGCTGGGCCGAGATAAGCTGGATAAGATTGAGTTGACTACTATGTTCTGAGCCGAGCTTGGGTCATTCGTCCCTGCTCCACGTGCGGCTGCGGCTCTGTGAGAGAGTACAGTCCTAGGGTAGATAGTCCCTCAGATAGCAAGCGCAATAAGGACTTCTTGGGGCGTCATCGAGCCAAGCCAGTTCCTCCGTCCGCGTTCTCGGGTAAGAATCGAAATTGCGGTCAACAACTTGCTCGTTCAAAGGCCGATACATACCTGAGGCGGATCCAAGGGAGCAACGAAAGCTCGCCTCGCGCGGTCCAGTGGTTGCTGAGAGCTGCTGCCCGCTGCGGCCTCGACCGGGGTCTTGTCTCGATGGACAGTTCGCGTGGCTCACAAGGGCCTTCGTGTGATAGAAGCAAACCCCGAGTTGACGCGGGCCAATCTCACGGGTCTGACGCTGTGCCACTTCTCGCTGGCATAGCATTGCATGGCTGCAGCACATCAGGTGCCCGCCTGGAATGACGCGATAGGCTGCATGGCGAAATTGGACGACACGTTGAGTCCTTGTTGAAAAGCAAGCCGACTGTGACGCAGGAAACTGCCAGACGTAGGCGACAAGCAGGTGTCTGGGCTTTGACACAGACGCTGATTGCATGCCGCAGAGGCTTGGCTCGCTGTGGTTGGCTCCCGCCGCTCAAGGGGGTCGATCTGCTTGGCGTGCTGCTTGGGGGAGGGCACGTGGACTCAGCCCATCGTATACTAGTTGAAATTGAGGGCGTGTTGGGTGTAAGTCTTGGAACGGAATTGTCGGCATCCTCTTTCTTGTCGTGTGCGAAAGCACCGTATCTTGGGCCACTGGCAAACCGGCCGTGCCAATGCCCGAGAGGCATAATATGACGGGTAGCTAGCCTCAAAGCGTGGTCCCAAGACGGCTTGGCAGGCCTACGGCTTGGCATCTACGACGTAGTGCCCAGCTTGAGGTGGGTTAGCCCCTGAAGGTAGAGCCAGCCATGCAGGACCGCAAACCGAGCGCGACAAACAAACGGCCTTTGAATACGAAATCCATCCCGCAACCGAGATGGCGATCCTGAGAGCAAGAAGCAGACAAAGAGCGGTAATACGATAGAATGTGCCCCCTGACGACCGCGTGATAACCTCATCCGGAACGTCGGATCCATGGAACATTCTTGGCATCGTCTTTTGCATCTATACCGCCGCCTCGAAGGATACGTAAGGGCTCCGGCCGGGCCGCAGCTTGGGGAACGCTTATTAGGGCAATGGCCGACGCGGCCGAGACGCTGCCCCTCTTTTGTGACGGAGAAGAAGAGACGACACTCGCGCGTGGAGGGACCTTGTGAGCTGTTTCCGCTACAACGGGTCAAGCTGTGAGGTTCTGTTTCAGAGGGGACGCGATATGGTGCCTGCCCCTTGAGGTTGATCTGACCAGGACGATCCGTTTGCTGCTAGAACAGCCACGTCAGTCAGTAGCATGCCCCCCAATAACGGCCGGGTCACGACGTCCCTGACGAGCTTCGAGAATGCCATCACGACCACTAACAAGCTCGCTGCGTGACTTTCGCATGCAGGTGGAGGGAGGGGATCAACTGTTTTGAGATGCTGCTTTGCACCCCCGCGTCCTCCATCGTCGCTATCTGAGAAGTGAGATCTCCTACGTCACCCGTCAATCGCGTCATGTCACCCTGTCGGCCACCCTCTTCTTTCCGTCAATCTTGTTTGCTTGGTTGGCATGTTTGGTTTCCCGCTGCCATTGAGTGAGGCTTGCGAGGGCGTCCAGTGATGTCGTATTTTCGCGGCGCATCGAGCCATACTCGGGTCAATTTTGTCCGTAAGGTGTGGGTGATCCGATCGGGAGGGGCAGTGCTGGTTATCTTGATGCTTAAAACACCACACAAGGCTGATGGAAGATGGAACGAAGGGTCAGCAGCCTGCACAGTAACTCGCCGTGCCGAGACACTCACAAGCCTCGCTGGTCCAGGGGCTCAAGGGCTCAGGGCCCAAGGGCCTCATCAGAAGTGCCAGGAGACGGCGGCCCCATGTCTCACAACGGGCCCCTTGAGATCCCCTAGGGGCCGGGCATCGGCACTATTGGATGTCTCAGCCGATTGGATAGACAGAGTGCCAAAGACGTCATCGCCCTCCCCCACGTACCGCAGCTCCGAGTCCTCGCTCCCTTGGCAGCAAATCAGAGCCTCCCTGGCGGCTATGGCTGGCCCAGCTGCTCGGATTCGACAGCGTCTTTGCTTTTGGGTGCTCAGGAGCTCGTGTCGCGCGAGCCGCCAGGGCTATCAACATGTACCCTATCACCAGCGTAAGCGACAGCGACTTCCAACACACCGGATGTGATATGCTCGTGCCGCCATGGCTGGCGTCTCTGGCTCTGTTGCAGCTTAGGGTCCGGAGCCATCTGTTCCTCGTGACCATATGATGCCTGATCGTGTAAAATGTCGGTGTACGAACAAAGACACAATCCGTAGTTCGCAGGCTCACCCACAGGACCCCGCAATGGGACCTTGGAGCACTCCCGAGGCCATGAGGCACGGAGCGGCTTCAATTGACCGCAGAACGGCATCCGCGGCCGAATGAACCACTGCGGGATCGACAACACATCGCCAGCATACTTGGCCAGCAGACTTTGGTAGCTCAGCCGCCATGTCACAGATCAAGAGACCGTTTGCGGCACTTGTGGCTGGTCGGGAGATGGGAGAGGATTATCGTAATACCGACAACATCGCATCAGGGGCAGAGGATGCCTGACAAGGCTGCAGAGCATGTCGCTGCACCGAATGTTCGTGACGAGAAAGCGGGGGAGGGCGTCCATCATCCAAGATGGCCGGCCAGGTACGGACGGGCATGCGTGCTGTGCTCCGTATTCTACGGCCGAGATAGCGATAGCTGGGGCTGCCTGCGGCCAGCCTTTTCTAAGCGCACACCCCAAGGCAGACTCCGACAAGGCCGGGTTCCCTCCTCGGCCCCCTGTCCGTTGCTTGGGGGCCCTGGAAGAAAGGCGGGAGTCGGCGCCAGAGGATCGACAAGATGATGATCTCATTCCGTTGTTGGCTGTCCCAGGCGTTTGTTTCAAAATGTGTCGGGTCCAACAGATTGAGTGCTCCGTCAAATCACATGGCGCGCTGGCGATATGTCGACAGATGGCGGAATGTGGGATAGACGTCTGGGACCCAGGACCTGGTATTCTGGGGCACTGAGGCTACAGGTCTCGGGCACTTTGCTGTCAGAAACTTTTGGCTCATGACGCTTCTCAATCCGTCCACCTGGGTCAAGGACGCGATTGGCTTCTTCCCCACACGATTTTCTAGGCCGGCGTCTGACCCGTCTGGCCACCCCCTCGCGTCTGGGCACGTCTGGGAGTCATAATTACGCCGCCCCTTGATTGTCCTTTGGGCCAAGGAGCCGAGGGCACCGCGATGAGGATAGGGACGGGGAAGACGAGGTGGGAGCCGACAGGTGAGAAGGAGGAGGATGGCTATTCCACTCTCCACCCGTGGCAGGTGGTCGGGCAATGCTATGCTGCATCGTCGGTGAGGACGACTGCGCCGTGTTTCGAGATCTGTAACGGTCGGAGAGAACGCTGCCACGTCACTCTGGTGGTCGGATATGTCTTGCTCATCGGTCGGTGATGAACGCTCAGCAGGGCATCATCTTGGGGTCACTGGAGCGACCCAGCAAGAGAGAGCGATCCGAATCGTGTCTAAATTTACCGTCGTGCATGAGTGCGGTGCCCTATCCGAGTAAACCCTGTCCCTCCTGACCGAATATCTGGGTACCCTCCAATGTCGTAATCTGCACTTTCGACAAGATGAAGCCCAATGCGGCCATGGCCATGGAGCCTCGTTCCTCAGCCTTGGCCAGAGGAATACGGATGGCGCCTGCTTTTCGAGAACGAGACTGTGCAGGCCTCTAGCGAGGGCAGGGCAGGGTTAATAACAAAGGCTTGCCGGGGAGAAGTGAGGAAGATGACCCGGCTCCCGTGACGGTGGATACGATGGTCACGACGAGTGCCCTAGTCAGCAACGTGCGCTATGGCAGCTCTCTGTCGTGTTCACGTACTGGGGTTGAGGCTAACAGCACCTCAAACAAGCCGCTCACTGGCCTACACCTGGATTCCCTGCCGACACTGAGGTGTGGGCGTTGCAGCTGAGCGAGCGTTGGACAAAAGTAAAAACACTAGTCATGGTGGATACGATCCTTTGTAAGGGCAGATGGTGACGAGAAGGATCGAAATGCCTGGGGACGGTCAAATGGCTTCATCTGAGATGCTGAGCCAAGAGGTTGTACCACGAAAGGGACAATATGAGAACTGTGGCATTGATGATGCGTGGTGGATGTGGCTGAGGCTGGGAATATTGGGGCGGGAAATTGTTGAAACATCCAACAGACCGGTAAGCGGGCAGGTGAGGGCTCGTCTGTGCCTTCCGGGGTCTAGGTAAAAAAGAAGTAAGAGCGACCAACAAACTCGATGAGTTTCGACGCTGTGGGCAAGGGACGAATAGGAGAAACAACAAGAAACAACAACGATCTTCAATTTGTTTGAGATGGCACTCTAATCATGACATCAGTTTCTGAATATTTTGCGGCCCAATTTACACGCTTCCTGTTGTTGTATAGCTGATGCTTCAGGTATTCTAACCAGAGCTACGAATGTCTCATTCTCCCCTAGACCTCCATTCCCAACGGCAAGTTCCAATTGCTGGAGGTGAGCCTTCCATGCTAGATTGCTCCCCGGAACTCCCATCCCTGCGAGCCTTATCTAAGCAATGCAGTGGTCACGGGCTTCAATTTCGCCTCAGCGACAACGTGCTGCTTGTTGGTCGATCTAAATTATCGTCACCCTCGTTTCAAGTCTTTGCTCTGGAGCGAGCTGGCCCCGTTCAATGGCCAATTTCCCTCCGCTCGGGTTGGCTGGAATAAAAAAGGACACCGGGGCTCCATACATCGTGTCAGACTGAGGTCATTGCTCGCTCAGGCTCAGATGCTCGGCCAGCTTTGCCAACACTACGCTACGTTGCTCTGGGGCGCGACGCGGAGCTGGACCGTCCAAGCCGCCGTCCAGGCGCCAGCTCGCGAGGCTCAGCCCCTAATGCATTCGGATGGTAGGGCAAAGGATCCTCTGCCCTCTTGCTAACAGATTTTTCTGGCACAGACAGACTTGGAAACTTGCAGTGGCCCCCGGGGCTTAACTCTTCGCTACCGAGAGTCGCCTCCCGCCATGCGACGGCCGGGGGGCATCGCTCGATACGGCACTGTACCTCTGACCGCAAATAAGGTGGCAAATGATTGGCAGGCCCTGTCGCTGGGCCGGCGCCGGACACATGGTTCGGGGAGAGGAAAGGTACGCGCGACCACGGCGACAATCAAGCGCGGACCCGGGTACTGTACGCGTAGCTGGCTGCGGGCGTTGGAGGTCGTCTAAGGACGGAGTCCGCTCCCCTCCCCTGTCGTGGAATTGTTCTTTTTTCTGCGACTATGTACTCCGTACCCGGGCCCGGATCACGATGGATGCTCACCCAAGATTATTGACGGGCCCGGCTGCTGTCAATGACTCCTCGAAAGGGCATGGTGAGGGCCAAGCAACCTCGTAACTCGTGGCCTAACGAAGCTGCTGGCCCTGACGGACGGGCACTAGCCTCCCCTGCCCTCTTTTTCTTTCCGCTGACTATGCCTGAAGTAAGCTTAGAAAGGTTCGCTTGTTTGCTTGGGTTCCTGTCTTGTCGTTTTTTTTCTCGCCTCGTGATCACGTTTCTTTCTGACTTTCGTCCCTGTTTCTGCGGAACCCAATCAGGGATCTGGACTAAGAAACGGCCGGAGTTGACGATGGCCAAGACAGAAAAAAAGTAAAGAACCCGTGCCGAGAGGTAGGAGAGATGAGACAAAGAAAACAACAATGAGGAGCCGAGCGCAAACGTTGGAAAAAACAAACAAGCAAGCAAGCCATGCTGCTGCTACTCTGAACCTCAACTGTTTACTTGGTTGAATCTGAGACCTACCTTGCAACAGCTGAAGTTGAACTCAAAAAACCCCAACCCATACAGACTTTTTCACCCCCTTTGCCCCTCTCGGCCAGCCGTATCCGGCCTGACTTGACCGGCGGGCCATATCTTGGCTTTTATCGCTAGCTTTGGGCCTCTGCAGAGTTGACGTCCAGGAAAACTTTGCTATCACGGTAGTGCCGAGCAAAGGGAGCTGGGTAAGACGGTTTGTCGCATCGTCATTCTTAGGTGGTTGCTCATCATCAAGCAGCTCTGCAATGACCAACCAGGTGCATCGCGAGTGTCCATCAGCTCATATCAACGCATCTTGTCTTCATCTCCTTGTCAGACAGCGAGTCTAGTCAGGAACGAGAGGGTTCGCGCCTCGGCTCCGGGATTGGGTTGGCATGATCGTCTCATTATGATTGATCGACTTGCAGCTCAGACCCGTGGCGCCCATCTCTATCTCTCCATGTTTTATTTTGTTTTGTTTTGTGTCTTGTCCCGTCTCCCTTGGGATCATCTAGAGTGGTAGCTGGCTACTGGAGATGCGCCGAGCAGAGCGGTGAAGGCATGCCGGGACGTCTCATGTTGCACAGGCATTGCCGAGCCATCAGCAACGATGGAATCGCAAGCATGATGATGGATGATGATGATGATGGCGTTTCCCCACCCAAGGCATTAGCTCGAGTCGCAGTGTCGGGTCGGTACACACACTGCCGCACTCCGAATAGACGAGAAAGCCAGTTTAGTTACAGTTGGTGTTGTTAGCCAGCCCCCTTCACGTTTTCCTCCTTCTCCAGGCCAGTCCCAGCGTCGGAAGAAGGGGGGCCAGAACAGACAGACACTGAATTGAAAGAAAACGGTGGAGCCACGATCCATGATCCATGGCGTCCATCTGACGGCCGAGCCCCGAGTCCCAGTCCCGCCCAAGCCTCAATCCAAGCCAATCCATCCGTCGTCCATTGATTGATTGACTGATTGCCCCCCCTCCCCTCCCCTCCTCCCCTCCCCTCGCTTTCGGGGACCCATCATGCCTCAGAGAGGACTGCCGAGTTACTGCAACGGTCCCCAATATTGGCCAATTCGCAGGGAGGATTGGTACATCTACGTACATCTGGCATCTGCGGACTCGTTGGCCCATCCATCGTCATTTTCCCACGTTCCGTTCCCCATCCCACGCGCTGCCTGTCCCAGCTCCCACGCTCAAGGGCATCTTGTTTTCAATCCACACCGCCAACTTCTTTCGTCCCACGCCTCTCACTCAACGCCCTCGCCTCCCGCCCTTGTCCATACCCTTGCTGGGCATGCTATCCCTGGCACTTTGACGTTGTTGCCATTCGCTTTCGCTGGGCCTGCGCAACGCTGCGCTGCACTGCACTGCAATGATGCTTCGCTCCCCTCTGCCCTGTGGTTTAGTGATCCTCTGCCATTTCTGGCTGCTGGTATGACTGCCCCCCTTCTCTCCAGCCCTGTCTTGTCCGTGCCTTGGCTGGTCCGTCCGCCCTGTTCTTCCGTCTTGTCCTTGCCATTACCCCCTCCCTTGTACATTGCGCTACGCAGTCCTCGGGACTGGACTGACTGATTATTCTGACGCCCTTCTCCTCACGATGTACGTACGTATTATCCATGCCAGCAGCGGGCAGGGTTTTTGTCGGTCAATCTTTGGGTTGATCAGTGTAACAAACATGCCGTGGCCGCCTCTTGTGCCGGGCGTAGCATTGTCTCGGTTTGGCTTCGACGTTGCGCCTCGGACCTTTTGGAGTAGGTCGAGGTTTCTTGGCTAGTCTGATGGACTCATTTCCCCCTCCGCTCCGTCTCCCTGCGAGAGTTGCGAAACTCTGTCTCCCTGGTGGTTGGAAGTCAAGTCTTGCTTGGTCTGAGTCTCCCACGACAACCCGACCTAAAAGCTCTACTACACTACGCTGCACTGCACTGGACGGGATACATGCTTTCACACAAGGTCAGGGCCCAACCATTCGCCTCCCCCTTGACCCTCCTCCACTCTATCGACTTTGTAAATCAGACACCCCCCCCTGGTCTCCTCCCCCAGTCTCTCCAGTGCCCACCCCGGTCTGTCTCTTCTTCCACAGCGCAAAAAAAAAAGTCGAGGGAAAGGGCAAAAAAAAAAAAAAAAAAAAAAAAGGGCTGTACGTACTCGTCCAAGTCCCAGCAAAGTCCCCGGCCCAAGTCCCAATCCCAGTCAAATCAATCACCAAAGCCTCCCTGGTCACTCTCACCCTCACCCTCACCCTCACCCTGCCCTGCCCTCACCCACTCTGATGCTGTGTCTTCCACGTCCCTCTGCCGCTCCCAGGCTCCTCCTGACTTGAGATTGACAACCTGGGTCGCCAGCTGAGACAGCGGAGTAAGTAGGAGCAGGAGTAGGAGTAGTAGGAGTAGGTATACATCTCTTACAGGCACAGGCACAGGCACGGACACAGGTACAGACAAGTAGACAGACACCTCACACTGGCACAGCACAGCGCAGCAGAGCACAGCCAGAAGATCAGAGCCCATCTCCTCGTGTCAAGCCAAACTCCGCACTCCTTGATGGGCGCTCCAAATAAAGAAAAAACACTCTTGGCTGCCAGTCCCTCCCGCCATAATTTCCCGGCCCCCAGCCCAAGAATCCAAGCCCAAACAGCCCAGCCCAGTGCAGCACAGCGCCGCATACAAGACGCTCCCGCTGCCCACCACACCCATCCAGCAGCTTCTCTTCTACTAGCTCTCTTGACATTAGCTTTCTAGAGTCTCGCCCGCTCTCCGCGCGCCTAAAAGGACGCCAGCATACTTTGAAGCTTCCTCCCTCCCTTGCCCACACATTAGGGGGGAATTGCCTTTTTTTCCTCTCTTCGGGCTCCGTCGTTTCTTTTTTGCCTTGGTCCTCCTATCTTGCCAGAACTTGGCCTATTCTTCTCCCACCCACCGCCTCGAGCTACTTATTACTACTTGGACTCCCCCCCTCCCACACCTAAACTATCTTTTCTACCCCTCCCGCTCCACCACCAACTTTCCCATTGACAACCTACCTCTCGCCTTTCTCTCTTCTTGTCTGCCATAGCACCGCTCTGCTTCAAAGAAACAACCGACTCCTAGACCGGCACAGGCAAACTCCGATTCTCTTCTCCTTCAGCATCACTCGGCTCACCTCGCGACACCTCTGTCAGAAAGCTCCCGCTTAATTGCCATCGCCCAGCCTTGTTGCGATTCACTGCCATCTTCGACTTGTCGGCCAACTTCCTTTGACGATTGGGTGACTCAGCGAACTCGCCTTTCTTGACCTCGACCCTCAACCCTCGAGCTTCCCTTGTGAGCCTCTTCTCGTCGAGCCTGTGGCTCCTCGGAAATCTTTGACGACCACGACTCGAATTGCGTCGATTCGCCCTTCTCTTCCGCCTACCTCGTCGCAATCCTGTTTGCGACTGTCGCATCTCGAAAAAAGGACCCCCAGCGCAGGACGTTGTCGGTGCTGCCGTTATTCCCGGTTTCTCCAAGCTTGCTTCTCGCGACGCGTTTCGTTTGCAGATTGAAGCGGCAGCAGCAGCTCCCACCCGAGGCCCTCGACGGACGCCCCCGGTTCCCTTCATTATCTGGACCTTGAACCTCTGCGCTGTGCTGCAGTTGCCTGCCTGACCCAGGACGAACGCCGTCACTCTTGCTTGTTTGATCCAGCAACCCCGAGGCGGCCCCAAAAGAGCCACCTGCATATCCCACCATCTGCCAGCTCACCACGCTGCCGCGAACTTGGCACATCACCGCGCCTCAGATCGGCCTCGACAAGACCTACCTAGTTCTCCTCGTGCTCCTCGACTTTGCTGACCCCCGTGGTCCACCCCAGCAGCGCTTTGTCCTATCTTCGTCCCTGCATCTGCATTCATTACCTGCGCTCCCTCTCTGCGTCCTGGCCCTGGACCCCCGGCATCCTGTCCAACACTGGCTGTACCCCAGGTTGACAGCCGCTCCACGAGGGATCGGCTTCCGCAGCCTCTTCCCCGCAATCCGCGCCTCTTATTGTTACCCCCAGGCCAGACGTTCCACCATGGCTCTCCATTCTGCCTGAGCTCTTATATATGTCAATGCAACCTTCGGATGCGACTCTTCTCGTTCTTGTAGTGCAAGCACCACTCCCAGCACAACCATGTCGCTCAGCTCAGATCTCGACTCAAAAAACACATTGACTACCACTTCTCTTCACAAACTATCCGACATGTCCTCATTAACACGCTCTCACCTCACTCAGGTCCAGACGACCTTCCCGTCTCATACACAACCAGTTCCCATCCCCATGTCGGCCATCAGCGCCTCGTCTGTTGCCTCAAATTCACAACAGGGCTCACCCATCATGTCTCCCGACACAGCCGTCCTGACCACAAATTCCTCCGCCCAGCCCTCACCTGAGCCCATGAGAGGGCGGGAGGAGGAGGCCTTTCCTTCCAGCTTT